ATTATTATAACAATATTTCAATCTTTCTTTTACTGAAATGAGGAATTTTGAGACAGTCTATAGAAGAAAAAAAATTAAAATTAGTTTTAGCCTACAATGGTACACAGCAATAATTTTTGCAATTGTAAATGTACAAAAAAAGCAATTAATTATTAATTAATAAATAATTAAAAAGACATACAAACTTAACTGGTATTTTTACTAGTTAAAAATAAAAAATATTGTACGTAATTTGTAAGGAAGAAATAGTTAATCATGGATCTCGTTTAAAATTGTAAAACAATAATCCTCATATCCATGAAATAAAAATATTTATTCAGCTTTTTTCTAATAAAATTCTCGAAAATTATAATAAAACCGTACACATCTATTACTCACTGAATAAATATGGTATAAAAAAAATAAATAATAAAACATAAATCATCGCAGAGACGTTATTCCGAATGCATTGACAATAAAGTGAAATATATAATAATATACACCTAGTTAATAGATACATTAAATATCGCTATTATTACTTATTTATTTAATTTATTTAACCGATAATTATCAATTAAAAAAAAAAAAAAACTAAAAACTACTTATAATAAACAATAACCGCAACAACTAATTATATTAACTTTAATAACAATTGTATTTTAAAAAAATTAGTTATTTAATAAATAAACATTAATGAAATGTTTATGATTGTGAAAGATTGTAAACTGTATTCTTTAATATATATATATATATATATGTATATGTACATGCATATATACTTATATATAAAAGAAATTTGATTGTTGTGATTGAAGAATAAACGTTATAAATAAATAAACAGGAAATAATATTTAGGAGAATTATTACAAAAAAAAATAAGAAGCTAAACAATAAAATTTCAATATATGTAGGAAAAATTGATATGAAACATTTAATATTTATCATATACATATATGATAATATTAAAAAAGTATATGTATATATATGTTTGATTATTATAGTTACAAATATAATTAATTATCATTAAAATTATTAATATAATATTGTCAAGTGGAACAAAACTGAAAGGAGTAGTTACAAACAATAATTATAAAATAAAGATACAAAAACTAAGACGGAAGATATGTTGATTATAAATACATATTAAGTATTAATTATATGTTACAAAAAAGTATTATTTATTATTATTATTATTACTATTTCATCTTTATTTTAGACGATTAGTTGGTTTGTTTTTTTTTTTTTTCCTAAATAAATACGGCCTTTGACAACCAAATAAATAGGTATTCGAAAAAAATAGACCCGGAAAAAATTTTAAAGCTATGATAAATTGATATTATTTCATTATAATTATTATAAAATATCATACCCACAATTTTCCTGAAAAACAAACATCCCCAAAATGACCGCTCCATTTCTTGTGACAAAAAAAAAATTTTTTCGGGTTTTTTTCCAAGATTCAATTAAATTATTGAATTAATTACTATCAAATTATTTGTTGGGTCCCAATTTGAAATTTTCATCAGAAGAGCTGTATTTATTTACGACAAATTAATCTTATTACTATTTCTATTACTATCATCTATATTATTATTACTATCATACATATCGTTATTATTTTATTTTTATTTTTATTATTATTGCTAATAAGATAATGAGGATTACGAGTAAAGTGTGAATTCTTCAAACACCATAAGATCTTAAACGTGACACAAACTAAGACTATTTTAAAACTCTTTTAAGATGCCAAAAAAAAAAATTCCGAGATTTTTTAATAATTATTTTGATTTTTTTAAGACTATTTTAAGATTTAAGTTTTAAAATAATTTTTAAATAGTCTTGAAAAATCTTAAAATAGCCTTAAAGAAATCTGAAAAAAAAAAATTAAAAAATTTTTACGCTATTTTAGCGTCTTTAAATTGTCTTAAAATTATCTTAAATTAGTCTTAAAAAAATCTTAAAAAAAATTTAGACTATTTTAAAATGGGCTAACAGCGACAGAGCTCCGGAACATTAAAACGGAACGTCTTAAAAAAGTCTTAAAATTGTCAGATAATAATTTTTTAACAATTTTAAATTCAATTTAAAAACATCTTACTCAAAAATATTGCGTTTAGAAAGTCGTAAAATCGTCTAAAAATTAATTTTCACAACAAATTCGAGAACAAAGTTTTCAAAATTCTGCTCTCGGAATTTTTCTTTTAGAGTCTTAAAATAGTCTTAGTTTGTGTCACGTTTAAGATCTTAAACGACAATTTTAAGACGATTTTTTTTTTACACGGGCAAGTAGTATATTTAATATTTAGTTTTGAACCAAATAATGTGTAAATTTAGTATTTTTCTTCAGCCCAGCTGTTTTTTTTTTCTAAAAGGTGAGTAATCAAGTTATCTATTGTTATTAAATTTCATTATTTATTATAAATATTTATGAATTAATCCTCATTTAATTAAATCAATTTAGAAATCAAAACCAAAACGTAATTTTTCATTTTTCTGTATAGTTTCATTTTTAGAATATTGTGAATGGCTGTTATCAAAATCTTGAAAATTTTTATGACTGTTGCATTAGTCCTTATAAAATTATTTTTTCCAAAAATTTTCTAAGACTTGAAAAAATACCTTAGTAAATGAATTAATAATATAACAAAAAATTTATTTATTCTAATAAAGTTTTTAAATTAATTGGTATACTTTCAACACTAGTTTGAAATTCAAATGACTTAGATGAATAAAAATTCTGGTATTATTAATATTTAGTTGATAGAGCTGAAAATTACAAAATCAGATATCATATTGGAGTAAAATTATAGAAAGAAAAATATATAATAATAAATAGTTTTATTTGCACGATCTTCGTCTCTTACAAAGTTTTTACATATTTTGTATCTGTATATTAATTGTATATATTATTTTTCTTTCCATTAAATCTTTCTATTTTTCTTTTCTTTTCTCCTAGAAAGAAATATATATTATCATGACAAATTAATAGTAAATAAGTAAAATAAAAAAATTAATTTATAGTTCAAATCATTTTAAATCATTTTAAATTAGATTTCTTATAATCAGGGAGTGAACTTTTGTACGTTAAATTCAAAGACGAACTATCATCAAAAGTTTTAGTATGCATTTGTAAATTTCATAATTTATGCTCTCATTAATTATGTTGAAGCTTAGTGATATTTTTAGTAAAAAAAGCGATGTATTTTTTACCTGTAAACAAGAAAAAATATATAACTATAAATGAACCAAAATAAATATAAGCATTATTAATAACTTACCGCGTTTTGTTCATAGATTATAATTCCGACTATCGAAAGTATGAAGACTATACATTTTATTCTTTAGATGATTGATAATATTTTAAAGATAATTACTTGCATTATCAGTCAGTATTGTAACTTAATTTATTATTACTTTAGTTTTTGCAAAATATTTAATTTAATTTAAAAATGATATATATATATATAGATATATAACGACAAATAAAAAATAATCAGATAAGGCTGCCACCTGACGGCAATTATGATCTATAATAACGACAATAATAAATTATTGAACCAAAATTAGAAACAAAATTTTTTTTATTGAAAAAAAATAGAATAAAGGAAATTTGAGAATTTACAGAAAATTTCAAAGTTTAATATAATTGAAAAAAAAATAAAAGACAATTATCAACGATTACTAATTATGGAGTTGATTTTTTCCAAAAATCTAATAAATAGCGATGAAGATAATTTTAAATAATTTTTTTTTTTCCAAAAAACACATTTAAAAACAAAAGCAAACAAAATATCCTAATAAATTAAATTAAAAAAAAAAAAAAAAAAACAATTTTTTTCGAAAATTCATAACTTTTTTGAGTAAAAAAATTTGAAAAACTTTTTTATAGGCTAGAAAAGGATAAAAAAACTTAACCAAATCGGGTCATATCAAAAGTGGTCGATTTGCCGTGGAAGAAAGCTTGAAGAAGCATCCGTGAAATATTCGCACGGGTCCTGCTAGTTAGTTGATATACATATATACATACATTATAATCGTTGGACTGTTTCAGATTACAGCTCTGATGCGTGTAGCGTGCACCGCTGCGTTATACATAAATACCTAAAAAATATACCACGTGGTTTTTACTGAAGCGCACGCGTGACATGTGTGTACTGCTTTAACCTCAAATTATCACAGTGAAATGACGATTTGGTTACTGGATAGCGGGTTGAAATTGCAACTTAAAATAAGTTATTATCTTCTTTTATTTTTATAAAAAACTAAATCTGTAAGTTAAATTTTTTCAAAATATTTTTCTTCAGATGTGTCAGTTTTTAAATAATTATTGATTTAATAAATTTCAATAAATAAAATATATCTACTGAATAATTTGCTACGGTTGATGACAGCAATTAGTATTTATAAAAAAGGTAAGTTTTGTTTTTTGAGATTGTAAACTAAATAAGTTTACATTAAAAAGTAAAGGGCATTAATTTTCTAGGGATTGGTTCGTTCAAATATATACAATACACTTTTGTGCATACATATAAGTATGAGTGTATATATATATATATAACTAAGTAAGTATGTATATAGGTATATATAAATATACATTTATATTCATCCACATATACCAGTGAACTGTGGGTAAAATTTGCAATCGACGTTCACTCACAGTAGTTGCAAATGAAATCTTAATCATATCATATATAAAAAATAACGCAGCGTACAAGTTCGTGTCATCACATGTTTCAAATATTTGAATTAGTTATTATTGAGTTTATGAATTAGTTAACTCCAATAAATAAAAATATTTTTTTAACGTCATCAATGGATTATTAATTTAATTGCAACGGTGAGTTATTACAGCTGATAAATAATTAATCAATTGCAGTTTTATAACACATGCATATCAATATAAATTTATATGTATTTTAATATGTAAGGTGTAGTGGTGAAAAGTGAAGTAAGTAATTGAAAGTTTAATTGTTAAATTCAATTACAGGTAAGTTAATCGACGAACGAACAACCTGGAATATATATATATATATATATTTAATAAAATGGACATCGACGAATATGAATCGTTACCAACAACTTCGGTTGGTGTAAATATGACTGCCGGTGCTTCGGCTGGAATTATGGAACATTGTGTCATGTATCCAGTTGATAGTGTTAAGGTAGTGTATACTCTATAGTTTTGTTATTTAAATGTCATGAGTAGGATAGGGATATAGAAGACTCATGGGATCCATGTGTTTATTTTATTTTATTTATTAATATGTTTATTTTATCTGCGGTGTTTTACTAACCACAAATTATTTTTTAAATCGGATATAGATTTCATAATGTTACATCAGAATTCAGGTGGAATAATTGATTTTGCTAACAAACTCTATTTTTACATAACCTCTGTTGTTGGAGTTGAACTCGTAAATTATCTGAAATTTAAAAAAAAATTTTTATTTGTTTCAACTCAAAAAAATTAAAAAAATTTTTTTTAACTTGAAACAATATTTAAATTTGTTTTTAAGTCTTTAAAAAAAATTTATTTTTAAACAAAAAAATTTGTAATTTTATTTTTAAACTTTGAAAAAAATTAAAAATTTTTGTTTTTAACTGGACAATTTTTTAATTTTTTTTTAAACTGAAAAAAAATTTTTTTAATTGAAAACAATTTAAAAATTTATTTTTAAATTGAAAAAAATTTGTTTATAAACTTTGAAAAAACATTTTTAAAATTTGTTTTTAAACTTTAAAAAAATTTGTTATTTTGTTTTTAAACTGAAAAAAATTTTAACGTTTTGAAAAATATTTTAAAATTTGTTTTTAAACTTTGAAAAAAATTCTTTAATTTTTAAAAAATTTCAAGCAATTTATTAAATCGAAAATTAAACTTTTAATTTTATAAAATGATTAATTTAACACGTTAAAAGTTTCAACTAGACATTCCTTGAATAATTTTCTTTAAATTAAATCAATAAATTCAAGAAGATCATATTAATATTTTAATTAGATCAATAGGCTTTTATTAAACAACTATTTTTCCTTATACATTTAACTGGTTCCATTTTCTCATCATATACAATAATTGTATTTATCCTGGTTTACCAGGAAGTACATAGAATTGAATAAATTATTCTATTTGGTATTACCTAGATTCTCAGAATTGGTTGAATAGAAAAAATAAAACATGTAATATTAAACTTTGTTATTGAATATATATCTGATACTTGAGAGTGTGATTATAAAAAAAATATTTAAGATATTAGAACGGTGGTGTCTTATCTAATTGAAATGATGATAATGCAGCCTAATTATAGCAAGTACTAAGACAATACCAAGATATCAGTAAATTGTATTAAAAAATTTTTATTATCGTTAAATTCAGCTTTGATAAATGATAAAAAAATATCACGACAATATTTTTTTTTTATTTATTTATTTACATTGCATTAAAAAAAGTTTACGATTAAAGATTTATAGTTACATTTTTTTCTTGTAAAGTTTGCATTTCATTGTGGATTATGTAACTGTCTCATCAAGCCGGTGTGACAAGTTCTATTTATGATTCGTATGTTCTAAAATCTACTTAGGAGCTCTATGTTTTTAATTCTTCTATAAATTTTATAAATTACAAAGAAAAAAAAATTATGAGCTATTTTATTTAATCACTTAATTTTTATACCAATAAATACTTAAAATTATTAATAATGATTAGCAAAGGAAGCTCGCAGCCCGATAATTACACTATTTATTTCAATCTAGTTAACTCAATCTTTGTACGTCATCTAGAATAAATAGTAAATAATTTTTATTTAAATTTTAGCGTTGTCATGCTTATTATAAATTATGTTGAATACTCTGATTGTAAATGATACTATGCCATTAATAAAAAATTATACTAAATTTTAATCGTGATATAATCGGGTAATTTTTATTTTTTTATTTTTTTTTTTTTTTTTTTTTTTTTTTTTTTTAATAGACGAGAATGCAACAGCTGACACCTGAACCAAGAGGAAGGCACAATGCACGAACGGTTTTATTTAAAATGATACATCAAGAGGGATTACGTAGATCTTTTCGAGGAGTTTCTGTCATGGTAGCTGGAGCTGGACCGGCTCACGCATTATATTTTTCATGTTATGAAGTGCTAAAAAATCGTATGATCACCAGGACAAATTCACAAGTTAATTATCTAGTCTACGGAGCTGCTGGTGCCATTTCGACACTGCTTCACGATGGTGTTATGAACCCTGCAGAAGGTATACTAATTTTCATGCAGAAAAATAATTAAGGGAGAACACTGTGACGGTCGAAAAAAAGGTGATTTTTGGGAATTTTTTTGACAGGGAAAATAAAGGAATTGGGGGATTTGATTTTTTTTATTTTATTAAGGGTACATTAAAGATTATTACCCTAAATTTTTATTGAAAAATATTTAATTATTACAATGTTATTAACAATTTCGTAGAGCACTAGAAAAAATTTCCCCCTTCATGGTCGCATCGATAACTCAAAAACGGATCATCTGAAAATAAAAATCCAAATTGCTTTTTATTAATCAGTAACAATGTAGTTATCGTTGTACGTACGGAATTTTGAAAATTTAAATTTAAAAAAATATGGCGACTGATTGAAAATTTTCTCATTAAAAATAAAAATTTAATATCAAAAATAAATAAATAATAATATATAATATACCAATAATATATATGGGGCATTCCATGCCAAATCGACCACTTTTGACACCGACCGTTTTCGATTTTTCTGAAATTTTGGTATCTTTCTCTACCCTATTGAAAACAATTTTCAGAATTTTTTCAAATTTTTTTACCCAACCAAAAAAAAGTTACGGAAAGAAAAATTTTACCACTCTGAAAATTTCAGGAAATTTGCAAAAAATACTGAAGTTTTTTATAAAAAAGAAAAATCGAAAATCAAAAATATCAATCATCCCGAAATTTTCGTTTTTTCCCAAAAAGTTAAAAAAAAAAAACATTGAATATGAATCCGAATTATTATTTTTATTTTTTTTCTTTAAGTACATTTAAAGACAAAAATTTTTAAAAAAAAAACATCCCAAAAAGTCAATTTTCAAAAAAGTCATGGTTATTTAACAAAAAAAAGCTGTTTTTTTGTAATAACTCGTAACTTTTTTTTGGTTGGGTAAAAAAATTTGAAAAAATTCTGAAAATTGTTTTCAATAGGGTAGAGAAAGATACCAAAATTTCAGAAAAATCGAAAAGGCTCGGTGTCAAAAGTGGTCGATTTGGCATGGAATGCCCCATATAAAATATAAATATTATGTAAAGATGGACGGTGGAGTTTCTTAGATGGTCCACCTTTACAAGCATGCAATGTGAGTGTTATCCATACATGCTTGTAAATTAAAATAAAAATAATGTAACAAAATTTCTAAACTAAAAATAAAAATATTTTCAAAATTTTGAAAATTTTAACTTTCAAATTAAATTTGATTTTTAAATTAAATAAAATTTTCAATTAAATGAAATTAGATTTTTTCTAGCGCTCTACGAGATTATTAATAACTTTGTAATAATTAAATATTTTTTGATAAAAATTTGGGATAATAATCTTTAATGTACCCTTTATAAAATAAAAAAATCAGATCCCCAAATTCGTTAATTTTCCCTGTTAAAAAAATTCCCGAAAATCACCTTTTTTTTCGAACGTCATAGTGGTTGTTCCCCCTTAAATGTGTTCTTAGGTAGATTCATAATATTACTATATTTTCGCAGTTGTTAAGCAGCGGTTACAAATGTACAACTCACCTTATAGAGATGTTATGTCTTGTATTCGGCACATATATAAAACCGAAGGGATATTTGCGTTTTATCGTAGCTATACCACACAACTAACTATGAATATACCATTTCAAGGCTTGCATTTCATCGCCTATGAATTTGGACAGTCTTTAATGAATCCAGACCATGTTTACAATCCAATAGCACACGTTGTTTCTGGTAGAGTCTTTAGTATAGTCATTTAAATGTCGACAAATTTAAATTAATTAACTTTTTTTTTTTTTAAAAAAAAGGTGCTATGGCTGGAGCTTCTGCTGCAGCGGCAACGACTCCTTTGGACGTCTGTAAAACGGTCCTTAATACACAACAAAATGGAGTTAAACCTCAAGGAATGGTTCAAGCTATTCAAATAGTATACAATTACGCGGGTATACCTGGGTTTTTCCGTGGTTTGAGTGCGCGGATTTGTTACCAAATACCAGCTACTGCAATTTGTTGGTCAACGTAAGTAAATTGAATTGCTAAAATTTAAATTAATTATTTAACCGGTTGAGTTAATTTGAGGTATCATACTGTATAATTCTGCCAAGCTAATGAAATTATTCATACGAGCAATTATAGTGCTGTTTCTTATTTCGGAGATGAACCAAGTTATCTTTTTACTTTTGTTACTGATGAATAGAAAAAAATGAAATGCAACTAAGATACCTTAGAAAGGGGGATTTTTTTTAAGATATAAGCTCACCCCGACATTACACGCATCGAGATCTTTCATTTGAGTACCCACATCAATTTCTCATATATTTATATATATTATATATATGTATATATGAAAAATATATCAAAATGCATGTGGGTACTCAAATGAAAGCTCTTGATGAGTGTAACATCGGAATGAGCTTATATCTTAAAAAATGTTAATAATAAAGCAATGACGTTGTATTTTGTTCACTGATGATATTTTTAACAATATAAGCTCATCCTGGAGTTACACTTATCGAGACCTTTCATTTGAGTACCCACATCAATTTTTGATATATTTATATATATTATATATATGTATCTATGAAAAATATATCAAAAATGCATGTGGGTACTCAAATGAAAGCTCTTAATGAGTGTATCATCGGCATGAGTTTATATCTTTAAAAACGTCAATAGTTAAAAAAGTACAGTGTAATTTAACAAAAGTCATTATTTAATAAAGCAAAATTTTATTTCTTTATATTTCACAATCTTTTAACTATTTGTTTTACTGCTAAAATAATTATTAATACTCATACATTTAAAGTATATAACTTTTTGCAGATATGAATTCTTCAAATACTTCTTAGCAGGCAAGCATGATGATCCTTGTTTAACTATAGAACCAGAAACATTTAACACATCAGTGCAACATCAATTACAGGTGTCACGAACTAACAATCCGACTAGTTTTCCAGGGACAGTGTTATTCAATAACAAATCTTCAGGACCCGTGTTACTTGACGTAACACAAAGTTAGATAGTTATACGATATTTTAATACTAATGTCTCGTTTTGCAAAGAAAAAAGAAAACAAAAAAAATGAACATTTTACCATCGTTAAATTTTATAATTGAAAAGAGTTTATTAATTGATATTTTGTTAAACAAAATTGAAGTAAAATCAAATTGGGTAAACATCACATTAATAACAACAATTCTTTGTTACTGAAAATTGAAAAATAAAAAAAAAAAAGTCAATGTTAGTTATGAATTGGTGATCAACAAAACGACTGATGAGTATGTGCAGGTCACTGTCTCAAAAAATTATTATTAATATTATTGTTTTTTTAATTGCAAATATATGTGTATGGAGCGATCAAGTATTCTGTTGAAAAAAAAAAAAAAAAACGATATGTGATTTGCATCTAAAATATTTAATTGAAAGATAAATTTTTGTCTTTGTCTATCTAAGAAAAAATCTTATCTTACAAAATAAATTTAATATGACAAATGAACATAAAATAACGCATACTATTAAAGTAAAAAATAAGCAATAAAATAACACGCTGTCATATATTGCAATGACAATTTTAAATTAATAATAATGTCAATAATGATGCTAAATTAATAGGAATCCATGGATTAACGAATCACATGCGATTTAAAATAATTATTGTTATTCGACAATATAATTATTATTTTATGTACCAAGTGTGTAAATATTTATTAATAATCAGTTAATGCAATGAGACCTCAATATCAAAATTTCATTAAAAAATGCATTTTTATTTTAATGTCGTTAAATAACATTGCAAACAAAGTTCACGAAAAAATAATTAAAATATCTTTTTAAATTGCACAAATTTAATTACTACACAAATTTTTTAGCGTTCCACTGGAAAAATTTTTAATTAAATCTTTTTGATTTATAAAAAAAAAATTCATAGTTAAATTTATATATAAAGATAAAAAATATCATCAAAATAAAATACCATTGTTGTATATTGATAAATTTAATGATGAAATTTTTTATAAGTCAAATTTTTTTGGTAATGTTGAACTAATGAAGCAAATTTGTAAATTTTAACTGCTGATTTTGCATGTTAGAGATAACTCGTGACTCCAGTATCTATCGAATCCCGGAAAAAAAGACCGAAAAAAATAGACCCGGAAAAAATTTTTAAGTTATGAAAAATTCATATTATTTCATTAAAATTATTATAAAATAAAAATTATAATAATAATAATTTTTTAGATTTTTCAATTAATTGGCAATCCAGTAGGGTGGCGCAAAAAAACCGACTGTTTTTTTTTTTTAGTCTCGAGTGAAAAAATGTCAGTTTTTGATGTTTTAAGAGACCTTTTCTTTTAAATTTTTTTTCTCATTACGTCATAATTTTATAGACCATAAAAAAATAAATTCCTGAAAGTTTCAATTTAAAATTAAAATTTTTAAAGGTCGCTCATAATTTTTTTTAATTTATTAGTGACTATTTAATTGGATTAGCATTTTTTGACTCTGAAATTTAAAAAAAATTATGAGCGACCTTTAAAAATTTTAATTTTAAATTGAAACTTTCAGGAATTTATTTTTTTATGGTCTATAAAATTATGACGTAACGAGAAAAAAAATTAAAAAAAAAAAATTTTATTTTTGAAATTTAAAAAAATTTGGAGCGACCTCTTAAAAATTTTTTTTTAAGCTGTCCTTCGGAGAGAACTCTTAAAACATCAAAAACTAATATTTTTTCACTCGAGACAAAAAAAAAAGAAAATTTTGGGTGTGATATAATTATTATTATTATGATTTTTATTTTATAATAATTTTAATGAACTAATGTGAATTTTCCATAACTTAAACCAATTTTTTCCGATTACCGTATCTATCATACGATAAAAATGAAAAATATTTATAATAAAAAAAAAAATTTTTACTAAATTTCTTCACAAGTAAAACATAAACGTAAATCGAAAACGACTTTATAAAATAGATCAAGAAATCCACCACATTATTGCCCCGCAAATTGGATCAAAGTAAAAAAAACCAACGATTTCATTTAATATTAATATTATAAATAAATACTGAAGAATGATCTTTATAAATTACGGAGCATGACAATTTATTGTCTGACGATAGGACAATAATATTAAAATTAAAAAAATTAAGTGGATCTTCTAAAGACATTTTTTATTTATTAATAATACTAAATAAAATCTTTGATTTTATTATTTCAATTTGACTTAATTTGGAGCGTGAAAAAAAAAATATGATATTAAATTAGTACTATTAAATTGTAAAAAAATTTGGAGATTTTTGTTATCAATATTGCTTCCTAATGTCTGTGATAATTGTCATTTTCTATGATGTTGACTTTGAAAGGAAGTAATATCATAAACGAACAGAAGATCAGACAAATTCACACTACTCAATATTGTTTTAAAAACAAAATGGTGTAAAAGATAAATTAAATAATCAATTATTATTTTTCTGTAGCAACCCTCCAGTGTTAACTCGTTAAGTGCGTATGCAATACAATATTTAATTAATAAATGCATAAAAATTTGTTTAATTTGTAACGTACTATTGCGTATTTAAGCTTCTTCACTGTAAATGACTGTGTATACAAGTTATAGAAGCAGAACGAAAGGCTAATATACCTTGAAATGTATCAATAGTGTAAATAAAAAATAATTGTATAGATTACCAGTGAAAAATTTCGGAGTAATTTTATTCATTTGACCTGGTCAAAAATAAATTAACATTAATTTAGCAGATATTTGATTATTTTAGGAATTTTTTTTTACAAATAAATTATGGCAAAAAAAAATTGTTAAAAAAAATTGACATTTAGAAATTAAAAAAAATTAAGAGTGCAATTTTTAAAAAATAATTAAAAAATTGTCAAGTGGCTGCTAACTTTAATGACATTAACGTTACCTGTCACTTGACTGATTTTTAATTTTATTTAACAATTAAATAAATTCTAATAAATTATTTTTAAAAAATTGCATTTTTAATTTTTTAAAATTTCTACATGTCAATTTTTTTTTCTTATTTTTTTTGCCATAATTTATTTGTTAAAAAAAGTTCTAAAAATTATCAAATATCTGCTAAATTAATTTTCATTAACTTTAATGTCGTCAAAAATGAAAAAAACTAGAAAATTGGTAAAATTATTTCGATTAAAATGCTCTTTATAAGTGAATACAGTTTATTTACAAAAAGTACTTATTTTATTTTAAAAAACATGATACTTCAGTTTGTTGAAAAATTTTTGTCTAAATTTATAAATTATGAACTCGATTTATTTTTATGTTTAATATGCCTAATAATGAAATTCATGATGTTAATTGGCAACGAATTAAAAGTCAGGCAATCATTAATGAAAATAATTTACGTATGAAATGGTTTATTAAAAATAAACAGCGATTATTGGAGAATTTATCAAATGGAAAAAATAGTAAAATTGTTGAAAGTCAAATTAAAAGTCTAAAAGACGATAATAAATTGATAAAACGTGAAGAAAAGGTATAAATAATAGGATTAAAAAATTTTTTAAATTTTTATCAAACCAAAAAAGTTGACAGTTGAAATTGAAAAATGTTTTCTTTAAATTACAGATACCAAAAGGCGAGAATATTGATCAATGTCCATCAACTTCAGATAAAGAAAATGTTGGAATTGATTGTATGCGTTCTGTTGATCCTTCTACGTTGAAAATTCTCTATAAAAAAGATAAAGAGTGTCGCAATGAAGCTACAAAATCATATTTACGCAAAAGGTATTTTTTATACATGAAATTTTATTATGTAATATTTATCACAAACAAATTTTATTTAATATTTAATTTTATATAATATTGATCACAAACAAATTTTAGAGGCATTTATTTACTTGTTGATTAATCTTTCTAGATACGAGTTACGACCGAAAGATAAATTTCATATGATAGAGTGCTCCAATTGGATTTATGGCTGGCATACAAATGATCTTCCAGCTATATCATCTTCAACATTTGGAAAAAAGTTTATTATCTATGATAGTTTTTATCGAAGAAATTCATCTTCTATCAATAGAGATCCAGATTTATCCCGAATTCCTCAAACAACAAACCCAAAAAATTTTAATGAGCTATTAAATTCATAAGTAATTAGATTATTAAGAAGAAATTTTCGTAATTAATTACTATAAGACTAAAAAAATCTTACAAAAAAAATTATTTAAAATGGCATCAGTTCCAAATTGGTATCAAGAACTTTCAATTCCTCAAGTAAAATATCCAAACAATTTTTCGTTTTTTTTTTTTTTATTATATTATCTATATTATTAAGAGAATAAGCAAAATTTTGTGGCCAGCGTATTTATATAATAAAATGGGTTTTATTGGTTAAATTCGATATCGTCGGAAAAGTATTGACCTTGTATCTCGTGGACTATTGACCTTTTTAAAGATATAAGCTCATCCCGATGTTATACTCATCAAGACCTTTCATTTGAGTACCCACATCAATTTTTCATATATTTATATATATTATATATATATATGTATATATGAAAAATATATCAAAAATGCATGTGGGTACTCAAATGAAAGCTTTTGGTGAGTGTATCATCGGGATGAGCTTATATCATTAAAAATGTCAATAATTGAGAAATTACTTTGTATCTTATCCACTATTGACATTTTTAAAGATATAAGCTCACTCTTGCATTACACTCATCGAGACCTTTCATTTGAGTACCCACATCAATTTTTCATATATTTATATATATTTATGAATATATGAAAAATATATCAAAATGCATGTGGGTACTCAAATGAAAGCTCTTGATGAGTGTAACATCGGAATGAGCTTATATATTTAAAAACGTCAATGGTTAAGAAAGTACAGTGCAATTTAACAAGAGTCATTATTTAATAAAGCAAAATTTTATTTATTTATAATTCACAAGTCACGCCAGTCACATAGTGACTGCAAAGTTGCTAGTGAAGATTATTTATTTATTAATATTGACAATTAAATGCTCATAATTTTTTAATAGATGAATCGAGTACGCATTTTAGCTAAAGCCATCAAGTGTGATGTTGATGAAAAGCTGACTGTCAGAACTCGAAAAGTTCTAACTGACATTGGAATAATTTCTACGTTTGTAAAAATTTCATCAAATGAATTAAAAAAAATATTTAAAAAAAGTCAGATGGATCCTGGCAGATTTTTATGTGAAATTTATCGCTCTATTACAGGGAATTATTTTGAAGAAGAACGCAATAGTTAGTATTAATAATTAATTCTTTTTTTAATTTTGTAATCATGGAAAAAGATTTTAAGCTACCAAAGAAGAAAAAAAAAATTGAAAATATTTTAAAAGTTCTGTTTAGAAATTGTTATTTTTTTTTTTTTAAATTATTTTAAACCTCGTCAAAATTGATTTTTCAAAATTAAATTAAAAAATAAGGCTTACAAGTTAATTATTTATTATTTCAGAAAAATTTTATGACTGCAATCAGAGGCTTGTTTTAACAGCAATTGCTTTTTTGTATCTTCCGGAAACTATCATTGAATTGCATCGTCGATTACCAATAACAAAAAGAAATGATTCTTCATATTCACAAAAAAGTAAGTATATGTTTAATCTTATTAAAATGAAATAAATTTTGTCTTTATTGAAACAATTTAAGTTTTTTTTATAAAATTTTTATTTGTAAAATATTTTTAGATTTTCCACCAGTTAAATCACAACAGAAATCTGCTAAATCACCATACTTAAAGTCTCTCCTGGAAGAATATAATTTAATATTACAAAAAAATGAGCAATTAAAATCTCAAAAAATTGATAAATTAATTGCCAAACCTCGAGTGATATTACCTCCTTCTGACTTAGTCCTGAAGTCTGAAAAATTGAAACGATCAAGTCAAAAAAATTTAAAGAAGAATAATTCTCAAAGCAGTTATAAAAAATTACGATTATATTCAAGTAAAAGTATCGCTAAAAAAAATTCTTCACAGCTTACAGCTCGTAGTAACAATAATAAAAAAATAGAATTTAATGAATATGATCCAAGAATTGTAAAAATTTCTAAAGAAAATGAAGAAAACAATTTTGAAGAGAAAGAAAATATTTATTTTAATACTTTTGGATTAAAAGATAATTTTTTTACTTTATCAGAAAATTCTTTTAAAATAAATGAAATAAATCATTTGCATCGAAGAAAATATTTATCAAAAAATTGGGAAGAATCTATGCGAAATGTCGATGAAGACTTTGTAATTTTGTCAAAAAAAGCTAATGATATTTTAAAAAATTTTTATAAAACAACTCGTAGGATTTTTAATGTCGATCTTTGCAGCAATTGTTGCTCACAAAAATCTAAAATTCCAACAAAGAAGAAAACTAAAAATTTATTAATAAATTCTTTAATATTAGACGGAAATTATAGAAGAAAATTTATTGGCTCTGTAACTTTAAACTCACCTTTACAAAGTTTACCTGCTTCTAAGCATAGCTTCTCACAAGAACCTACTCTTTCTGAAGATAAATTAATTAAGAAGAATATAATTTGTGGCTCAATAATAATTGATGGAAAATTGGTAAATCAAATTGGAGGGATTTGTAAAGATCGTTTACATATTTTGCATAAAATTCCTTATTCGGAGAGAATTAAGAATATTTTACCGTGCAATTGTTATTGTACTGAAGAAAACAAAGAAGAAAATGAAACTGACAATAAAATTGATAAATTAAAATGTCAGCAGTGCTTTGATGATATTAATCCAAGTTTAAAAAATTTTTTTTTAGCAAACGAAGTAAAGAAGAATATAGAAGAACAAACTTTTGAGCGAATTGATCACACGACTTGCATTCAAAGGTTTTATACTGATGATAAAAAAAATGTTGAGAAAAAAAAGGAAACTTGTATGAAGTGTTTGAATTTTCCGGATAAATGTAAAAGAAATCCTCTTGAAGAAATACTAAAATTTGTTGAAGAAGATCAGATTAAATTATACAAAAATAATATTAAGTTTTCTATTAGAGGATTGAAACAAATCCCTGATAATGAAACGAGTTGTAAGCCGGTTATTTCAAATATAATTTTATGTACACCTAAAATAATTACACCTATTTCTAGTAAGTCAGATTTAACTTTATATTCTTCTTTGAGTAAGAGTAATAATGTGGCTGAAATAAAATTAAATGACGTTAAAAATGAAGGTGAAAAATTATCTGGTAAAGAAAAAATTGCTAAAATTATTAAGGATAATAAAAATAAAGTTAAAGAAGAAATGATGGAGTTATATAAAAAACTTGAAGAGTTAGATAATATTAAAAATAAATTAAATAAAAATTTGGAAATAATTAAAAGTGATCCTGCGATAAAGGACTTGGACTCTAGTGTGATAAAAAAACGATCTAAAAAACAGATAGCTGGAAAAAACGTAAAAATGAAAAAGAAGGATATTAAGTTAAAAGAAATTGATAATAAAGCTAATAGCGAGAAATTTGATGAAGAAAATTTGGAAATAATTGAAACTGATTCCAAAAATGTAATAAAAAAACAGAATGCTGATGTAAAAAATAAAATAAAAATGGAAAAGAAGTTAATGTCAGAAGAAACTGGAGATACTGATGCTTATAGTGAAGCATCTGAAGAAGATAAAGAAAATTCCGATTTTGATAAAAATATAATTAATGAAGTAAAAAAAGACGGAGACTTATCGAAACATAACAATAATTTAATTACTTTGATGAAAGTATGTTTGAATTTACTTATAATTATTTAAAGTCAATCGGAGATAAAATTATTCATGAAAAATGTGATAATTTTTAAGTAATTTACTTTATTTTTAATATTAAATATTGATACTGGAATTAACAATGAGAATTATTAAGTTAGCCGACATCTAAAAATTTGTAGAATTTTTTTTTAATAAAAAATTTTCATTTGTATAAAACTTGATAAACTGCAAGTGCAATTTTAAAAAAATATTTTTTAGTTATAATTTAATAATTAAAAAAAAATCAAAAAAATAAAAACGTCGACTAACTTTAGTGTTATAAATTAACAGACGTCTGACAATTCTTGGAATTTTTATAATATATAAATTATTATAAAAAAAATAATTAAAAAAATTCCCACTTATAATTTTTTCAAATTTCTATGTGGAATTTTTTTCATTATTATTTAATTATTATAAAAATTTTTTAAATTGTTAGATATCTGTTAAATTAAGTATCAAAAAATAGTCTTCCTATTTTTATCTCCTATTGGATTACTGGTTTATTAGTCACAATAAAGATAATTATTTAAATAATTAGATTGCACTGAAAGAAATGGCTAATGAAAATTTCCTACTTGCAAAATTACCGGATTGTGATAAACTGCCTCAACTTCGAATGTGGATTAAGTGTCGAAAAGGATTTGTTTCACCTCATTTAGAGAAAGGTCAGCAAATTCAACATTATTTATTGACAAGTTTAAAAAATTACATTGCTTATTAATTTTATACTTGTATTTTAAAGATGAACTTCGAGATAAAATTCAAAATATCGGTAATGAACAATTTGATGAGACATCAAAAATTGTGGCTCCACAAATAAAATTGGATAAATACCTAGAAACGTTAAATTACAATGATATAAATAAATTAGAAAATCTTGTAAGAATTATTATTTGTTAATTATTTTACTTAACTTATTATTTATTTATTTTTAATAATATTTTTATTATTATTTGGCAGGTTGAAATGAAAAAGAAACTGTTTTACAGCAAAGTAAGAAAGTCAAGAGTAAATGTATCACGTTCTGCGTGGAACCAATTGCAATTTGACAATTGTACGTCAGATTTATTATTTAAAAGATCTTATTTTATTTATCAACCGGCTAAAGAAGCAGATGGATTTATATTGAAGCCATACGGATTGCAATCTTCAAAAAAAAAAAAGAAAAATAAAAAGTCTAATTGATGATAAATGTATTTAGAAAAATTTTATTTTAATTATTTAAAAAGATAAATATAGAGTAAAAGACTCTATTAGTAGTGGGCATCCCACTACTAACACTTGCCTTGATTTTGGTATTTATTTAATTAATAAAATCATTAATTTCTGTAATGAATACATATTATGTCCAATTTTTACGACCTTTACCCTTAAAAAAAAAATTTTTTTTGTCCAGAAAAAAATTTCTTGGCTCAAGAATCGTTTAAAATTAATTTTGGTTTTTCGACAAAAAAATATTAATATTTATCATGATAATAAAATGTTGGCATTAATTTTGATAGATTAACAAACAAATAAGTTCATTTGAATTAATAAAAAAAAAATAATTCGATCAATTTTTGAGACAGGAAAATATATTCTTGAAAATTATCAAGAATATATATTCTTGAGATGAAAAAATTTTCTCAAGAGTAGTACTTAATTAATAGACCAAAAAAATTTTTAATTTTTATTCCAAGCAGAACATTTTTTCATTGAAAGAAAAAGTCCCACTAATGAGTTTTTTTACCTCATTTCAAGTTAATAAACACAAAAGAAAAATTTTAAATTTATTATTGCAAATATTATGATCTTCAGGGACGTAATCAAATAAAAACATAACAACTATTAATTAATTTAACCATAAAGATAAATAAAAATATCAATCTTATAAAAACATTACACAGCAACAATACAAAAGTTTAACCAATATTTATATTGTTTATGTTTCTTAATAATATAATTACATTTTTAAATATTACTCCTAAAAATTATCACCATTTAATAGTAAATGAACATATTAGACATTTATTATATTTAAAACATAAAAAAGTAATAGAAATATATTATTATTTACAGATGACTGTTAATCATAGTTAAAACAAAGCATTTAATGCGTGTTTTAGCATTGTGCGGCAGCCGTTGAATCTGCGGTTGTAAATTCCTCAAAAACTGATGTATCTGCCTTCTGATTGGAAGCAAAGTTCTCCTAGTCCTCGCAATCCTCTGGCTGTGTCTTGTTCTTCTTTCAACATAACCCCTAATCTCTTCTCTTTCATTTTCTTCTTCATTATTTTCTTCAATATCAAACATATACTGATGCTGAACACTAAGTTCTTCATCAATTCCCTCATCGGTATCAATCTCTAGAACTTCTTGCCCCACTATCTCTTCCTCCTCTCCCTTAAAATCATCATATTCATTCCCCTCAATAATAACTTCTTCCGAAATATCTTCTAAATGAATTTCTTCATCTTCATTCTTCATCTCCAACAAAGCTTCTAAATTTTGGTCATCAGTTTTTTCTCCATCATTATTATCACTAAAAATTTCATTTTGTATCTTACGTTTTCTTCCTCGTTTACATTTTTCCATCCCAGATCTTTCATTAGTAAATTTTTCTTTCTTCCCCAAATTAACAGTACAATTATTAACATCAGGCAAATCAATTTTTATCAACAAACCCGGTGGAATACTTTCTAAGCTCGAAACAGGAATCGGTTTTCCCAAATTAGAAATATTACCCGTAAAAGGCAGTATAACTTTTTTAACAGCCGCATTATTACTCAAAGAAGCAATATTATTCGCAATTGTAATAGGCTGAATTTGATTAGTTTGTATCTGGGTAAATTTCCATAAATCACAATTACTTGACGCTGGCGGCAAAGGCAACTTCCTTAAAATTCGATTATCAATTATCATTTGCGGAGGATGTAAAGTAGCAGGAATTGGTTTAGGAATAGTAATCAAAGTAGGTCGTTTAGATTTTCCTCTTTTTTTAGCTAAAGGCATGGGTTTATTAGCAACAAAAGGTTTTTTACTCGACACAATTGGTACATCTTTTTTCTTCTTACGCTTATCATCTTCTTCAAGCCACTCACCGTCCAAATGTTCTAAATTAACATCAATAAATTCATGACTATGTTTGATATCTTTATCCATAAAATTACCCGAGCCATTGGCAATTATCTCTTCAAAATCTTTAATTGTCGGTACAGCGTCACAAGGTCCGACTTTTTGAAACGATTGACCGGACAAGAAATGCTTCGAGCATAGTACAAGCTTACGAATTTGATTAGGAGACATTTTTAAAATGTCTTCACGGCCTAAAAATTGACACCATCTTAAACAACGGCCAATTTCGTAAGCTGGGAACGGGTGAAATTTATATTTCTCTATTCGATTTGTTGGATCTGATCTAGATCTCCCGCAAGCGGCGCATGCTTGACTTTCCAAGACTTCTGGAGGCAAAGGTTCGAGTTTTTTGGGTTTCTCATTTGCTTGTTTGGGTATCTCGACGGATAATGAAGCATAGTCGATGATTAATTCATTATTCAATGAATCGGGATTGCGAATCATTGGTACGGCATTGTCAACAAGGCGATTGCAATAGCCCGGCAGAAATTGGGACTTTAGGAAATGATTTGAACAAATGTAACAGTATAAAATTTCTTTTCTCGTTAAACGATAGTAAGAATCAATCCCGACGAAATCTAGCCATTTTAAACAGCGGAATTCTTCTCCGGGAAAGTGATGAAATGTTGTACCGTCGTAATTTGCATCCGGAGGATCTTTGCGAGTTCTTCCGCATAAAACACAAGTAATATTGTATAAACTTTGTTTAGGATCGTATATTGTGGGAACAGCGGAACAATTTAGACGGTCTAAGTAATCATTTAGAAAATATTTTTCTTCAAAATGTTTAGAACAAACCATACGTTGGAGTAATTGTTTTTTTGTTAGTTTGTAGAGATCTTCACGGCCGCAAAATTCCAGCCATTTTTTACAGCGGTCGTCGTGATTTACTGGGAAGCCGAAAAACATATACTCTTCTTCTCGGTTGTTTGGATTCATCCGAGAACGTCCACATACTACGCAAGGATGAGGCATTTTGGTGTTGTGAAAATTTCTTCATCAAGATTCCATAATTATGATAACACTTATCATCTTTTTTGGATGTCTATAAAAATAAATGTCACTAATTATTAATAGATATGTATAAAATTTTATCAGTCTATCTTTTTAAAAAAAAAACGTTTGCCCACCAAATTGATGAAAAGTTTGATTTGTGAGTAGAAAATACTTGAATATAAATATTTTTAAGAAAAAATACTTGAAATTAAGGTCTAAAAGTTATAAAAAATGCAGCAATACTATTAGAAAAAATTAGGTATAAAAATTTTGCAGTTACTGTGTTTTAAAATTGGGCAGCCGCTATGTTCTATACACTAAAAAAAAAAAATTATTTTAGTTCGAGAGAAAAATTATTTATTTATTTTTATTTTATTCATCATTCTCGTTACAAAAAAATTCTATAGAAGTACGTATAGCATCTGTACATAGAACGAGTACATGTTAAATTCTAATAATTTTTCTTATCAATAATCTCTTATATATAGTAAATAATAATAATAATAATAATAATAATAATACAGTGCAAGCTAAAATAAAAAACTATAAAATAAAATTTTTTATAGTTTTTATTGAACCAAAAAAATAATTTTGAAGAGGGTAATTGTCTTGAATCAAGTAAAATTTATGAAAATTAATTTAATTGATATTTTATAATTTTAAGAATTTTTTTTTAACAAATCAATTATGTCGAAGAAAATAAGAAAAAAAAATTGACATTTAGAAAATTAAAAATCAAACTTTTTGGAGCAAATTTGTTTATTAAAAAAAATTAAATAATGGTCAAGTGACTGCTAACTTTAATGTCACGTAAAATTTCTTTAAATCAAGAAAAATTTATTGGTCCAAAAATTTTTTTACTCAAATCAAAAAGATTAAGTTCTTTAAAATTATATACTTGATTCAAGAACATTTTTTTTTCTGTGTGACACTTTGTAATATTCATATAAAATTGAAAACTTTTGATTAGTTATTGCAACTAGTAATATTTATACTAGAATATAAATTTTTTAAACAATGTAGTTAGTCTATCAAATGAGAATTTTATGTTTTTTAGTTTATGTGAATAAACATTTTTTTTTTTTTTTATCAAACGAGTCGTAGTAAGTTTAACAAATTAAATATTGACAAAAATCTAAATGTATTTGAAATCTTTTAAAATTCAGGTAAGAAAAATAAAGTGTATTAATTTTATCATTTATTATAATGATATTCTTCTAACGATACTGGAATTAAAAAACATCTGATAATTTTTATAATTCTTTGAGTAAATAAATTATTAAAAAACAAAGAAGTGATAAAAAAAACTCATTTGAAATTAAAAAAAAAATAAAAATCGATCAAATGATTTTTTTAGTACTAATTTGTTTTTTATAAATTAAAAAAGATTGACAGGTGTTGGAAAATTTCAGTGTTATCTATTATACCTATATATTTCTAATCCTGATTAACTATTCTTATGACCATTTTTTATTTAGCATTGTAGAGGGTATATAAAAAAAATTGAACTATCGAGACTATTATAAATGACCTGTATTTCACTTTTCTCCCTAAAGTATTTACATTATGTTGTGTTGAAAGTAAATGAAGTATTGAACTTACTTTATTAAATGTCTTGATGCATTTTATAAGTTACTAATAACTTGATCCATAAAGACAGTTCATGGTTAAGTAAAAAACTTTTTTTAATAATTTTACTTGATTGAATGAAATTTTTATTGACTCAAACATAATATTTTTATTACGTAGATAAGAATAACAATTCGTAAGGTTATGTTTTATAGCAAAACACCATTGAACTATTTTTTTCTCAATTCTTTAGAAATCCCGTTATTACCGACGGACTAAATCAATTAAAAAAATAAAAATACTTTTAAAAAATTTTCACGAATAATTTTTTCTTTAATTTCGTGCTATAATTACTATAATTAATTAATTAATTGTAATTAAAAAAATTCAAATTTAATTATTATAATAAAGATAACCGATATTTTTGATTTTTTTACATTGTTTAATATATTAAATTATAACTAAAAAATATTTTTAAAAAATATTGCACTTATAGTTTTTCAAATTTTTAACAAGTGAAATTTTTTTTTTATTTTTTTGTAACCAATTTTTCAATAAAAACGCTAACTTTATTTTCATATTTAATTCCCGATTACCTCTAATTGTGAGAAGTTATTTTTATCGTAATAGGTGTCAAAAAAATGACATTAAATTTAGCTGTCACTTTACAATTTTAAAAATTTTTTTTAACAAATAAATTACAGCAAAAAAAATTATTAAAAAAATGGACTTGTAGAAATTTTAATAAATTAAAAATGCAATTTTTAATATTTATATAAAATTGGATTTACAGTTTTTCAAGTTTTTTACAAATGACATTTTTTTTGTAATAATTTTTTCAATAAAAAAAAAAAATCTAAAAATAATTTTCCGATGTCAGCTAACTTAATTTTCATCAAAAAAATTGCTCATTCTTTTTTCTATTGGGAATAATAGCTGTTTTTTGTGCGTAAAATCCTTCTTAATAATTAATTAATAATATAAATAATTTATCCGGCGCACTTTAAACTGTATTGATCTTTATCGTGAGTTTTCTTGACGTTAGATAGAGACACAATATAAATCTAATTGTAAATGGGGTATTAGCCCGAGCTATATTTAATATTTTTACATTGCCGTGCAAATTTTTACACTTTTACCGACATTTAATATTGAAAAGTGTATAACGCTTGCTGATTGGTTTACACGCGGTGTATGCGGTATATATGCGGCCGGAAAAAGTTAGGATAAGTGAACGTGGTCATCACATGTGTGACAGTAATATGTAATATGTTTCGTGGTGAATTTTTTAATAATATCAATAAATAACGTCGACTAAACAATTGAGTGAATAGAACATAATAAGCTATTTAAGTAAGTAGTTTTCACTGATAATTACCAAAGCATCGTTATTTACTTGTTCAATAATTGTAAGGTTATTTATTTGTTCGGATACCAGATAAATATGTAAGTAGGCAGATTGCGACCAGTATGCATTTATAAACTACAAATTTCACTCTCATTTTTTATTGAAACAATATTTTGTTGTTAACAATATATTTTATTTTTATCTTACCACACTTTTTTTTTTTTTTTTCTATTTTATGAGTTGTTTATTCAGTAGAAATATTATGCATTTATTTTTTAAACAGATAACCTAACATCAGATGGGAGGCGTCGCTTTAATAAGAAGCAAGATTGATATCTTCAATATTAATAATTCTGCACCCAAAATTAAATAAATTGTTGTAGATAAATGTTTATAAATTTGTGTTGATACTTAAACGACAATCATTATTGCTCTGTTGTTTTTTTTTTTTTTATTGTGTTGTCATTGTGCGTATGGAAAACAAATGAACATTTAGAGTCCAGTGTTGATAACAAATAATAGGGTTAGGATAAAAACGTGCTTTTATCTCCAAATTAGAACGCTCGCTTTGTGAAAGATTAAATTTTATAGACGGTAAAAAGTAAGATTAGACAATGTTGTGCATTTGTTTTTATTATTTTCATTGTTTACATTCTCTAAAGAGATGTTAGCTTTATCAGTATATTGTAGTTCTTTGTTATAGCATTATTTATGAATTCATGTCTTTAATTAAAAAAAATTATTTAGATTTTGTTTATTAATACCAAGGCACAGGCCAAATGGCAATTTCTATTACATATTGCATAGTATATACAGTTTTTACAAGAAAATAATTTCTATGAGTACATAATATATACTGATAAATGAAAATTAAGTTAGCCGACATTTGAAAATTGAAAAGGATTTTTTTTATTGAAAAAATGATCAAAAAAAATTGTCATTTGTTAAAAACTTGAAAAACTGTAAGTGCAATTTTTTGAAAATATTTTTTTGTTCTAATTTAATTATTAAAAAAAAAAAATCAAAAAATTAAAAACGTCGGCTAACTTTAGTATTATCACTGATAGAAGAATTTCTTTGTATTTAAGAAATCATTTCTTAAAGATATGACACTGAAGTTAGCAGACGTTTAAAAATTTTTTATTAATTAAATTACAACTAAAAAGATATTAAAAAATTTCACTTATAGTTTTTCAAGTTTTTTACATGTGAAATTTTTTTTTTTTTAATTGTTTAATTGAAATTTTTTCAATAAAAAATTTCTAAAAATTTTTTTAATGTCGGCTAACTTCATTTTAAAAAAAATTTCTTAGTATTTAAGAAATATTTCTTAGTATTTAAAGAAATCATCTTAAATGCTGAGAAATCCTTCTATCAGTGTAGTATTGCATAAAAATTAATTTCAATAATTTGTATATAAACAAGGTAAAATTAAATTAAACTTAGAATTTAATATAAAAAATAATAATTTAATTTTTTATGTATTAAATTTAAATTTGTTATTTATTTGACGTCATTTTAATTATCAAGATTTAATAAGTAATTAAAAACTTCTTTTTTGAAGACTTGCAAGCTATTTATTGCTAACTTTTCATGTAAAAATTATCAATTACTTCCAAAATTATTTACTTACCGAGTTATTTATTTTACATTAATTTAAATGTATTCCAAAAAATTTTAATATAATTTTAAAGTCTTTGAACAACTTTTAATGATATTTTAAGCAATTAAATGTATTTTGAGCTTTGTTTAAGTGATACTGATTATTTTAATTAGGAAATTTTTAATTTCTTGAAATACACTACCGATAGTCCAGGAGGAAAGTTTTCGGACAAGCTTCTTGTTTACTTTTTAATTTAAATATGATACATAAACACATCAACTTGATCTATAAAGAAAATGCTCTGTTATTTTACAAAATTTGTACGATCGTATCTTTGATTTTCTTCTTGATTTATTTTACTTTTAATAAATTTTCATCTTGTCCGGAAATTTTTTCTCGGCAGTGTATATTTAAAATTATTCCTATAAAGATTTTCAAAAATCTTCTACCTGTAATTTCAAAAAATTAATTCTCCATTGACATTTCGGTTTTATTGTTGTCATCAGCTTATATTTTATCACGATGTAATGCCATGTGTTAGATGTTATTCAGTGAATTATTTTGATGATAAAATTCAAGATCACCGTTATTATTGATAAGAACAACGTGGGAACAGATTGTTTTTCAAAATTTTTAATTTTTAAGAAAGACAAATATACAAAAGAAAAAGTATTAACGAAATTATGTTACAAGATTGCTTTCAATTTAGCTAAAAATGTTTTATAGGAACCTTGAAAAAAATTGATGTCTGTGTGCTAGAACAAGAAAATTTTATAAAGTTAAGAATCTAAAGTCAAATTTTTTTAGTATCATTAATTTAATTCATTTTTTTTTTTTTTTATTACAGATTTTTTTACAGTCCCAAAATTTTTTTTTCCAAATTCCGTTAATGCCATGGAAACGGATTATTTAGATTTTCACGATGGAGGACAATTTTCAGAATTTTCTAGCAATTTTGATGAGGTAGAAATTAACTCACCGTTTAGCAATGTAATTTTTTATTTTCTACAGTATCATTAATGATAAAAATAACTTGTTCCAGTATGATTTTTCTGATGACGCTCAAAAATTACGAACGGTTATCGATGATGACTTTGATTACAGTCAAAGTCAACGATCACATGAAAATTTTTGGGAAATTGAACAAGAGTAAGTAACAAAATTTTCCATTAAATTCTTATATTTATTTATTTATTTATTCAACGCCAAGTGGCAATACAGATAGAGATGTAAAATATATAATATTCAATTTATCCAATAAATTTAATCAAGTGATATTATGTTATATGATGGTGAAGGGAACAGATAAAAATAAAAAATTCTGAAATTCTAAGATATAATTGCAAGTACTATAGGTGGAAAAATAGCAGAATTAAAAGAAGATATTTTTGTATTTATTTGTGTTCTGATTAGAACATAATTCTGATGGCTGTGTTACAGGCCTACTCATAAAAAATTTATTATTAAGTTTATGGTTAATTGATAAATTGAAACTGAGCAAAGTTGCAATTGACTACTGTCGAATTTAAGTAAGGTTGTAACTGATTAAAGTTCTACCTGAAAGCAAGTAATATTAAGTAAAGTTGAATCAGAGTAAAGATTTAAATGAATAAAGTTGTGACTGAATGAAGATGATTTTGAATAAAAATGTAATTGAGTGCAGATGTTGTTGATAGCTGTGAGTAGAGATTTTATGAGTAGGCCTGTAACACAGCCATTCTGATTAGAATTACATTGACTTATTATTATTATTACCTATCATGTAAATTAAGTAAAAAATCTTTCTTATATTTTAAGACTTAATGGAGACATGGCTGTATTACCTGCATCAGGAGTATCATCTCAAATGCCGAAAATTGAAAATATGAATCAAGATTTTGTTAATACTTTTAACGATTGGAGTGAACACCTTGGCACTCTACAGGTGAATTATGACAACCATCGCAACGTGAATCTAAAAATTGGTAATAGTTAATTAAAATATTATATGAAAAATATTTATCTTTTCAGGAATACGAATCTAACAATGAATTGATAACTCTCCAGAATAATTTACCGGAATCTTTGAACATAAGTTTTTCCGAAATTTTTAATGACGACAATAATGACATGTATTTACCACCGACTGAAAGTACCCCAGAAGACATTAAAATAACTCCAAGTCCTATTAAAACTCTCCCTGAATTACCATCCTTATATCTGATATCTCCAGTTAAGAGTAAAGAAAGTCCAGTTTCAAAAAAAGTCAAGTTAGAACCCGAAGAAAACGAACTAACAGAAGTAAAAGAAAATTTTGATGATTGGGCGGATAAGGAAGAAGGGGAAGGGTGCATTGACGTAGAAACAGTATCTGAATATCAACCCGTGTTAGAAGCTCGCGATGTTAAAAGTTTATTAGAACAATTTGAAGCTTCAGAAGCTAATCTTGATCTTATAAATCCAAATTCTAGTAAAAAAAATACCGAAAGTAAACCGTCATGCGAAATTAACAAAATCGTAAATAAACCTACTAAAGATATTGCAAAATCTATAGAATCAACAGAACCACAAGTATCAGAAAGACATAAAAACATCCGCGACTCACTCCCAAAAGAAGTAATAGACAGGATAAATGCTTCAGCACGTAAAAAAGTTATTTCAGTTATTCCCGCATTGTCAACTAACACAAAAAATAATTCCCGTAATAATAATCGTGCGACTAAAGCTACTACACGTAGCAAAGGTTCAAAAGCTGTTAACCAAAATACTGCATTTGATAATGTTGTTCAAAATGATCACACTTACTGTACTAGTAGTTCCAACAATAATAACCCTAATTACGCAAATAATCATAATTCTACTGGACATTCATCAAAGCTAGGTAAAGGAAAACAAGGGAAGAAATCAATTAATTCTAAGATTAATAAACCTGTTCAACATCACAAGAATAATTTGATTAAACGGATAGACAGTTGGACTGATAGTAGCTCAAAAAAAGACAGTGGGTTAGAATCGGGAGATGTTAGCGATGCTAGTGAAGAACTAGCTACTAAAAGTTCAAATGATCAGCAAAATCAATTAATTAAGCGATCTTCAGCAAACAATTCAGTACCTGTAAATAAAATAATTAATGTTAATAATAAAAAAAATCAAGCAAAGCCTGTTTCTGGAATGAAAATTCAATCAGCTTTGGCTACGAGTATATTACAAATGAGAAATGGTGTTTTAACAAAAACAAAATCTGTTGATGAAAATATTCTTAAAGGGAAAATGGTTTCGGTGTTGAAAAAACCACCGGTTAATAAATTAATCGGATTTAATGAGAGTATAATCACTACGAAAAATAGTTTGAATGATGATGTGCAAAATATTATTGTCCAAGATAATACTTCTATGATATCATCTTCGTCGTCGTCGTCATCAACGTCGTCGTTTGTTAATGAGAATGAGAAAAAACCACCAAAGCGAAAATTGAATTTAGCTGAGTACAGAAGCAGACGTGATCAAAACAGTGCAGGTAATAGTAGAACGTGTTCACCTATTCAACCCATGACGTTAATTTACATTCATCATGCATCTACGACAACTGATCCTATTACAACTGATTCTGATAATCCAGTTTGGTCAGAACGTGAAATAGTTTCGATGTTAAAACCGAAAAATCTGGTTGATGAACCGAGAATAAAGCCTGCTATGTGTAACGCATCTGTACAAACACATGAAACTGTTTTTGATAATCCTAATAGCTCGGATGTGATAGTTGAAAAACCAGAAGTTGAAGCTAGCTTAACAACAACAACAACAACAACAACAACAACAACAACAACAACAACAGATGTTAAAGTTGTTAATGATGAAAAAATAAGTATAGTTGAAAAAGATCAAGCTTTTGGAAGAAAAAGGAATTACAAGCAGTGTAGAGCTTCTTCAAGCAGTAGATCACGTTCACGAAGCCGCAGTAGAAGTAGTAACAGTATTCAAAGTCGTAATAAGAAAGAGAGGAAGGTTGTCAGTCGGAAAAGAGTCAGTCGGAGTCGAAGTCATAGTAAATATAAGACCAACAAACGTCGGAGTAGTAGTAGTCGGAGTCGGAGTCGGAGTCGGAGTCGGAGTTTAAGTCGGAGCCGCAGTAGAAGTTGGAGCTTGTCAAGTCGAAGAAATATTAGACGCAGAAAAATTAGCCATCGTCGTAGTAGCGTTAGTTCTAATAGTAGTTGGTCTTCACGGTCAAGATCTAGATCAACTTATAGGTCGAGATCATTCTCAAGGTCATCTCGATCAAGATCAAGATCAAGATCGTCCAGGTCAAGATCTAGATCCAGATCTCGATACTCAAGTAGTACACGGTGAGTATTTTAATTAAATAATTGTGTAATTATTCTTTTAGGTAGATTTCATAAAATCTATTGCATTGGCCCTTGTGTCAAAATTCACATAGAATTTCGGTACTATATTTATTATTTTGTCGAGTAAGGCTAAGAAATGACATTGGTTTAGAAGTTTATATATAGGGTATTCCATGCCGAATCGACCACTTTTGAACTCGACCCCTTTAGATTTAGCTGAAACTTTATCATTTTTTTCTGCCCTTTGAGAAACATTTTTCAGAATTTTTTCAAATTTTTTCATCTAACCCAAAAAAAGTTATGAATTTTCCAAAAAAGTGGCTTTTTTATTTTCAAATAGCCACAACTTTTTTAGACATTGACCTTTGGGTACCCTTTTTTTTTTATTTTTGTTTGAATGAACTTTTCGACAAAATACACAAAAAAAAATTAAAAATATGATCAATTCTATAAAATAATCGGTTTTTTTTTTTTAGCAAAATCGTTATTTTTTCAAAGTTGGTCACTTACGTTTTTTTTTTTTTTTTTTATTTTTTTTTCTCGAAAAAAACTTTAATCAATTTAACAACTATTGCCGCTCATCCCAGGCAGGGCCAATTTTTTTTTATTTAATTGAAAAAAAAAAATTTTTTTTTTATTTTAGAAAATTTGACAATTTTTTTTTTCAATCAAATAAAAAAAGTATATAACTTTTCATTGAAAAATGATAGATCGTTTGTCTGCATCCCATTTTAAAGCTTATAAACTTCTTTTTAATTTCACCTATAGAAAATTACTTGAATATAAATATTTTTAAGGAAAAATCCTTGAAACTAAGGTCTAAAAGTTAAAAGAAATGCAGCAATACTAAAAAAAAAGTCAGATGTAAAAATTAAGAATTACTGTATTTTAAAATTGAGCAGGCAATTTATTTTTCTCATAAACTTAAGAGTTAATAATTTATAATATTGATTTAAAATCATGGATTATGAAATCTACCTTTCGTCTTGACAGATGCCGAATAGCCTTTTTTTTTGTTTTTATTTTCATTGTAAACATAGAATTAATTACGATGTATAACAGTATAATTAGGTTTAAGAAAAAAAAAAAAGTTTAAATCGTTTTTTTAAATAACAAGAATTTTGACAATTGATTAAATTCGATAAGTTTAAATTTTATAATTGAGATATAATAGAAAAAGTCAAATGATTATAGGTATTGTAAGTATAAATCGGAAAGGAATAAAAGCTCGGGCCAACGAAAGCGATCACGGACACGAAGAACGGATTATGATAGACGCAGACGTTACTCGTCGGAACGTAGTAGCGATTATTATAACAACAGAAGGTAAAACGTCTATTTAGCTCTCATAAATTGTTATACCCTCTTGGAAAAATCTCAACTTTTTATATCAAATTTATATTAATAACAGTGTAATCATCATTTTTATGGGATTTCTCCAGTAAATATTTTTTTACTATTATAATTATTGATTCATTGTAATATGACTAATTTAATACATTGTATATCTAATTCATTCTATGTGTTTAATATTTTAATTTTAAAATATTAATACAAAGAGAGTATTTATTTTTTATTTTTTTTGTAATTATATTTTGTTTTATACAATGTAGATCAAAATAAATTAACATTAATTTATTTGTGTTATTAGATCACCTAGCTACACGAGGAATTCTTACAATAACACATGGCACAACCATGAAAAAACGAGACAAGTTGAAGAACGTCGGGTAATATACGTTGGTCGTATTGATGAAGGAATCACTAAAGCTGATTTAAGAAAAAGATTTGAAGCGTTTGGACCTGTTACAGATATTAGTTTACATTTTCGTGAGCACGGGTAATAATCACTTAGCTATTTAATTATTAAAAAAAAAAATGATGTTTCATTTTTATTAATAATGTTATCATTTACGCAGAGATAACTATGGGTTTGTTACATTTGCTAATAAACATGATGCATATAATGCTGTAGAGCATGGTAATGATGATCCAGCTTTACCAAGATATGATCTGAGTTTCGGAGGACGAAGAGCGTTCTGCAAAGTTAAATATGCTGATTTAGGTATTTATTTTGGTGTTTTTATTTTTATTGAGCTAAAATATAATGTGTTGAAAAAAACTGCTTATATTTTCACTTGGTTTTGATAGTATATTTATATTACATGCTTTTGTATCAAGAAGGTTTCATGATTTTTGATCCTCCGACAAAATATTCCTGACAAAATATCTTAAATAATTGAAGTTTTTAATAAAACAATTACAAGCTTGTTATCGTGCCCTTTTATCTTGGATTTTGTGTGATATTTTGTCCGGGGATATTTTTTTTGGGATATTTTGTCGAAAAATCAAGACGCCTGGTACCATCGCGAATTTGAAGTCAAAAATTTGATATTCAATTTTCTATAAAAAAAAAAAAAAAAATTTAAGATGCCTTTTATCGACACATTTTATGAATTATTTTTGGTAATTATTTATAAGTGGGGTCAAACCTATTTTTGGCCATATCTAGGTGAAAAAACATTTTTTTTTTTTTTTATTCTGCTTGTTTTTACGGTGGATTTATGATAACAGATATCGTGAAAAAAAAAAATAAAGATTTCGATTTATTAACATAAAAAAACGAACAATTAAAAAAAAAAAAGTTGAATATCACAATTTTCAAAAAAATTTATAAATTTTTTTGAAAATTTAATAAAATTGTGATAATCAACTTTTTCTTTTTTAATTCATTTTTTTTTATGTATTTTTCAAAAAAAAAATATATCAATAAAATCAAATCGAAATTTTGTTCAAAGAAATGAAAATCAAAATAGTTGACCCCACTTGTAAAGATTTACCAAAATTTTTTTAATTAATTTAAATAATTGGCAATTATTTATGAGTGAGGTCCACCCTATTTTTGGCCATATCTAGATGAAAAATTAACATTTTTTAATTTTTTTTATTTTGCTTGTTTTTCCGGCGAATTTATGATAACAAATGTCGTGAAAAAAAAAAATAAAGATTTCGATAGCTTTTTTTGTCTTCAAAAGTTGGAAAAAATTTTGGCTCTCATGTTTTTGGATAAAATTTATGTTTGATCTTTTTGATATATATTTTTTTTTTTTAAAGTACATAAAAAAACGAACAATTAAAAAAAAAAGTTGATTATCACAATTTTCAAAAAAAATTATAAATTTGTTAAAATTGTGATAATCAAATTTTTTTTTTAAATTGTTTATTTTTTAATGTATTTTTCAAAAAAAAATATCAATAAAATCAAATCAAAATTTCATTCAAAAAAATAAAAATCAAAATGATTGACCCCACTTGTAAATAATTACCTTATTTTTAAAAAAATTGTTTTAAAATGTGTTACAGAACATACTACAAATTATTTTTTAATTTTCTGTTTAGATGGTGCACCAAATAGCTCATATAGTACTGGCCGAAGTGTATTAAATTCCAACAAAGAAGACAATTCCTTCGATTTTCTATTGAAAGAAGCAAAATTACGTAACCGAAAGGTTTGACATACGTATTTTTTAATAGTTTTAAATAATATTTAATACATTGATATAGGTGTTTATATATTTATATATACACGCCTACGCGTATATATACATTTATTGAATTATGTAGGTGTTAAATTTTTTTTAAACTAATGGTGCCGATACTTTCATAGGAAAAAAAAAAAACACTGTTTAAATACTGTTCATACTTTTTTATATTAATAACGCAGCCAATGTGTAAAATCCATCAACTTTTTAAAGTTAATTATTTAATTAATCGATAATGAATTTAATAATTGAGATAAATTGTAGATACGGAAAATAATTATTGATACATTTAATAGCTTCGATTTTTTAAGCTTTATATTGGCACTTGATCCCTTATTTCTTTAAATAATCTTCGATGTCGGAATAATTAATAACTATACATATAAGTGACGCTTCATGCTTTTTATTTAAATTATTAAGTTAAATTACAAGCAGTGGGCATAGATGACTTCCAATTTTTTTTTTTGACGAAATTATAATGATATGTTACTAAAAATATTTTTTAATTTTTTTAACATTTTTATTTTTTATACATACAGAATCATCTTTTTTAAGTTTAAATATTTATAAAAGTATAAAATTGTGTATCCAACAACAATTAAAATAATAAAATTACTGAAATATTTTATTGTCTTACCGTATCATCATAATTATAATGAATTATCATTTTTGTAAGGTTGATATATTTTTAAGTCATTAAAAAAATAAATAAAAAATAAATGAGACATGTTTTATATATGTTATTTTAACTTTCATCAAAACTACTTATATGGAGGTAATCGAGTTATAATAATTAAAAAAACGATTATTCCTGGAGAGAATTTACACTGACCGTGTAAAACTTTTGTATTTTTTGGGAATGAAGCGTAGTTTCTTTAAATGAAATTATAGATCTTATCTATATTATTGAAAGAATCAGCAAAATTTTGTGGCCAGTGTATTTATATGATAAAATGGGTTTTTATGGTTAAATTTGGTATCGTTAGAAAAATCTTGACCTGGAGTTGTGCCTTTTCATGGTTTCATATCATTCTTATCAATAGTCAATTTATGATGATAAGTATTTAGGCTGCATTCGAAAATGCTTTATATCTAGATACATAATCAAGAAATGAACTTGTATCTCGTGAACTATTGACATTTTTAAAGATATAAGCTCATCCCGATGTTACACTCATCGAGACCTTTCATTTGAATACCCACATCAATTTTTTCATATATTTTATATATATTATATATATGTATATATGAAAAATATATTCAAAATGCATGTGGGTACTCAAATGAAAGCTCTTGATGAGCGTAACATCGGGATGAGCTCATATATTTAAAAACTTTAATAGTTCACGAGATACAAAGTCATTTCTTACTTACTGAGATTAAAATATTTCAATTTTTTAATCTCTCCATCATCATGATTTTCATTACCATCATCTTTATCATCATTATAATACGGCAGTAGTTCTGGTAACTTATTTTCATTTGCATCCAACTTAATATGTTCAAGATCACCAGCATAATCTTTAAAAATCTTCATTCTTCTCATATGTTTCCTAACAATGAAAGCCACATCAATATTGCATAAGTTGACTCTGAAGATTTTTTCTTCAGTATATTTTTCCCAGATATCTGCACCATTGACTAAGAACAATTCAATTATATCAATACTCTTCCCATCAATAGCAGAATTCAAAGGTGCTTTACGATCTTTGTCATAAAAATGCGCATTACGAGTATTGACATCAAAATTTTGGTCCATTAACAACTGCAGTTCTAACAACCAGTCCATTGTCATGAACATCAGGACCGTAGCTCACTAGGAGTTTAACGATATCCAGTCGGACTTTTTTAATAGCAATAATCAGACATGTTTGTTAAAGATAAGTATAATTATTATCGTAATAACCCTGTTAAAAAATATTGATTGAAAAAAATTAAAAATGATGAAATTCGAATTCTTTTCAATAATTTCAATTATTTTGTTTGTATTAATGAGAAAAAAATTTCCAATCTATTCAGTTGGTCACACATTAACTACTAAAATTCATCACCAAAAAAACTTACCTTGTAAAACCAACAAATTTTTGAAATCATATCGCTGAAAAATTGAGAATGTAATTTTGAAGATTTTTTATACAAATTTTAATTAAACAAGCTGTTGATAAAAATAATTCATGATTCGTTTATAAAACTCTTATAAGTGATACATAAACATATTCCAAATAAGATTTTTTGGAAAAATTAAAAACCAAGAGTTATTAAGTAATTGTTAATTTACTTAAATAACATTCATATAAAATAAAATAAAGAAAAAGTGAGATGTATAATTACAGTTATGTAAGTTTCAGGAAATTCTGCTGTCAAATGAAGTGTTATATTTAATATTTGCACAGAAAAAAATTGTAATAATAACAAGTGTAGTTCAATTTATCACAGAGTAGTAATTAATTGATTAATTAAATTTAAACATCTATAATAATAAAATATAAAATTAAAAATAAAATAACATGCCAGCACTTTAATAATTGAAAATTTAAAAGTATTTATTATTATTATTATTATTATTAAAATTAACTATACCTTGATTTTGAGTGCAAAATTATTTTCAAAAAAATAAATATATTAAATATTTAATACTGAAATTTCCAGACATCTGAAAATGTTTATAAATTTTTTTTAGAAAATAAATTATCATAAAAAAGATAAAAAGTTAATTATTTTTTTTAAATATTTTCTCAGAACTCATTTATTTTTTAAATAATATAAAAAATTAATTATTTATTCACGCAGGTAAAATAAAAATTGAAAATTCATCAATTTTTTATTATACTGTTAACACTAAATTATTTCACCAAATCACAATAATTATTATCTATTTAAAACTTAGTTTGGTTGACAGCAGATTAAATATTGATTGATATTTTTTTCCACGATAAACATTTTTAGCTATAAATAAAATCTAAATATACATATTATATATTCACAATAATAAAAATAATTCACAAACCTGGGTACAACAATAAAATAATTGCTAAAAATTTTTATAAATAATTCACACATTAATATCTTCTTACAACTAATAGATTTTTTTAGAGCACTACTATCATCAATACTTATCCTTTTTCATTATTGAATTCTAAAAAATTTTTATTCAATTAAAAAAATTTATTTTAATGAAAATTAAGTTAGCCGACATTAAAAATTAAAAAAGTTTTTTTTATTGAAAAAATTATAACAAAAAAATTTTTAAAAAAATTTCATTTGAAAAAAACTTGAAAAACTATAAGTGCAATTTATCAAAAATATTTTTTAGTTCTAATTTAATTAATGAAAAAAAAATTATAAATTTAAAACGTCGGCTAATTTTAGTATTATTTTATTTTATCCAACTTGTACTTGACAATCATTGCAAATAACAATAAATCTGTGGAAGAAATAACTTTCAATTTCAAAAAAAAATTTTTTTTTTATAAAAATACTTTACCAAGCATGAGTTATTATTTTAGATAGTTTAATAAATATTAATGACTTTTTTCTTTTAATTAATATTCATAATTACAAAATATTCTATTTAACAGTCACTTGACCCAAGGATTTAAATTCATGAGTACGTATAAAAAACTTGCTGTTACTTTGTCGTTATGAATGATACTGATGTCTAATAAAAGAGCTCGAGACTATTGTTTGTTCTATTGTCATTGTCATGGTTACAATATAATACATCGATTAGTTCCTGCGCATTGTAATCACTGATCACTTGAAGACATTGCTCTTTGCATGTAATCGATAAAAATATAAATCCTATAAATTCGACTTAGAATAGAAGGAAGAAAGAGAAGAAGCTATCATCGTCTCATTTTAGTCGTTCACTACTATAGATCCCGTAAATTCTAATTCTGAGAATTTCCAGCCCCACAAATTTGAACTTATATGAGTTCTGTTGTATTCTTTTTACCATTTATACACATTATTTTATATATTTTATTATATATGCAATAAAATACAATGAAACTTATTTTATTTCTAGTTTTCATGTTATTATTTTTAAATTTTTACATGAAAAATAATTTTAAACTTTAGAATTGAAACAACTTATTGCAGTTTAGAAATCTGAAAAATTAAAAAAAAAATGAAATATTGTCTTTAGTCGAAATTTAAAAATCCACTTTTAATTGCTGTTCAACAATTCAAGATCTGAGAAGATTAAGAAAAATTTGTAGAAAAAGTGAATTTATTAAAATACAAAAATTTCAATGATTTTTAATGATTAAAAATAATATATATGTTTCTAAGTAAATTGGCGCTATAAATCAATACTTTTAAAAGTAACGTCGGAAAGTATACTGATAGAAAAATTAATTTAATTATACACTAGGAGAATAAATTTCTTTTGGAAAAAAAGAGCATTCTTGTGACATGAAATTAATTTGTTTAAAATTTTTAACAATTTTATTTCTTAGTTAAAGAATAAATAAAAATTTCTCTCTGAGTAACTTTTTTGTTAAAAAAAGTTTTATAGATTTGAATAAAAACAATTTTTAATGAAAATTCATGAGTTAATTATATAAAATTGTTTTTTTTTATATTTAGGAATTTTTTTTTTTTTTTTTTTTTTTAAAACAAATCCAGTGAAAAAAAAATTTTATTTCTTCAGCTAAGAAATAAAATTTTGTAGAAATTAATTTCTTGTCACAATAAAGCCCATTTTTTTTCAAAAGAAATTTTTTCTTTTAATGTAGAAAAAAAATTTTGAATCAATAATATTATTTTAAACAATTTATATTGTTCAAAAAAATTTTTTTCTTATCAATAAAAATAATTGTTTTATCAGGTTATAAATTTATAATTTTTACAGCTCATTTTTTATCATTTCAATTTCATAAAAATTATTTAAAGATTCTTAAAGAAATTTTTAGATTTTTAAAGAAATTCGTTTACTATTAAATATATGTAATTTAAATAAAACATAATTCTCAAAAAAAAGAATTTAGATTATTTTTTTATTATTTTTAAATACTCCATAATCAGAAGTAAATAATTGACATAATTTATGCGGTCTTATAACTGTATTTATTAAATATAATTCACTCATTTTCAATAAACATTAATCGAAGAACAGAAAAAAAAGAAGCCATAGTTTTAACAATATTCTTGTAATTTTCAATATTCATAGAATACATTTTACCCGCTGTAAGATTAAAAGAATAATTCGTTCGCATAATCATAAATACTATGTTTTTACTTATTTTCGAAGGCATATTGTACCACGAACAATTGTAAATAGTTGAACCCATTCTATCGGCTTGTGTACGTAATTGTTCACCAACATAGCAATATATAAAAAGTTGAACATACACGAGGTATATTCGAATTATAAGCCCAACAATTACAACCAAATCTCTAGTATGCATAGTCATAAGTAGAACGATACCTGAATATAATAAAAATTTTTATAACACTTTACTTATACATGCACTGATAGAAAAAGTATTTAATTAATATAATCTAATTTTTTATCCAAGAACAATTCTCAATAATTTTTATTTCTGTCAAGAACTTTATATTTTTGATTCAAAAATTAGTTTGTTAAGTCCAAATACCAAAAAAATTTTTTTAAAAACGAAATTTTTTCTTCAGCATATTCTAAAATGCCTAAGACTTTTTTTTGATGATATAAAAAGACGCAAAAACTCGAGAAATTTTATTTTTAAAACAACTCGGTAATATCTTGAATCAATGTTACCACTTTATTCAAAATAAAAAAATTTTTAACTATAAAGTTCTAGGCTCAAAAGTAAAATTACTTAATTTTGTACTTACTTTTAATTAAAATTAAAATGTAAAATCCAAGAATTTTAATTTAATTTATTGATCTTATTTTTAATTTTTTGAAAGTAAAAACTGAATGTTTTAAAATACAAGACAAATTTTGAAGAAAATATTTATTTTTTAATTAAATAATTTTTTATTAATAAATTCTAAAAGTAAAATTACTTAATTTTGTACTTACTTTTAATTAAAATTAAAATGTAAAATCTAAGAATTTCAATTTATTGATTTTATTATTAATTTTTTAAAAGTAAAAACTGAATGTTTTAAAACACTAGACAAATTTTGAAGAGAATATTTATTTTTGAATTAAATAATTTTTTATTAATAAATTCTCGGCTGAAAAATAAAATTACGGAATTTTTTACTTACTTTTAATTAAAATAAAAATTAAAAATCCAAGAATTTCAATTTATTGATTTAATCTTCAATTTTTTTGAAAATAAAAATTGAATGTTTTAAAATACAAAATAAATTTTGAAGAAAATATTTATTTTTTAATCAAATAATTTTTTGATCAGTGAAAAAATTAATGAGTGGATGTAAAAAAAAAAAGTTAACTAGGTTCAACAAAAAAATTTTTGAACTGAAAAATTTATCCTGATTTTGATGAACTTTATATATAATTTAAAGTATTTTTGTCTTTATTTAATATAATGAAACACTTCAAAATGATTTTTTTGGTTCAAGAATTTTTCTCTTGAACTTTTTTTTTTCAGTATAGTACCTGATATACATATCAGCAAAGTATCGATTGCAACTTGGCTCAAAATAATTAAATTGTACGTTTCTTCAAAGTTATTCGCCAGAAGTAGTAGATGTTTATGACGTTTTATAAATAGAGAAAGTTCATGTTTTTGGATTACTATATCCCCATTGCTGTAAACATTATCAAGGCTATGAGAAAGAAGTGCGAATTGACCGCAAACATGCATTGCGATGCCAAAAAAATAAGTGTCGGCTCCAATATACGCAGTGCAAACAACAAGTAGTTGAATAGATTGGAAGATGTAGTAAAGAATATAGTGAAACATGGAAATATCAGAAGACACCCAACAACTCGGGCCAATTGGAACCGTATACATTGGTGCACTATCATTTCGGTCATTGCTCCACAGTACCATTATAAATGGCAATTTAGAAATAATAAGAGGAAATCCTGCTGCATATGCTCCAATCATTTGTACTATAAACACAACTCTACCGATGTACGCATATTTTAGCATTATAACTCGATATCTCTTATTATTTAACGTAATCCAGTCATTAATCGCCGAACTCACAATAACATTCATTTCCGTATGGTAAACTCTCGGTACAATTACTTTTACAATTGTGACAAATCCACAAGCAATAAGACTTATGACATCTACTAATTCTGTTACTGCACCACAGTTTCCTTTCATTATTAATTGTTTTGTAAGACTGATTGACATCCATAACTGATAAATAGAAAATAAATGATAATAATAATAACTGGTAAAGTTAAAAAAAAATCGAGCTACTAGGATTGAATTGATTAAAATAAAACAATTACTGACCTGAGTTGTCACCACAAATGTAATATTAAATATTGATAAAATGTCTTGACATTGGAGAGGCCAAATACCTAATGCGCGGCCTAATATTTTATACAGCCCCAAAGCATATGTAATATCTGAGGAATAACGTTTTTTTTCATACATCTTGTCGTTTTACTCGCGTGTAATCGTAGCTACTTCCAAACTTTCTCAAAATCAATGTTATCACTCATGAAAGATATTATCGAATGAATATAACAACATTGTTGCGATTAATTATTTATCGATTCTATGTTATTTATTCATGTTCGAATGTTCGGGTTATAATGAATTACTAATCAGTTACCAGTATTACAGTATTGATAATAGAGAAATATGGTCTATTTTATTATTTAATATCTTATGCTTCATTTTGTGACCGATAGTTTTGTAAAATACATGCTTTCGAAATTTTTGAGTGTAATGAACACTTTTATTTTTATAATCGACTGCATAACAATATTACTTTTTGGCTCAAGTTAAAACTCTTTTTTTTTATTAATAATATTTTAGTTAAAAAATTTTAATGAAGATTAATGTTTAAGTGTCTTTAATTGATATTAAAAAAAAAAAAAAAAATGATTTCAAAATTCCAACAGGAGTAAAGTGTTGCTAATTTTTTAAAGTTTCAGGAAGAAAAAAAAGGAAATTATTTTATTTTTATCTTTTTTTTTGTACTGCATTTTCTTTTTTATATTGTAACGATTAATCGAGGGAAAAAATAAAATAGTAGAAGTGCGGTTGCGTAGGTATTAGAATTTTTTTATATAATTTTGTATCATAGTTAAAGTGATAAAAAATATAATAATTGGTATTTTGTCAAAATTAAGTGTTACAAAATAAATTCAAGCATCACTAATAATTTATTTTTAAGGTGGATTCAATTGATTTTGTTGCGTGACTGTCTAATAGTTCCAAAGCTAGTGGGAATTTCTGTCGTCAGCACATCGCTACCGAAATAATACCATATTCGAGTAAAAGAACCTGTTAAAATTTGATAGATTAATATTGGAACGAACTTTATCGTGAATTTTTAGTTTACGCTTATAAAAATAACTGATTTTTTGTATTTGAGGAGCTGAGTTTCAAAAGGGTATCTTTTCATTTTTGATTTGTCGAAATAAAAAACCGCAGTTATCTTCAATTATAAATATTTGTATTGAACTTTTTTTAGTTTAGCTATAAAGTGCTATCGGTTATCAAGCTGAAATTCGATTTTCATTTACAAATCTTTATAATTCTCGACGTAATTAATATTTAAAAGTTCAAAAAATTGGTCTTTTAAAATATGAAAAGATACCCTTTTGAAAATCAGCTCTTCATTTATCATTTACGATAGCAGTGAAATTTTTTAGTGTGTTGAAATGATGAATTTTGTAATTTTATAAGAGGTAACTAACTGTACTATCGAGAATGATAACGGATACTATTGAAGCTAGCGACTCTTACTCTTCAAGATTGTAAAAATTCTAATTCCAAAAATAAATATATTTGTTTATAATTAAAAACAATTTTTATTTTTATTTTACATAGTGTTTACATAGTTATTTACATTTTACATTTAAGAAATTATTAAATTTGGTTGTCTTTTTTATTTATATCCATAATTTCGCAATTTACATTTTACATATTTTACAATTTTTATGTTTTTAATTCGAAGATTCGGATATTCGCAAAACCCTACCGAAAAGCATTGTAATTGGCGCTAGTAAAAGCTATCCAATAATTTTCATAGTTTTTACGTTTTTAATTCCCGAAAATCTTAAAAAATGTTCGTAACTCTGAAAATTGCCGAGTTTTAGCAAAAAAATTCTCGACCTGACTAGAAGTATTGATGGAGCAGATTTATAAAAATTTAAAATTGCAATATATCTCAAACGAATCAAACGACTTTGATGCGATTCACGACTTCAATGCAGTGTTTAAGTACTAAAAGATGACATGCTACTCCAAAAACGATCTGAAACATGTTTTTTGAATTTTTCGACAGCGATTTTTCTTGAATGAATTAACCGATTTCAATCTAGCTTGCGGTGTTGAATGCAGTTTTTCAAAAAAAAAAAAAAAAATTACTTAGTATCTGCAAAATGATCCGAGAAGAAATTCTGGAGTTATGCGAAAAAAATACTTTGTTCGAAATTTTTCCGCAACGTTATCTCTTGAACAAATTAACTGATTTTGATGCGGTTCGCAGCTATCCACATAATTTTTGTAGATTAAAAGCTAAATAAATTTTTGAATCGATCGATACACTATATACTAGTTTAAAAGTTATCCCAAAAAAATATTTTTTTTGAAAATTTTATTTTTAAGATTCATCAAAATCTACCGAGTCGAATCGATTCATATTCACTTTAAATCTAATGGCAATAGAACTTAATGGCATTTTGAATGTCATGAACCACGTTTCAATCGGTTTAGATAACACACATACAAATCATTGATTTTCATAGCGGAAAGTTGAAAATTCTTCAATGAAATACGATTTAATTGAAAACCAAGAACAATTCCTTAGATTAAGAATTTTTAGATTTGTTTCAAGATGATCGACCAATCAAATTATTTTTTTCATCAGTACCTTGATGCCTTTATCAACTAAATTGCAAGAAAATAGTTCTGGAGAAGATTATTTACAATATTATAGTATAACAACACGAGTTTGTATCAGAGAATAAATTTACTCTAGAATACAAATACAATTATGAGTACTTACTTAATTAAATACTTCAGATATTTCACTAATACTACTTTCTTATATTGTATTAGTTTGTATTAAATTTTTTTTTTTATTCTTACTGTAAAAATCAATGTTTGATTTACAATTTTATTTTTACATCTATCTTCTTGAGTGAAGAATTTATTGACAAATAATTCTCTTTTAATATTATTGTAACAACAATAAAACTATAATTAAGAAGAAAAGAAGCTATATTATAATTAATATTCTATAAAAAAGAAATATTTAAATATTATATCACTGCAAAAGGGTTTAATTTCGATTATTCATAAATCTTGTGCATAATTTATTGTACATACATTTACGAAATACGGTCATACCGTAAATAAAATATATAGTTAAACGATATGAATTCTGCAAACGTTCAATATTATACGTACATTTGAAGTATTAACATCTACAGCATGGATGATAATAAACATGAGATAATAAAATGGAATTCTGATGCGAGATATGCATTAGGACCTTATAAACTTTTAACACAATCTATTGGGATTTGGCCACTTGATCATTTTGGAATAATTGTTTTTCTTCAAGTGTTTGTCATTTTATTAATACAGGTAAATCAATATCAAATACTTTTATACTATTTTTCATGTACTGATAAAAAATTATTTAAAAAAATTTCTTAATTTAAGAACGTCAACATAATAGATTTTTTTATAATTAATTTTTTATACACTGTAGAAAATTTTGATGTAAAATATCGGTGGAAATTATATCGTCCCGTGTAATTTTAATAACACAGTGTTATTTACTTTTCTTGCACCATTTCATGCTAATCCTTATATTTTTTTTTGAATAAGCTACAATAGATAATTTAAAATTTTTTAACTACTTAATTAATAACTTTATTAATATTATTTAAATATTGAATAGTATTTTGAACATTTCAATATTTGTATGATCACTTTTATCGTAATTATATTCATTATTATAAGTGATTAAACAATAATTACGTATTTACAAGTTAAAAATCAACCAGTATTATGAATATTTGTTTGGAATTTTTTATATTTTGTTAAAATTCAGTGAAAAAAATTAAAATAAAATTTTTAACTAATTTCTCCTAAAATAAATTGACAATTTAAAAAAATTTGGTTGTGATAGTAATTCCAGTTAAATGTTGAAAAATAATTTTTTAATTAAATCTCGGAGTTGGGAGGTTCTTAGACGCTACTTGGACTATTTTTTCATGTATACCCTTTTGGTTTTAAAAATTTTTTTTCTCCAAGTCAAAAGCGCGTGCGTTAAATAGAAAATTTATACATTCTTTAGTTGATTGGAGAAGAAAAAAAATTTTTTTTTTACACCAAAATTTTCACATAGAGTCATTTACTTTACACCAAGTCCAACAAGTTTTTTTTACAGTGTTTATAATAGTTAAAGTCTATTACTCACCTATTAGGGCAGTAAATAAGAATAAAGCAGATCACATGTTTATTGACTTCGACTTCGTCTCGGATAACAATTACATGTGATCTGAGACGTTTTTTACTTTAGTGCCCTTTGATGTGTAATATAAAATTTCTCTTGAATCTTTAATAAACATCTTTATTATTTTAGTGTCTTGTCACAATAATTTTCATTCATGAGCTCATTACCAAAGGAAACTGTGACCTAATAACTGATGTCGTGGATGCTCTCTCCCTCGTTGCGGTTAATATAATGGCAACTTTTAAAATGATTGTGCCTCTAATAAACAAAAAAAGAATGCATTTCATTATAAAATCAATAATTAAAGACTGGACCACCGTTTGTGATAAAAAGTCCAAGAAAATAATGTTAAAGTATGCATTTGCAGGCAGAATATTTCTGTATCTTTTAATGATTGGTAGTAACAGCTTAGTAATTGGTACGATTTTGGGTAATCCACCAACGACTTATAAATTTTCTTCTGATCAGATAAGCGATAATGCTACTGTGTTAAGAAATATTCCATTCGGTGCTAATTGTTGGGTATCAACAAGCATGTCAATGTCTATTTATTTTGGTTATTACGGCCTTATTGTTGTCCATTGTCTTATTTCAAGCATTATAAATGTTGGTAGTGACTCTTGTATGTGTGGTATTGCATTACACGTTTGTGGGCAATTGAATCTCCTTTATACTGACATGGAAAGTCTTGATGGAAAAAAAAATTTTTTTAGTCTACGAAAACAAATAAATCAACTATCTCAGAGATATGCTTACTTGATAAAATTAGCTAATGCATATCAAGGCACTTTGAGTCTTATAGTTTTGCTACAAGTCGCTACTAATATGTTTGTTATCAGTATATCAGGTAAAATAAATAAGTCTTAAGTTATACTTATTAGGTCATAATTGTTTGTTAATTTAGAGCGTTGTCAAGCTAACAGTAGCAAAATTTATTTTGGGCGGATATTATTAATGATTAATTAATAATAAGTTACGAAATACGTTTATTAAAAATTTTTCAAATTTTCAGAGTCACTAAAGAAATTAAAGAAAAGTTCAAAACTCAACGAATTATAGTTTAAATTAAAGATAACTTTATAAATTTGATGATTAATCTAATAGACTTTAGATAAAACTAAAAACATGTTTATTAATGATTTTTAACTTCCCGCTAAGAAAATCAATGATTTTTGAAAAATCGGGAAGTTATTGGTTTTACCCCATTTTGCAAAAATCGAGGTTTCAACAGATCTCGACGTTTTGAAGCCTTAAGAAGCTTTCCTGATTATTTTCACGATGATGTCCGTGCGTCTGTGTGTGTGTGTGTGTGTGTGTGTGTGTTTTTTTTTTTCTTTTAGGGGGGGGGGACGGTTTACGGATTCTAGGCATAGATGTTGGCCCGGATATGTGGCGACTCGACGCAGCGTCATACTAAAACTCGACGCTAACGCCCCTACCAAATTGTCTTCTTCAGGATCGTCTCCAGCTCCTCACGTTGTTGATTGAAACGCGAGCACTCGAAAAAAACGTGCTCTGCATCTTCAGTGGCTCCAGGGCAGGACGGGCACTCCGGAGAGTCGTCATGCCTAAAGCGGTGAAGATAAGCCCGAAAGCAGCCATGTCCTGACAACATCTGTGTTAGGTAGTGATTCCGGTTCAGCCAAATGTCGATCTTTGGTATGAGACGATTCGTCCATCTACCCTTTTCTGCGGCATCCCACTGAGATTGCCATCGTGCGATGCTGTGCTGTCTTTGTTCCGTTCTGAGTTCTTCTGCGCTCAGTGTTGTTGACCTCTTTCGTTGGTAAAGGTTCCGTCTTTCTTCAGCTAGGACTCTGAGAGGTAGAGTTCCAGAAATGACGCACACTGCTTCCTCAGATATTGTGCGGAAGGCGCAAGCTACTCTTAGGGCACTCAGACGATATACTGGTTCAGCCTTTCTCCATGATTCTTGCTTTTCTAGTGCGTCCGCCCAGATAGATATTCCGTAAGTAAGCACTGATGTGACTACAGATGATAGTAGTAGTCTTCTGCTCTGCTTTGGGCCTCCGACGTTTGGCATCATCCGTGCTAAGCTAGCTACCACTGCTAATGCTTTTGCACTCACGTGTTCGACTTGCTGCTTAAAGTTGAGTCGGGCATCAAGCATCACTCCCAGATATCGGATATATGGTTGTGATGTGATTTCTTGTTCTCCGACTTTCAGTTTTATGGTCTCTATCACTTTTCTGCTGGTAATAAGCACAGCCTCAGTCTTCTGTTTAACCAGTTGTAGATTCATTGAATCCATCCACCGGTTAACTTTCTCAAAGGTGATACTGAACAACATGTGGTTTATCTCATCTAGGTGTTTCGCAACGATTACGACAGCTACATCGTCTGCGTATGCAACAAGCTTGACACTTCTTGGTAGAGTCAGTCTCAGCATCAGGCCATCATACATGACATTCCACAAAAGTGGACCCAGAACAGAACCCTGGGGTACGCCTCCGGTAATATCGTACTCTTTTGGACCATTCTTCGTGTCGTATCTCAGGATTCTGTCCGTAAAGTAGCTAGCCACTATCCTACGTAGGTATCCTGGTACTTTTTCTCTTCCAGAGCTTGCATAATGCAGTCCCAGTTGGCGGAGTTGTAGGCATTTTTGATGTCCAGAGTGGCCACCAGGCAGTACTTCTTCGCTCCACCCTTCCATCTGATCCCTTCGATTGCCTCTTTGGCCGTTGCAACAACCAGGTTGATTGCATCCAGGGTTGATCGTCCTTTCCGAAAACCATACTGGTTGTCTGCCAGGAGTGGATCGACAACTGCTTCTATTCTTTGGTGGATTATACGCTCAAGTATCTTACCTGCCGTGTCTAACATACAAAGTGGTCGATAAGATGACGGTTCTTCTGGTGGCTTTTTTCCTTTTGGAAGTAGTACTAGTCGTTGCTGCTTCCACTTCCGAGGGAAAATCCCTTCCTTGAGGCATGTGTCGTAGACGTCCAGGAACAATGATGGCACTGCTTTTATAGTTGTTTTTAAGGCAATATTGGGGACCCCGTCCAATCCCGGTGCTTTATTGTTCCCTACACGATTACAAGCCTCCAACAGTTCTTCCTCCGTGACAAATGGAATGTCATGCATTTCATTCTGCGCTACTAGGTAGTTAAACTCGCTTTGTCCGGGGAACAACGCGTTTACGATCTTCTGTAGGAGTTGAGGACACGTGGGTGATGGCATTAGCTGGTTTTTAAGATGGGTCATAACCACCTTATACGGCCGACCCCACAGATCTCTGTCCACCTCGTTGATGAGCTCCTTCCAGCATTTTCTTTTGCTATCTTTGATGGCTTTGTTCAGGGATCGACGGGCTTTTTTGTACTCTGCAACCAGTTCCACAGAGTTAGTTCGTCGGTAGCCACCCTGAGATATTCTTCTCTTTTGATGACACTCTTTACGAAGGGCGCTGATGTGGTCGTTCCACCAGTGAACGGAAGGTCTTGTGTTCATGCCACGTCTACGAGACATACTGGCGTCGCACGCCTGGGTCACTCTTTTCATCAGGTCCTTGGTCTTCTCTTCTGCGCAGCCCGCGATAATCTGGTCACTATTGAGAGCTACTAACAATACACTTGGGTCAAGAGTTTTTACCTTCCAGCCAATGGTGTTAAGTTGCTCTTTAGGTCTTCTCGGGCTTTGGGCGTTTAATATTTCCCAGAGAATCGCGTTGTGGTCGCTGGCTGTGTAGGTATCCATCACCTTCCAGTTGATGTTACCTCTGGTGAGGCTGCCACTGATGAAAGTGAGATCTACAATAGAACTTGCGTCTCCCTTGGTGTAGGTTGGTGTGTCACCACTGTTGAGCAGTACTACATCTAATGTAGAAAAGGCTTCTAGTAATTCCTTTCCTCGCGCGTTTGTATGCTCGCTTTCTCAGTCGCCCCTACTGCCCAGGCGTTGAAGTCCCCAGCTATTGCCACTGGGTGGTAATGCTTCGCGTCCTCGGTAAGTCGATCCAGAAATGCGGTGAATTCGACAGTAGAGAGGCTAGGTGGTGCGTAACAGCTATAGAAGCGAATGCCCTCTACTGATACTGCTACAAAGCCGGCATTGCTGTTGTCGACCGCATTTTGGAAAGGGAGCTTGCCACATGACCAGATGACAGCTTTGGATGTGCTGTCAGATTCCCAGGGTTGGGTACTCAGGTGTTTATATGGCTCTGCTATCAGTACCAAGTCAAGTTCTAGTTCTCGCACGGATTGCATGAGCAGGTCATGCGCTGCCTCACAATGGTTGAGATTGAGCTGCAGTATCCTCATGCTTGTTTGTTGGTCAACTTCTGGAGTGCATTCTGAAATATTGGGCACTTATGGGTACCGGCATGGTGGGCAACATTCTCTACACTTTCAATCTCAGCACATAATGCACATTTGGCTGTATTTTCGCAATCAGCAATCTTGTGCCCTTCTTGTCCGCACCTGATGCAAAGCCTAGACCGATCGACTTTGCTTTTGCACTGGGATCCGAAGTGCCCAAAGTGCCAGCATTTGAAACATTGGACAGGTCTCTTCGTTGCTCTTATTCGACAGTTGGCCCAACCAATTCTCACTTTGCTGTTACCTTCTAGTAACTTCTGTGCAGTTGTCGCTGGTAGCGTCACTGTAGCCGTTTGCGTACCTCTGTAGGCCTTACGGATCTTGATAGCCTCTAGTGGTATTTCGCAAGTTTCTCCGGTTTCCGTTTTCAGGGCAGTCTGAATGTGCTCCTTCGTCGTGTCATCATCAATGTCTCGAATTTCGATCATCTCCTGCGGTCCTTTGAAAATTACTTCAGCTTCTTTTTGAAGGACGTCTGTGATGGCCGTTTGCAAGGCTTGACCTTTGTCAATACTCTTCTTTGAGAGCGTAATCAGCATGTTCCCGGTTTTGGTTTTGTGGATCTTTTCCACGGTTGTGCGGACCTGTTCGTCGGGAACGGCCTGCTTTATACGACGCAATATTTCAGCGTACTTCTCCTTCTCTACCGGACGGATGATCAGAGCGTCAGGCCTAATCCACTTTCGTGGTTTTTTCCGCTTAGGCTCTGGCCTGGGCTCCTTCGGCGGCTGCTTTGAGAGTTGCTCTCTAGCTAGCCTTCTCTTTTCCTTCTTAGACTGTACTTTTTCCCAGTCAATCGTCGTCTTCTGAGGTTCGTCGCCCTGCTCTGCCAGTCGTTGAGGAGGGCTTTTTTTCAAGTCCTTTTTCTTTGCTACTTTGTCGGTTGGCTCTGGTGAGTTTCGTTCTTTTCTCTTTCCAGGCCTTTTGTCAGTTTCACCCTTCTCTTCTGCGATTGATTCACCGTCACCTTCGGCTCCGGTGTCCATTGCTTCGTCAGTTATGGCGTCAACTTGGCAGGTTTCCTCCTGTGTAGCACGGGAAGTGCGCAGCAATGATGAGCACCAATCTTCATCCAGTTTCTCAAACCTTTGAAGGGCGTTAGCTACACTAGTCGTCTTGAACTTTATCTCCTTGTGGATGTTGACCTTCGATTGGACGAAGTCATTCAACTCACTGGTCAGCTTTTTGAGGCGTTCGAGCGCTTGTGAGCGCTTCATTTCAGCGCTTGCGTTAATCGCTGCTTGTTGGGCATGAGGCCCGTTTCTACTCTTGTTTGTTTCCTGTAAATTACTCATACTTTTTGATTCACCAGCGCATCGTACAGAGTGGAGTGGGTTGTCATAACTAGGAGCGGGTGTACCCTCGGAGATAGTACTCCTACCCCAGTTCCCTGAGGCCTAGCCGACACTTAGCCAGTCCCGGAATACACGGACGGACTAGACTCGCTCGGGGCGGTGAAGATTCCGATCTCTAACACTCACTGCGTACTTCCTGATCAAGGCCCGAAGTGACTGGCTCCTGATCCACTACTGCAACTTACACCTCGGCAGAGCAAGCTCACATCAGCCGTGGCCTGCATCGTCGGAAACTACGATACAGGTTCCGGACACTCCCAGTGAGTTACAGCAGGGACCGATCGTCTTGTTATAGGTCAGTTAGTGTGACCAACCCATTAAAGGGGAGTTTTGTCCACGGGAGCGTATTTTGTTTGGTTATTTTGCTTGACTCCTACCCGCTGTACCCCATCAACTAAGAGATTATCCAAGTGTCATCCAAGGACAGCGAGCGTTCTCCCATCCGCTCGGGGAGACGCGTCCGGTAGCAGTATCTCTTCTGCCCCGAGTGAGTGTGTGTGTGTGTGTGTGTGTGTGTGTGTGTGTGTGTAAACCTCTTATAACTTCTGAACGGCTTAACCGATTTATTCGCAGTTGGTGTCATTCGACAGGTCTTCGTCAAACTTAGATTTTCTGTAAGGTGGAACCGATTCGGACCAGTAGATTTCGAGAAATTGCAAAAAAAGTGAAAAAAAAAGTTGTTTTTTTTTTTCATTTTTTGTAAATATCTCCGAATTGGCTGAACCGATCGACCTTAAAAACTAATCAGCTCTTAACCTTGAAAACCCGCATCGATCGCCACCTAGAGCGTCAGAATCGGTTGATGCGTTCGTGAGATATCGTTGTCGAAAAAAATCGAAAAAAGTGTTTTTTTATAGTAACTCTGAAATGTTTCATCAAATCAATTTTTTTGTTTTAAATTTTTTATATATTCTCAAAAACTACATCGATCGCCGCCAACCGCGTGAAAATTGGTTAATTCATTCAAAAGTTATTGCGGTTTGAAAATTCAGACAATAGTGTTTTGTATTACTCATGCGGGAAAAGTAGTATCTTGACGCTCGCAGTTGCGTTTGAAAAAGAGCCGTTTGCCCATTTTAAAATTACGCGTGAGTTTATTCATAAATAAAACTGTTATTTGAGTGCGACAAGTTTACTTGTCGCACGCAAATCCTTGTCGCATTTAATTGACTGTGAAAACTGCTAAAATTAAAATAAATAACAAAAAAAAAACACAATCTAACTGTCAATATTAAAGAAGTGAGGTTGACATTACAATATTTTTAACGATAGTGAAAATAATTTATTAATATTGAGCTGTTTAATTGTGATGAAAATTAATTTAGCAGAAAAATGATAATTTTAATAATTTTGGTGAAAAATAAATTATGACATGAAAAAAATTTTTTTTTAAATTGACATGTAGGAATTTTACAAAATAAATAATCTAATTTTTATTTATGAATAATTTTTTGGAAAAAATTTGTTTGTTAAAGAAAATTAAAAAATTGTGGTGACAGCTAACTTTGATGTCATTTAATTTTATGTGTTGATTGTTTCAGTGTGTAAACTTATTTTTTAGTAATTAATATTAATTAATTACTTTGCATTTATTATCTGATTTATATTTGTTTCTTTTATTTTAACTTTTTATTAGTTTTTAGGGACTGGGGGGCTCCCACCCCCCCCCCCCCCACCCCCCGCCGGGGCTTTGCCCCTGGACCCCAATTTTGTACCCACATATATCACCGCATTTGTAATACAAAATAGTATGTGCAACTCGTGCGACGCAATCGACAATTTGTCGCACTTGTTGCACAATATACTATTATCAAACTTCTATCAGACTTTTGATCTCAAAGAGCTCAAAAGCATAGAAAAGCTATCTTTTTGAGCTCAGAGAGCTCAAAATAACACATAAATTGTATTTTTGAGCTCGATGAGCTCAAAAACATCATAAGTGCAATTTCAAGCGCCTGGGTATGAAATTAGCGGGAAGTTGCAGGGATGGCCTTCAGGGTCAACCATTTTCCTAATTTTTTTTTAATTTTTCTTTAAAAGATTTTGCTCTTTTTCGAACTTGATCTCGGTATTGATTCATAGAATAAGCCCACAAAGTTTCATATAGATCGTTTGAGAACTGTGGGCGCAATCCTGCTGACATGACGCGTTATATTACATACATTCGTACATAAATAAACTTTTGAGCCAATGCTATTTTTTGGCATAACTTGACAAAATAAAAAACGTTATAACAAAATTTCCGTCAAATTCTGACATGAGACCGGCTACAACAGCTAGATTTATAAATAGATCTATCTAAAAATTCTTAATAGAGCAACTAATTAGCAAAAAATTTAGCAAAACAAATAAATTTTGTTGACTGATTTTTTAAGAAAAACTTTATATTAATTGTTTAAAATTTCTGGAAATCACCTGCTTTATGTTTTTATTATTTTATATAGGTGTTCTCTTGCTGTGGGGTCTTGAAACTGGAAATAATGACTTCATAATTTCTGCTCTCGTTAGAATTCTTTTGTTATTTTGTGAATTATTTGTATACAGCTTTATTGGTGAATCATTGTCCACTCAATTCGGAAGCTTAAAATTAGCAATTTATAATTGTTCTTGGTATGAAATGTCACCACTATTAGCCAAAGATTTGCTATTTATAATGATGAAAGCCAATTATGCATTCCATTTAACAGCAGGAAAAATTTGTTATATGAATCTTTCAAGTTTCACGAACTTTGCCAAAATGATGTTTTCATACTTTTCTTTTCTTAGACTGATTTTTCGAGAGTAGTATATAATTATGTTTTTACACAGTCTTTAAGAATTGTTATAATTGGAGAGACAATAAAAGTAGTATTATAATTAATATATAAAAAATTGTGTTTTTAATCAATAATTTTAATCCATCTTCCTATTAATTCTTAATCTGGACATCTAGAAAATCCATTAAATTTATATAAGGCGAAAGCTGTATTGAGAAGAATAATTCTAATATTGATTAATAAAATATTTGGTATAACAATAATACATTTATGCTAATAATTTGAAAAAGTTTTATTTTTATAAAAATTCAATAAAAGACTAATAAAATTTTTTTTTACGTGAGTTTATCAAAAATTCTTTTAATAAAAATCACTTTAATTATTTTATCATAAATATTTACTGCAAATAATATAATTAAAATACTTTGCGTTTTTCACAATCACTTTTTGGTCATTTTATCTTTTCACACACTAATATAAAAAATGTCGTATCAAATTATACTTTTTTAATTTACAAAAAAATTTTTTTACTAATTATATTGAGTTACTTGAGTGAAAAAAAAAAAAATCACTTAGTTAAATTTAGTGTTGTTAAATCAATACAGACATTTTTGATACAATCTCTTATATTTTTAATAAACTACATATCATTTTCTTCTGATAAATTTAAAAAGAGATAACTAGTCATTTTATAGACTTGAATAAATTTGCGCTTAGTCTCTGCACATATTAAAATCTTTATCCAATAATAGTTACATAATAATACAATTGTATATTTAAGTACAAAAGAACGAATTTATTCTTGATAATAAATACTTTAATGTAATATTACGAGAAAAGCGTTTGATCTTATAATTTATGTATTCGATGCATCAACTATTATTTATACACCCATGTACAAAATACGATGGTCTCATAAATATAATATGAGTTATAAGATCTGAGTGCGACCAGGTTTAGTAGTGTACATACATCTCAAGAATTAACATCTAAAATATGGATTACAAAAATCGTGAGCCGACAAAATGGAACTCGGATACAACTTACGCATTAGGACCTTACAAACTTTTAACGAGGTCTATTGGAATATGGCCACTTGATCATTTTGGAAAAGTCATTATCCTGCAAGTTTTCCTAAATTCTTTTATACAGGTAAATTAATATCAAATATTATCATTCAATTTATATATGAACCTGATATATGCAAAATATTATTTGAGCTTTTTCATGGTCAATATTTTATTACCTAAATTTCAAAATAGATAACTAGCTATACGCATCGAAGACGTGATATAAAAAGTGTTGTATTTAAATTTCAAAAATTAATTACATATTTATAGTGAAGTTATTGGATTGATAATACATCGTAACATATATCTGATTTCAATAAATACTATCCTCTACAATATTTATATTGATCATATTGTTCTCAAGTATGCACTGAGAATAATTAAAAGAAAAAAAAATGGGCATTGTGGTGATAAAAAATTAATTTGGTGAAAATTTTAAACAATTTTCTTTTTTAGCTAAAGAAATAAAAATTTTTATCGCATTAACTTTCATGTTGAAAAAAAAATTTCATAGATTTGAAAAAATATAATTTTAGATAATAATAATAAAGTTAGCCGACATTTTTAATTTTTTTTTATTTTTCTTAATTTATTAAATTATAACTAAAAAATATTTTTAAAAAATTGCACTTGTAGTTTTTGAAGTTTTGAACAAATTAAAAAATTTTTTTTTTATTTTTTTGTAATAATTTTTTAATAAAAATTTTTAGATGTCGGCTAACATTATTTTCATTTTTAGATAGACAACTTTTTTTCTACAAAGTTACTGAGAGAAAAATTTTTATTTCTTTAGCCAAGAAATAAAATTGTTTAAAATTTTTAAAAAATTAATTTCTTGTTGAAACATTGCTCATTTTTTTACAAATAAATTTTTTCTTTCAGTGTACTTGAAGCTAACAATCACACAACACAAATTATACCAAGTTTTACCAATAAATGTTTGACACTGAAAGGCTTGAATTATATTTATTTGAACCTATGATAAACATATTTCTTGCTTCAGTGTTTAGTTATAATAATCTTCATTGACGACCTAATTACAAAAGGAAACTGTGGTCTTATTACTGACACAGTAGATGCACTCAGCTTAATTGCGACTAGTATACTGTCGGTCTGTAAGATAATTTTACCTTTGGTCTACAAAAAAAGAATGTACTTCATTGTAAACTCAGCAATTGAAGACTGGGCCAACGTTCGTGATAAAAAATCAAAAACAATAATGTTAAAATATGCCTTTGCAGGAAGAATCGTTTTTATCATCCAGATGATCGGCGCTTACATGACAATAGTACCTCTTATTTTTGGTAATCCTCCAACGATTCATAAGTTTTCTTCAGATCCTTTAAGCGATAATGCTACAATGTTAAGAAACATTCCAATTGGTCCTAATTGCTGGGTTTCGACAAGCATATCAATGTCTATTTACTTCGCTTATTATGGTCTTGTTACAGTACACTTAGTTATCTTATGCACCGCATATATCGGCGGTGATGTGTATATATTCGGTATTGCCATGCACGTTTGTGGGCAATTCAAACTTCTTTATACTGACATGGAAAGTCTTGATGGAAAAAAAAATTTTTTCAGCCTACGAAAACAAATTAATCAACTGTCGCAGAGACATACTTACTTGATAAAGTTAGCTAATGAATTTGAAAGAACGTTCAATCTTATAATTTTACTACAGGTTGCTGCAAATACTTTTATTATTGGTATATCAGGTAAATTAATAAGTTTGAGTATTATTATATCGCGTTACTAAAGCCAAAAAGGCGTATAAAAAAATTTTTTTCCTAATCAACTAGGGAATGTATAAGTAAAAATTTTGTTAAAAAATGCAAAAAAAAATTTTTTTTTTCAACATTCGCTCTTTTGACTTTAAAAAAAATTCTTAAAACCAAAAGGGCAAATATGAAACATGGTCAAAGTAACTTCTAAAAACCTTAAAACGTCGAGATCTGATGAAAAATTTATTTTTGGAAGTTGCACTCAAAACACCACCACAGTCCAATTTCCTTAAATTTCCAATTTTTTGTATTTTGTGAAAATTCGCTGAAAAAAATTATAATGAAATTTTTAACTTCTTTCAACATTGATTGACGATTTTTTAAAAAGTCGGCTGTGATAGAATTTTCAGTTCAATTTTCAAAAATAATTTTTTCATGTTTACACGTTAGGCTTAAAAAATTTTTTTTCTTAAAGTCAAAAAGGCGTACGTCAAATAAAAATTTTTTTGTACGCCCTTTTGACTTAATTTAGTAACGCGATATACATTAATTATTTTAAAGGCACGGACTAGATGCATAAAATTTTAAATTTCATTTTCTAAAAACTCACTCAAATTTTCATAATATCTAGGTGATCATCAAAGAATCTTTATTTTTATATACTTTATACAGGTATTCTCTTGCTATGGGGTCTCAAAACTGGAAATAGTGAGATAATAATCGCTGCTCTTATCCGAATTTATCTATTATTTTTTCAACTTTATATCTATAGCTTCATTGGTGAATCATTGTCCACACAAACCAGAAACTTACAATTAGCAATTTATAATTGCAAATGGTATGAAATGTCACCAATATTAGCAAAAGATTTGTTATTTATAATAATGAGAACCAATTATCCGTTTCATTTAACAGCAGGAAAAATTTGTAATATGAATATTTCAAGTTTCAAAGACCTTGTCAAAATGATGTTTTCATATTTTTCCATTATTAGATTAATGTTCGAAGAGTAATAATTATGTACATCCATAGATTTATAAGAAGCTCTGTAAATTAATAAAATAAAAAATTTATTTTTCAATTACAATTATTATTCTTTATTAAAAAGTTGATTTGACGTTTTCATTGTTGTCGCTTTTTGTTGCCATGGTAACCACTTTGGCAACAGTTACCATAGCATAATGATTACTATGGCAACAGTTATCATGGCAACGATAAAAATTTGTAAAAATATTGATTATTTGACTAATAAATTTATGTTACCATTCTTTATAAGATTAAAATATTAAACAATTACATCCGTATTGGGTAATTGATCATTTAGCGGCGGACCTATTATAGGAAGATCTTTCAAAATATCATCAATCCAAGTACTGTACGCTGAAATCTAAAAATATATAAATTAATACTTTTTTTCTTCAGTAATGTGATATAAAATTATTATAATTATTTTTATACTTTGGTAAATACTGTATAATAATTTGGATCGCAAATATTCGTTCCTAATCGTCGTGGACTTATGGATACTACACCATGTAAATCCCATATTTTTTCATCAGGTCTTTGTAGCACTAATCCACCTCCACTGTCTCCATTACAAACTGCAGTTCCGTTACTCCAGCCAGCGCAAAATGTTGTGTAAGTTAAGTATTTTCGAAAATCTCTCTTCTGACTTTCTTGGCACTCATTTTCAGGAATTATTTTTACGGTCGTGATGCGGAGTTTGTCACTAAAGGTGTCGTTTTCTGTTATTCCCATACCTAAAGAAAATCATTATTAATGATTGAAAGTAACTCATTTAATGAAGAAGACTTATGTTAGTTTTTAAAATCATGATGACAAAATACCAGTAACTAAACCCATTTCTTCAGATCTTAAAGATACGTCTGAAGTTACTCGCCAGTCTAAGCAAACTGGCTTAACATTGTTAGTTATTGTAACTGGTTTATCCAAAATTAAAATAGCTATGTCAGAGCCGTAATTTCCTTCATGATCTCGATACATTTGTTGAATTTTAATTTCTGAAACTCCAATAATTTGAGTTTCCATGTTTTGTTCATCTAACGTAAAATTACTTGAAAATCCAGCAAAAATAACACGGATCGTCTCAGGGTCTGTTTTCCAAACGCAATGACCGGCTGTTATAATAGCGCTTTCATGGATCAAAGAACTACCACAAAAAAATTTCCAATGTCCATTTTCATGTGAGAATAGCGTTGCATGCCAAGGCAAACTCTCGTCCGGAGATATTTCCCAACCCTTAACAATCAAAGGAGTTGCTGAAAAAAATAAATTTATTATTACCAGCAACCTTGTTGTCACTATGTGACTGCCGTGATCTGTAAACGATAAATAAATGAAATTTTGCTATGTTGAATAATGAATTTTGTTAAATTGCACTGTACTTTCTTAACTATTGACGTTTTTAAAGATATAAGCTCATCCTGATGTTACGCTCATCAAGAACTTTCATTTGAGTACCCACATGCATTTTTTATATATTTTTCATATATACATTTATATAATATGTATAAAATATATGAAAAATTGATGTGGATACTCATATATGAAAGGTCTCGATGAGTGTAACATCGGGATGAGCTTATATCTTCAAAAATTTCAGTAGTTGACAAAATACAAGCTCATTTCTTAATTATTGATATTTTAAAGATGTAAGCTCATTCCGATGATACACTTATGAAAAGCTTTCGTTTGAGTACCCACATCAATTTTTCATATATTTTTCATGTATACATATACATAATATATACAAAATATATGTAAAATTGATGTGGGTACTCAAATGAAAGGTCTCGATGAGTGTAATGTTGGGGTGAGCTTATAACTTTAAAAACATCAATAGTTCACAGTATAAAAGGTCATTTCTTAATTATTGACATTTTAAAAAATATAAGCTCATCCCAATATTACACTCATCAAGATCTTTCATTTAAGTACCCACATGGCAATTTTCATATATATTTTATATATATGGTATTTGTGAAGTATATAAATATATAAAATATATGAAAAATTGATGTGGGTACTCAAATTAAAGGTCTCGATGAGTGTAACATCGGGATGAGCTTATATCTTTAAAAATGTCAATATTTTACAAGATACAAGGTCATTTCTTAATTATGTATCTAAAGATAGAGAATTTTCGAATGCAGCCTGAATACTTACTCTCTAAACATAAATTAGTGAAAATTCACTGGAATGAGTAAATATATTTAATAAATTCATTGCATACCTATTTCATTCCTTGTTCCACAAATAGGTTTACATTGCAGAGGAACCTGGCTCCAAGTTCCATCATGAAGACACGTTGTAAAAAAGGATCCTGATTTTCTTTCATAAAATTCTGGGCATTCCAAGGTAACGTGTGTACCTATTGGCATAGATTCATGGCATGAAATCCAACCTTGTTTCGGTCCCCATAACACTTCACAACGTTTATTTGTTGCGGGTCCGTCTAATGACGGGCACGTAATTTCTTGTCGCTCTGAAAAATAACATTCAGTATTTTAATATATTATATATTAACCCTTTAGAGAATCTTGAAACGTCTACGAGGGTAGTGGGGAGAGCGCAAATCCGTAGTAAGACCCAAGAGTAGGGCTTCAAAGTCAGACTCCGAAGGGTCAATAATATTAATAGTTATTTTACCAGAGTAACAAGTTGGAACATATGGAACCCAGTTATTATTTTGACAATAAGCGTGTGAAGACCCTTCTAAAGTTTCTTCAACGTCACACGAGAAATCGAGCCGCGTAAGCTCAGGAACTATTTGACCAGGACGACTCTGTGGATATTGAGAAACTGTGTAATGAGTTCCTGGTTTCGCAGAAGGGAGACGACATGCTCCATTAGGAAGACTTGAATCGCAAATAGTTTCATCACTCCAATCGTGACAATTTGGTTCTAAGTTACATTTGAGAGAATCAGGGATGCATGCTCCATAATCACATTGAAAAAATCCGTCTGGACATCTAGAAATATTATAAAAAAATTTCTTAGCATAGATTCATTTATTTATTTATTTTAAACAATACACTGAATTCTTCAGCAAAGCCATTAAGCGGGTTCCATTAGAAAAAAAAAATAACAGTTACATTATATTTAATAATAATACTTATAAGTAATAGTAATAGTAATAAGTATGTATTTAGTGTAATAAGTAAGTATATAAAATGCTCTGGCTCAGTCTCTATTTGATAAACATAGTTTCGATTTAAAATTATTATGAATATTGTATTACAAAAAAATGAAAAAAAATTAAGAAAACTTGAATTAAGAAAATTACTTTAAAGAACTTCATCATCTTCATTAAAGTATAAAAATTCTTGAATTTAGAAATTTTTCTTGATTCAAATATTTTTTTTCTTTATTCAATACAATTAAACTTGAGTGTGAAAATTTTTAGAATGATTTCCTTGATTCAAGTTTTTTTTTTTTTTCTTTCCAGTGAATGTTATAAATTTTGTAGCAGTGAAACAAGTTTGTATAATTTTCAGGTAAACGCATACTAACTGTTAGTTAAAGTTTAATTGCATACATAAGTATTTTCTGAGTTAATTCTTGCCACAATAAAATTGTTACTTACTGCTGATTTTTACAATTTTCAGGTGTTTCATCCGAAGCATCTCGACACTGTTGAGCTCCATCACAAACTTTGTAAATGGAAATACATTGTCCTCCACTTTTACAAGAAAATTCATTTGGTTGACAATTATAATTGAGACAAGTATCTCCAACGCAGTTGATCGCTGCACAAGTTGAAATTTTTTCATCGCTTCCATCCGGACAGTCTTCTGTACCATCACAAATTATTTCCGGATGAATACAACCACCATACTCACACTGATATGTGTGAGCTGGACAGAAGTAATCTTTGCATGACTCTGCACTTTCATCACTTTCGTCCTTACAATCTACGTAACCTGGTATACAAACAATAAATTATTCTCTTAAATTAGTGAATGAGCTTACATATTTTTGTTAAAAGTTATGATACTGAAATTGAGAGACATCTGATAATTTTTTTAATAAATAAATTATATTAAAAAAAATTCATTAAAAAAATTACATATTTAGAAGCTATAGAAAATTATAAATGCGATTTTCTTAAAAATAATTTTCTAGACCTAGTTTATTTTCAAGAAAAATAAAAACATTGTTAAGTGACTACTCAGAAAAAAAAATTTACTTAGATCAAGTAAATAATTTTGAAGAATTTCATCTTTTTGGTCTGAGTTGAAAAATTCTTAAACTAAGAAATTTTTCTTGGTTTAAGTAAATTTTATTTGATTCAAGAATTTTTCTTCTTGATTCAAGACAATGAGCTACTTCAAAATTATTTTCTTGGTTCAAAAATTTTACTCTTGATTCAAGTTAATTTTTTTTTTTCAGTGTCATAAATTTTTTCACAAAAATTGAGTTATAAAAATCCAATAAATTGTTAAAAGTTGGTTAATTTCAGTTTCATGATAAATTTGAAATTTTACCATTGCATGTTTGGAAAAATGGAATACACTCAAGTGATTGAACACACTGATACTCATGACTCGTGCAGTCATTAGGTGTTTCACAGTGAGTTTCATCACTTCCATCAATGCAATCTTGAAAACCATCGCATCGAAAAGATTTTGAGATACAAGCTCCGTAGTTACATCGGTATGAAGATACAGGACAGCTAATTGACAAAAATGCAAAATTTTTAAGATTATTATTAATAAGTTGCATAATAAATAACTTAATAATAGTTTATTAACTTACACAATATGATAGCATAGCTTCTTCAATTCGTCAGAAGAGTCTGGACAATCTACAATGCCATCGCAGATTTGAGTGACATTTATTTTGAATCCGTCTACACACGCAAAAACCGGAGGTTCAACTGCTTGTGAATAAACATTTTTAGAGACTAGAAGAAAAAAAATGATAATTCTAAACATTCTAAATTTACAATTCTAATATTATTATTTTAATGTTTTAGTGCAAATCAAGAAGAGTATTATATATACTTTTTAACAATTAAGATTCCAAGAACATTACAAAGAATTTAAATGCACTGAAAAGTATATATTGTTTGAAGAGTCATTAAAATTAATATACATCTTTGTCAATAAACTTCCATAAATATGAATACTTTTCAATTATATGGTTCTGAAATAAAGAATTAAATTTTTACGCTTCAAGGTAAATATAATTTTAAAAAATGAATAGGTTGCATTGAATTATTCATGAGGATTAAAAGACTATGAATGTAAATTAAAAATATACTTAAGTGATGACGGGGTTTACTGCTTTTTTTTTTTTTTTACTGGTAATTAACATTTATTATCAAATAAACATGAATTATAATTATTTCATTTTTCACTACAATTGTTTTACTGCATATTTCTACGAAATAGATGATTCTTCCCAAGCCTGCAACAATTTCTTCGGAATATAAATTGTGAAATATTTAATGATTAATTTTTTTTACTTTAAATAAACTTATTTTTAATAATAAAATCTCCGTAAGGTTTTTTAAGTTGTCTTTTCTGTTTTTGTTAGTAAACTTGTAGAAAAAATGAAAAATAACGATGAAATTTCATTAAGATTTTATATTATATATAAAGCAACGTAGTTATAGCTGAAGGCTGTGAAATTTTTTAGTTCTTATAATAAATTATTTACAATAAAAAATAAAAATCTCATAAAAATTTCGAATAATAATTTTTTTTAATTTTTAAATGTAGAATTTTTTAATAAAATTTATTTTATAAAAATTTTATTGTTGTAAAAGATTTAAAAAAAATTTCTAATGTTTGTTTTAACTTCAGTGTCATAGAAAATTCTGATAAATCCAAGCTGCATGAATGTAAAGATTCTTATATTCACGCGGCGTAGATTTATCAGGATTTTCTACGTATGAATAGTCAGCTCTTCTTTAGTAATTTATTCATTTATTTAGTAATAATAGACCCAACAGCTGGAAGGCCAATAACAGGGTCTCAATACAATATATACAAAGTTTAATGAACTTAGTATAAGTTATGAACTAAAGGCGAAGTACATAAGAAAATTTTACAATTATAAATTTTAAATATATGTAAATTTATGAACTAAAGTTTTGAACAAAAGGCACAGTAAATGAAAAAATTATTACATTATTATAAAATTGATCTTATAAAATAAACGATACAAAGTTATACAATTTTATTAATAATGTAATCAAAAACCATAATATTTTTAATTATAACATATCATATAAATATAAAATAATAATTGAAATAAGCAACTAACAATTAGAAGTAGTAAAATATCATAATAAAAGTACATTTGAGTCTGAGAGTACTATTTAAGAAATATCAAAAGAGATATGCAAGTAATGAAAATTAAGTTAACCGACATATAAAAATTTACATAAATTTTTTCTTTTAATTATTACAAAAAAATAAGAAAAAAAAACTTTCATCCGTAAAAAATTTAAAAAACTATAGGGTAAATGCACCAATTATTGACCGATTAAGGTTTTCTTTTTCTGTACTAAGCTATAAAAAATCAATTAACCTACTAAAAACAATTTGTAATGGATTTTATTAAAGTTAAATACTTAATTAATAATAATTAATAACTATTTATAATAAAAATTAACAAAATTATATAAATTTTTTTATTTGAATGTTGAAATACTAAAATCACCAATTATTGACCGAAGAAACCCAATAAATGACCGACCGTTCTCCAATTAATTGACCGCTCAAATAATTATAAGTAATTTTGTAAACTACATGTATGCAATTAAATTTATGCAGTACTTTTGAAGTATTAACGACATCTATTTAACAAAACTAAACATACAATATAATTTTAAATCGTACTTTTTTATAAAATAATATAAATAATAGCAATAATTAACATAAAGTCACATTTCTTTAGGTCACAAATAATCACAAATTCATTTTGATATTTTGATGACGATAATTCTTCTGATTCACTTGAAATTTTTTTATTCTTCTCCTTCTTTTTTTCAATTAAAGCTTTTTTACTAGCTTGTAACTCTTTTTTATTTTCTTAATTGCTTAGCAATTTTTTCTTCTAATAATTCGTTCTTTGATATAACCGTTTACTGAAAAAATTAGAACAAAATAAAATTTAATAATCAAAAAAGATTTTAAGTATTATTTTAATTATAAATATACATTTTATAATGATTATTTTTATATTTACAAAATATTGAATGACTAAAGTATTTTAAACACCTGACAGATTTAATTTTGAGGTGAAGAAGTTAGTATTATAAATATACGGTCATTAGTTGGATTGTGATAAAATCAGAGGGTCTAATAAATGACCGAATGAATTTTTTACTGGGTAAAGGGCTTCTGACGGATCCAATAGTTGACCGGTCTTAAAATAATATTAAAACATAATTTAACTTTATTTTTTCAAAAAAGTTGGAATCTGATCTTTAATTAACATAATAAAACTAAAATATTTTATATTATGCCGATAAATATCACTAAATTAATGATGAAATGCTCTCACTCTCCAAGTGTACGCTAGTTATTTTTGACCGCTTTATGGCTGGTTACGTTGTAAACAAACTCAGAATATTTTTTTAAAGCTATGATCACACACAATTGTGTCATGTATGATAATTCATTCTTAATTCATGGCATACGCATTTGGAATGCACTGCCGTCTGAGACTGTGGCTGTAGATAATTTGGTTGAATTTAAAAATGCTTGCTTCAATTACTTTTTTGAACATGACAGTTAGCAACTGTAATCTTTATTGTTGATCTTATTGAAATATATTTATTTGTATAATTATTACGAAGTTAAATTAAGTTATTTGTTTGTATTAAATGATCCAGCTGGATTTTATTACATTTAAAATTAAATCTAATTGTAAACCTTTAATTAGTTAAGTAATCTTGTAACCTATGTAAACCAATGTAATTTAAATATTGATGGCTTTGAGGGAGCTTAGGCTCCAGAGCCAAATAAAATTTTTTATCTATCTATCTATCTATCTATGATCACTGCGCAATTAATTGCGTAATTTTTTATTTTAATACTTTAAGAAAAAAAAACCCTTGTAAAATATTAATTAATTATGACACTGAAGTTAACAGACGTGTAAAAATTTTTGATTTTTTTTATTAATTAAATTACAAATAAAAAGATATTTCTAAAAAATTGCACTTATAGTTTTTCAAGTTTTTTTAAATGTGACAATTTTTTTTTTAATTGTTTAATTGAAATTTTTTTAATAAAAAATTTTTAAAAATTTTGAAATGTCGATTAACTTCATTTTCATAATTAATTAACTTTTTTATACATCGGTCAACTAATTGGTGACCGGTCAACAACTGGTGCATTTACCGATCACAATATTATTATTAGTTAAGTTATTGTTCATGACTGCTAATAACAATCAATTTTAAATTTCAAATAATTTTCACTAAATTTGACGACCAATAATCTGTCACAAGTTACTCATCTAATAACTTACCGACAATTAACTGACAAAATGAGAAAAATCTAAGTAATTTACCAAAGTTATTTTACTTATCACACTATAGCAAATTTAGAACACCACGACACCTTGTGGGGTAAAACATTCCAGCTCTTCAATAATAATTTTATAATTTCTAAAGGAAAATTTTGTGAGCTGTTTGTTAACACATTTTTCATTTAACTTTATAAAAAAATTTTTTAAGTATTTAAATAATAAACTATATTGTGAAAATAATTTTTAAAAAATTAAGTAAACCCATAAAGTTAAGAATAAATTTAAGGTAAGACGTTTATTTCATTTCGTTAAGCTAACGTTTCAGTTTTGATGTGATGAAATGTTTATAAAATATAATTAATAATTATTAATTAATTATATTAAATAAAATATTTCTTCATTCAATTATTTATCGGCGTTTTTATATTTTTTTAAAAATCATAATAGAGTAATGTTAAATAATTTATCATTTTGGTTATGTCACGTTTGTAAACAATATAAAACACTTGTTATTAACAATTAACATCCCTCAATTTTTAATTAAAGTATATTGGTTTAGAAAATTATAAATTTTATAGGAGAAAAGTTTCCTTGTTAAAATATACCAGTCTTTTTTTTAGTGGTACAATTATAAGTAAATATTTTAGTTACTCCGAAAGCGAAAAAAAATACCGCTCTATGTTGACAGTAGCAATTTTTAAAATAACAATAATAATATTATTGTAATTTTTGTAACAAAGTTTTAATCTGATTGTTAGAATAATTTTCTATTTTCATTTCCAGTTCAACTCCGATAATTTTCTTACACAGAAAAAAATAATTAAAATGTTTGGAATTGATGACAATGATAAATCCACGAAGAGGAGTAAGAAGAGGTCACATGAAGATGACCGTGATTGTGAAAAAGACTCGAAAAAAGTCAAAGTCAAAGAGGGAAGTAAAAATGACGATACAGCAGAAAATAAATTGTCACCTGAAATGGTAAGATTTTTTTTTATTAAACGTTTTGATAGCTGGAAAGTTAAGGTGAACTATTTTTATTCTCCTCTATTTATGTGGATTATAAAAAAAAAAATAATTAATTAAATCATCTCTTTTTTTAATTATCTATTAATTTTTGGAGTATATTTTTCTTCTAATCATTGAGAGTACTGTATTATTCATTCAATAATTTAGTACATTACATTCACCTATGTTACGAAAAGAATAAGAAAAATTTTGTTTCCAGGATAGTCATAAAAAAATCAGTTTTTTTAGTAAAATTTAGTGTAATTGCAAAGCTTATATCTTTAGAAAGGTCAATAATTAAGAAATGACCGTGTATCTTGTGAAATATTGACATTTTTAAAGATATAAGCTCATTCCGATGTTACACTCATCGAGACCTTTCATTTGAGTACCCACATGCATTTTGATATATTTTTCATATATACATATATATATATAATATATAAATATATAAAATATATGAAAAATTGATGTGGGTACTCAAATGAAAGGTCTCGATGAGTGTAAACATCGGGATAGCTTATATCTTTAAAAACTTCAATAAAATTGATGTGGGTACTCAAATGAAAGGTCTCGATGAGTGTAACATCGGGATGAGCTTATATCGTTAAAAATATCATCAATAGACGAAATATACAGCCATTTTTTCATTATTGACATTTTTTTAATTATAAGCTCATCCTGATGTTACACTAATCGAGACCTTTCATTTGAGTACCCACATCAATTTTTTCATATATTTTATATATATATATATGGTATTTGTGAAATATATAAATATATAAAATATATGAAAAATTGATGTGGGTACTCAAATGAAAGCTCTTGATGAGTGTAACATCAGGATGAGCTTATATCTTTTAAAACGTCAATATTTAAGAAAGTACAGTGCAATTGAACAAAAGTCATTATTTAATAAAGCAAAATTTTAATTTTTTTATTTCCTAAGTCACGTCAGTCACATAGTGACTGCAAGGTTGCTAGTATTTACTTATTTTTAAGTTTATAATAATCATAATTTAATTACAGATTAAACAGATGATGGCCAACGCACAGAAACAAATAGAAGAACGTAAACGAGCATTAAATACCATCAATCAAAATAACATTTCAAGCGTGAAAAACTCCTTCAAAACTCGTGATCCAATGCCAATTGCTAGCTCCATGTATTCACAAGGATTACTTAGTAAAGCTGATTCAGATAAAGCTAGAAAACTGGTAGTACTTCAAGCACAAATAAAAAGTAAACTTAATTCTGGTTTATTAACTTCCGTAAGCGTACCGGATAAACCTACTCCATTGATTCTTGATGAATCTGGTAGGACAGTTGACATCACTGGTAAAGAAATCCAGCTTACTCATGTTGTCCCGACTCTTAAAGCCAATATAAGAGCCAAAAAGCGTGAAGAATTTAAAGCACAGCTTCAAGATTCAAAAGGGCCCGAAGAAATTCAGGATACACACTTTTTTGACAATCGTATTGGTGTTAAAGTTCCAACTCGTGGGAAACGAGCTTTGAAGTTTCATGAGCCTGGTAAATTTCAACAGATTGCTGAGAGGATACGTGTTAAAGCGCAGTTAGAAAAACTTCAAAATGAAATTAGTCAAATTGCACGTAAAACGGGAATTAGTTCCGCCACCAAATTAGCTCTTATTGCTCCTAAAACAGAGGCACTCAATGAAGACGTGCCTAATGTTGAATGGTGGGACTCGGTCATTTTGGCGAGTGGTTACCCAGTTAAAGAGGATGAACAAGTACAAATTAAACATTCAACAATTACTAATTTAGTCGAGCATCCAATCCAAATGAGACCACCGAGTAAGTATAATTTAGTTATTTAATTATTCTTACTTTTTTGTTTCACATTCGAATTATCTTATTGGTTTGATAATTTGTGTTTTTTAAAAATCTCAGGATATTGATTAACTCTTTATTTATTTATTTATTCTTTTTTTTTTTTTCATTTTCAGCGGAATCGTCGAGACCTGTATATATGCCGGTATTTCTTACTAAAAAAGAACGTAAAAAACTTCGCCGGCAAAACCGTCGTGAGGCGTGGAAAGAAGAGCAAGAAAAAATTCGTTTGGGATTAGAACCACCTCCTGAACCAAAGTTAAGAATCTCAAATTTAATGCGAGTCTTAGGTACTGAAGCAATACAAGATCCTACTAAAATAGAAGCTCACGTGCGTCAGCAAATGGCGAAACGATTAAAAGCCCACGAAGACGCTAATGCTGCGCGTCGATTGACAGTCGATCAGAGAAGAGAGAAGAAGGCACGGAAGCTCAAAGAAGACACTTCCAATGGAGTTTTTGTAACTGTGTACAGGTAAAAAAATTATAAGTTTAATATTGACATTTATTATAAATTATAATATTAACATTTTTAAAGATATGAGCTCATCCCGAGGTTACACTCACCGAGACCTTTCATTTGAGTACCCATATCAATTTTTCATATATTTTATATATTTATATATGAAAAATATATCAAAAATGCATGTGGGTACTTAAATAAAAGCTCTCGATGAGTCTAACATCGGAATGAGCTTATATCTTTAAAAATGTCAATAATTAAAAAATTATCTTTCATCTTGTAAACTATTGACATTTTTAAAGATATAAGCTCATCCTGGAGTTACGCTCATCAAGACCTTTCATTTGAGTAGCCACATCAATTTTTCACATATATCATATATTAATATATATTATATATATGTATATATGAAAAATATATCAAAAATGCATGTGGGTACTCAAATAAAAGCTCTTGATGAGTTCAACATCGGAATGAGCTTATATCTTAAAAAATGTCAATAATTAAGAACTGACATTGCTATCTTGTGAAATATTGACATTTTTAAAGATATAAGCCCATCTCGACATTACACTCATATAAAAAATGCATGTGGGTACTCAAATGAAAGCTCTTGATGAGTGTAACATCGGGATGAGCTTATATCTTTAAAAACGTCAATAGTTAAACAAATACAGTGCAATTTAACAAAAGTAATTATTTAATAAAGCAAAATTTTATTTATTTATAGTCCACAAGTAACAGCAGTCACGTAGTGACAGCGAGGTGGCTATGATTTTATAATAGCTTTGCAATTGAGCCGATTAAAATTAGTAATAATTTTTTATGTTCGCAGAATACGTGACTTAATAAATAATGCATCGAAAAAGTTCAAGGTTGAAGCTAATGCAAAACAACTGTATTTAACTGGATGTGTGATGTTATTCCGTGACTGTAATGTCGTGGTAGTTGAGGGTGGCGCCAAACAATTACGTAAATATCGACGTGTAATGATGCATAGAATAAAATGGGAAGAAGATATCGTAAAAGATACCGACGGTAATGATGTACCGAATAAGTGTGTCATTGTGTGGGAAGGAAGCAGTACACAACGGCACTTTGGTGAGATCAAATTTAAAGTGTGTCCTATTGAAAGAATGGCTCGTGAACATTTTAAAAAACACCAAGTTGAACAATACTGGGATTTAGCATACAGCGGGGCTGTGCTTGATAATACCGATGAAATGAACTCATAAAAAAAATATTATCAATTTAACTAATTAATTAAACAAAGGATAATAAACAAATACATAATTTTGTGTAATTAATTTCTTTTTAATTAATAATTATTTCTATCTCTCTTTCTTAAAAATCCTTCTTTCATTATGATTAAATCTTTCTCTTTCTTAGTGTAGCCGTGAACTAAAGCAGTAAGTTGTGAGTCGATTGTTAATGGTATTTAGCCTTACCACCTACATCTTACAACATAATGTCATTCACAGATGGCCGAGAGTAGTCGCACGATCATCGATCATCTTCACTTTCATTTTGTTAATAATTGATACTTACAAACTTCTCGGTACATTATACAAAATAGGCGTTTATTTATTTATTTTTTATTTTTACCATATACGGCGTTAAAAGTTTTTACGACATAACTGTACTATGATCTTGCAATATTTTATTTAAAAATTAAGAAGAAAAAAATTTTTTTTAATGACAGAAAAATAAAAATAAGAGTATAAAGTTGATAATTATTTTCAAGTTTAATTTAAAATCTGTTTGTGTTGATAGTGAATCTATCCTTACATGATTGAAGAATATGAATTTCGGAAAAAATAGACTGAAAAAATTTTTAATTTATGAAAAATTCATTAAAATTATTATAAAATAAAAATAATACTAATATCGTTTATTTAGCATTTGCTATTATATATTCTTTTAAAGTAAACAATTTATGATTTATGATTTATTCATTCATTTGAACACTAATCTGCATTATACAACAATCAGTACATTTTTTTTTAATTATAAGATATAAATTATGAATTTTTAATTTTGGCTCGAAAATTGTACAGAAATAAGTTTAAGTTTATTTGGCGATGCCTAGAGAAAATAAAAAATTAAAAAGAAAAAAAAATTAACGGTGTTGTTGATAATATTGCAAAATATGTTTCTTGAAATTAGAGCAAAAAGCCTGAAAGGAGTCACCAAAAATACTATTTTCTGTAAAGCTCGTTCTCGTATGATATACAAGTTTTTTATATCTATATAACTATAATATTAATAATAATAATAATATATTTTTATTTTTATAACAAAAAATGGAGCGATCATTCTGGCGGTGCTTTTTTCAGAAAAATTGTGGGGGTGGATATTATAATTTTTATTTTATAATAATTTCAATTAAATAATATAAATTTTTCATAACTTTACACTTTTATCCAGGTCTATTTTTTTTTATTACCAAAAAATGTATGTGTGTCATTATAATATTTATATAAATTAAAATTATTTTCATTTTGAAGAATAAAAAATGAACTAAATTGTTAATTAAATTGATTAATTTTATCAGAAAATAATTTACATAACATGACAAATTAAAATTTTTTTTTGTTTTTGTTTAATTAATATGGCTAAAAAATTATTTTTTTAATTTTCTATGGGAAAACTCAGCTACTATGTAATTTTTTTTATTGAATACAAATAAGAACAGCTTTTTCATATTTAGTATATTTATATAACAGATCAATTAAATTGATTGTTTTTTATAAATTTGAAAACATATTTTTTTTACAAATGCTTATTAGTAGTTTCTTCATCCGCTGTCATAATGATAATGATGATGAAGATATCGATCATGATGTACCCGTTACGATTGTTTAAATTTAATAGTGATCCCATTGTAACCCCACTCTTAGACAAACATTCGAAACCCAAAGGTAACTTGTACTTTCGTTCATACTTGTACTTACATAGTAACTTGTACTTTCATAGACTTCCAGTCGTGCGCGTTCTTACTACTCATATAGCACGCTATAAAGATTATTCACGTACCAGGAATATAAATTAAAAAAAAAAACTTAAGTGTAAATAAATTTCTTCTTATTAATATGGTACAATCAGTGCAAAAAATGATTTTTAAGTATTGAAGAAATACATCATTTTTAATAATTTATTAGTTTGTTTTCTTGACTGGTGATTTCATCATAATGTTTATTTACATCTTATGGTAAGTACATAAGATTCTTTTTCTTATAACAATATTTCGTTAATTAATTATACAACTGACAGTGTTGTTTAGCAGATCAAAAAACATTAAATAACTTTTTATAAAGTTATTTATTTAAACATTTTCAATTAATTATTTTATTGTAATTACGTAATCATACTTTGATTTATTTGAAATTAAATAATTAAAAATTTTGAGTTTATTATATATTTGCTGATATTTGAATAAAGTCAAAACAACTAATATTTCTTCTTTTGTAATTGTTAATTGATATTCCTGTGAAGATGATAATAATTATAAAATAAAAAGAAGAATAATATTTTATTATACAGAAATTTTATTATTTCTTGCGTGATCTTCTTTTAAAATTAAACGCATCAATCAATGATGGTCAAGATGGACAAAACGCAAATAATGAAGGATTAGCTTTGCATACATTTTTACACGGCTACTAGTATAAAAATAAAAAAATACATACTTACCGAAGTAGAATTCAAAGTATAACTTTTCTCGATGAATATGTATTTTTTTTAAAATAACAACGGTAAAGTTTGATAAAAGAATTAGCCAAGTATAAGTATGAAACTTAGCTGATATGAATGAAACTGCAATCAGCAGACATTTAATAATTTTTGGAATTTTTTTAAGAAATCAATTAAGATAGAAGTAATTTTTTTTTTAATCTGCACTTAAAATTTTTTTTAATTTATATAAATGGAATTTTTTTACTATTTTTTATAATAATTAAATTGTTATTTTATCAAAAATTATTACAAAAAAATTTTTTTTTAATTTCATTTGTAAAAAATTTAAAAAACTATAAGTGCAATTTTTAAAAAACATTATTTAGTTCTAATTTAATAATTAAAAAACACTTAAAAAATTAACAATGTTGGCTAACTTTAGTATTATTTGAAATTGGCAGACACTTTACAATTTTTTTATTTTTTTTTTTTTTAATAAACTAGGCCTAAAAAATTATTTATAAAAATTTGCGCTTGTACTTTTTTTTAAATAAATTTTTCTTGTTATAACTTATTAGTTAAAAAATTTCTAAAAATTATCAAATGTCTCTCAACTTCAATATTATTAATGTGAAGAAATATATAGAGTTATAGTGAATGATTCATCGTTAACAGACAATATTAAATAGACTTATCCAAATTTTAATAAAAGAAGTTAAAAATATTTTTAATATTATTAATTTTCACTTATAAAAATTAAAAATTCACTCGATCAAAAAATTTCACTAAAATTTTGTTGAAATAACTTTAGGTGGTTCATCCTCTTAGTAAACGATGTGAGAGGCGTTATTGTACCATCAAAAATGATTCGGCATTTAAGTAGGCACGTTGATGACGCTATGAACAAATATGATCAAAAAGAATTAGCCATACTCAATACTGGAATACAATTGAGTAAAGATTCTCCATCTTGGTTTTTGAGCTTATCTCACGAGATATCAGACGCCGCAAAAAATCTTTCTAAACAAGCGCTGAGAAGCGAAACAATGGCGATCATGATGGTTGAAGCATTTAAAATGACTCCCGAAGATGCAATTGAGCTGTTACCAACGGTGACCTTAGGCTCGGGTGTCTGCAGTGATACTAATGCTTTTAGAAATATTGTTATGGAATGTAAAAACTCGAATATTAAATATAGAACTTACTCTGGTAGGTGTAATAATTTATTACATCCATCTTGGGGAGCAGCTTTAGAAAGTTACTCAAGAATATTACCGGCAGACTATCAAGATGGTGTGTCATTGCCACGATTATCCGTACCAAGTGCACGGGAGATATCAATTAATGTCTTCTCTCATGGTATTGATATTAAACATCCTTATTTGATGGCGATAACAACTTTATTTGGTCAATTTATTGCCAATGATTTGGCTCACACGCCTAAAATGGTCTTACCAAATGGGAAGAAATTTAAATGCTGTAATGTAGATTATGATAATTTTCATCCTGAGTGTTTTCCTATTCCAATGGAAAATTATCCAGGTTGTATGGAATACACAAGGTCTGCCCCACATCCTGGAAATATTTATCAGGTATAATATTATTTAGTTACAAATGAGAAAAAAATGACACTGAAATTAGCGGACTTGATAATTTTATGAAAATTAATTTAGTAAATATTTATTATTTTTTTAACAAATAAACTAGCGACCTTGCAGTCACTATGTGACTTCCGTGAGTTGTGAATTATAAATAAATAAAATTTTGGATTATTAAATAATGACTTTTGTTAAATTAAACTGTACTTTCTTAAATATTGACGTTTTTAAAAATATAAGCTCATCCCGATGTTATATGCATCAAGAGCTTTCATTTGAGTACCCACATGCATTTTTGATATATTTTTCATATATACATATATATAAAATATATGAAAAATTGATGTGTGTACTCAAATGAAAGGTCTCAATGAGTGTAACATCGAGATGAGTTTATATCTCTAAAAATATCAATATTTCACAAGATACAAGGTCATTTCTTAATTATTGACATTTTTAAAGATATAAGCTCATCCCGATGTTAAACTCATCAAGAGCTTTTATTTGAGTACCCACATGCATTTTGATATATTTTTCTTATATTAATATATACATAAATATATAAAATATATGAAAAATTGATGTGAGTACTCAAATGAAAGGTCTCGATGAGTATAATTCCAGGATGAGCTTATATCGTTAAAAATATCATCGGTGGACAAAATACAACGTCATTGCTTTATTATTCACTTTTTTTTTAAGTATAAGCTCATTCTGATGTTACGCTCATCAAGAGCTTTCATTTGAGTACCCACATGCATTTTGATATATTTTTCATACATACATATATATAAAATATATAAATATATGAAAAATTGATGTGGGTATTCAAATGAAAGGTCTCGATGAGTGTAACTTCAGGATGAGCTTATATCGTTAAAAATATCAGCAGTGGACAAAATGCAACGTCATTACTTTATTATTCACATTTTTTAAGATATAAGCTCATCCTGATGTTACGCTCATCAAGAGCTTTCATTCAAGTATTACCTACATGCATTTTGATATATTTTTCATATATACATATATATATAAGATATATATAAATATATGAAAAATTGATGTGGGTACTCAAATGAAAGGTCTCAATGAGTGTGTAACATCGGGATGAGCTTATATCTTTAAAAACGTCAATAATTGTCAAGATACAAGGTCATCTCTTAATTATGTATCTAGAGATAGAGTATATTTTCGAATGCAACTGAAATATTTATCATAATAAATTAACGATCGGTGAGAATGATATCAAACCTTGAAAAGGTACAAATTCAAGTCAAGACCTTTGTAACGACATTAAATAAACCGATTTTATCATATGACTATATCCTGGACACCAATTTTTTCTTATTCTCTTAATAATATAGATTCCGGCAAAAAAAAAAAATGAAAGAAAAAATTGATATGTTAAAATTTAAAAAAATTATCAAGTGACTGATAAATTTAATGTCATGACAATTTTTTAAGAAAAATATACTAGGTCTAGAAAATTATTTAAAAAAAATTGCATTTATAATTCTTTAGAGCTTCTAAAGGTGGAATTTTTAAATGACTTTTTTTTTAAGGATAATTTATTTATTAAAAAAATTCTAAAAAATTGTCAGATGTCTGCTAATTTCAGTATCATGAAAAAAAAAATTAATAAAAATTTATTTTAGGGTTGTAAATTAGGATCAAGACAACAAATGAATCAAGCAACATCGTTTTTAGATTTATCACCAATCTACGGAAACTCTGAACAAATCACAGCTAGTTTACGTGCCAATAGAAGTGGTCTTTTCAGTACCCAAAGAAAAAATTTACCAGTGCCATTAGAAAATTTAGACAATTGTCGAAATAGTAATAAAGCGCTTCCCTGTTTCTTCAGTGGAGATTCAAGGATCAATGAGAGTCCTGGAATAACTTTAATGCATGTTTTATTTTTACGTGAGCACAATAGAATTGCTAAGCAATTAAATGTGCTGAATCGACACTGGAATGATGAAAAATTATTTCAAGAGTCACGGAGAATCGTTATTGCTGAGATGCAGCATATTACCTACAATGAATTTTTACCAGTTATCTTTGGTGAAAGTAACCTTGATAGGTACATATAATATAAGCTTATGTATATAAGTATATATAGATAGGTAGGAGAAAGTTAGACAATATTGAACTAACAGCAATGAACTTTAGATAGTTTATATAATAGACATTTTTATTTTCCTGTAGATCGGGATACTTTTAAAAAAGCGCCTTTCAGGCAAGCCCGACTTGGATATAGGTAGATTTATTTAACAAATATAAAATAATTAATAATAAAAATTTTCAAAGCCATTAATAAAATTAAAAACAAATTCAAAAGCCAACAAATTATAGTTTAAATTAAACATAATTTTATAAATTTGAAAAAAAATTGACTTGAATCAAGAGAAAAGTTCTTGAACCAATAAAATAATTTTGAAGAAGTTCATTGTCTTGAATCAAGACGAAAAATTCTTGAATCAAGTAAAATTTACTTAAACCAAGAAATATTTGTTAATTTAAGAATTTTTCTACTCAAATCAAGAAGATAAAATTCTTCAAAATTATTTACGTAATTCAAATAAATTTTTTTTTCTGTGTAAGACTAACAAATTAAAAAATGTTTTTATTGATGAATTTTTCAAAATTTTTCGAGTCATCAAATAAATTGAAAAAATCATCAAAAGTGGACAAATGATACTTTAAGTTAAAGATAATTAAGTGAACTTTGAGATAAAATCAATATATTTGAAATATCTTTAAAGGTAAAATTATTATTTTGATAAAATTGATAAAAATAAAAATTTTTCAAAAATAAAAAAAAGTTTTCAAACACCCACAACTCCAAAACTAACCGGCCGATTTTGCTCTTTTTCAAACTTGATCTCGGTATTGATTCATAGAATAAGCCCACAAAATTTCATATAGATCGGTTGAGAACTGTGGGCGCAATCCTGCTAACATGACCCGTTATATTACATCCATACATGTATTAACTTTTGAGCCAGTGCTATTTTTTGGCATAACTTGACAAAGTGAAAAATATTATAAAAAAATTTCTTTTAAATTTCGACAACAGCTAGATTTTATAATTAATAATAATTTTATTTTTACCAGAAAAAAAAAAAAAAAAAAAACAGAAACATAAAATACACAACAGAAAAAATGAATGTACGCATTGATATCTGCCCTATGAAAATGTTTTACATCTGTACATAGAATTAGTACAGTATAAATCCAAAAAAGCGTATAAATAAATTACAAAAATATAATAGAATTGATGCTTATTCGAAGATCATAAACTCTTTTACATAATATATTAATTTTTTAATATATTATTAATTAATATATTAATTTGTATTATCCATTTTGTTAATTTATTTTTTGCTAACATCAAAATTTTTAAGATCATAAATTTAAAGTAATAGATCAATTTAAAAAAAAATAAGTTCACAATTTTGGAAAAAAATTTTTTGATGAACATTATTTATTTTTTTACTATAAATTTTCTAATATTTAATTGTTTATAACCGCATAACTATTTCAGATATAGACTTCGCTTAACTGAGCCTGGTGCTTTCACCTCTTACGACCCAAGAATTGACCCAACCCTACCGAACGCTGTTGCTTCAGCAGGAATTTTTTTCTTTTTTGCTCTTACACCAAAAATCGATTCTATGGAGAGTCGGATAACTTCTAAATCTAATGAAAAATTTACACATTCAAATTTTTATGCTCCTCAAGAGTTGTACGAATCAGGAGCTGTTGATCGATTAATTACTAGTGTAACTGGTAAAAGATAATTATTATCAAAAATTTTGTAATTAAAAAATTCTTAATTAAGAGCTCTTTCTTCTCTTACAATAATATTTTTAAATTTTATTTATTTTCAAGCTGAAAATTCAAGGAAACCATTCGGATTGAATGGAATACTGTTGAAAAGATTTTTATACGATGAAAAAACTAATGAAGTCGTGGACTATGTTGCTCGTGTTATACAAGAAGGACGGGATCATGGATTACCACGATACATTAGATGGCGATCATTTTGTAATCTTCCTCAAGTTAAAACATTTACTGATCTTTTAAATATAATGAGCAAGGATAGCATTAAACGGCTTCAACGTGTTTATAGGTAATTACTAATTAGATTTTTCATTAACCTTTAAACAGTTGTCACGGTTTTATAGAACGCTGTATAATTTTATTACTAATAGAATTTTTTTTCAATTTTCTTTTATTGTAATTTATGAAATTTATATTACAATTTATTTTTCTGTATTTTACAGGAATGTAGATGATATTGACTTAATAACAGGCGCTTTATTAGAGAAACCCTTCAAGGATTCAGTAATGGGACCAACATTTCTTTGTTTACTGGGCACTGCCTTCAAAAGCGTGCGCTTGGGTAAGATTGTAAAAAAAAATTATCTATATAATTAAGAAATGACCTTGTATCTTGTGAACTATAGACATTTTTAAAGATATAAACTCATCCCAACATTACACTCATCGAGACCTTTCATTTGAGTACCCACATCAATTTTTCATATATTTATGTATAATAAATATATGTATATATGAAAAATATATCAAAATGCATGTGGGTACTCAAATGAAAGCTCTTAATGAGTGTAGCATCGGAATGAGCTTAACAAGTAATAAATTTAAATATTTAGAATTAATATGCATTAATTTTAGAATAATTTAGAAATTTATAATTGTTGTTTTTTTTAAATAGCAATATCTATAATAAATAAAATGTTATAGGTGACAGATATTGGTATGAAAATACTAAAACACCAGGTGCTTTTACAATTAAACAATTACATGAAATCCGTAAAACTACATTAGCTAAATTATTATGTGATAATGGAGACACATTGAAACGTGTACAACCAAAAGTGTTTCTTCTTGAGGATTCTTTCTTGTAAGTATTTCAATATTATATCAAATACAACGAAGAAATTCAAATAGTGTATGATGCAATAAGTTTCATTAAATGAATTTTTTTTCCTCCCTAGAAATCCGGTGACAGATTGTATGTCATATCAAAAACAAAGCATAGATCTAACAGCGTGGACAGAATAATTATAAAAATTTTTATGAACTTGAAGAAAATGTTCAACGTATTAATTTTTTTATACCCTCAATTGTCGAGCAAGTTATGTGAAGTATCAAAAAAATTGTAAATTATAATTATCAAATAATAAAGTCATTTAGAACAAAAAATTTTAAAATTACTGCAAATAAATACCTGATACGGCAAATAAATACCTGATATAGATAAATTAAAATAAATTAAGAAATATCAAAACCAAGATAATAATAAACATTAAAATATACAATGATAAAAAATAAATTGAAATAATATTTAATGGGTTGAAGTCTCGCGATCAAAATAAATAAATTATTTAGTATTTTAATTAAAACGACTCTTTGTGAAACATACAAAGATACTGATGTATAAAAATAAAAATAAAAAAAATTTAAGGTAATAAAAAATATTTATTTGTCAATAATTGATTGCCTTTACTTACAGACTTAAGTATAGAAAATATAATAATAATAATAATATAAATTTAAAACGAAGTTTCTTGAAAAGTATCTTTCAAATCAATTGAATTTATAGTCATTTCATTAGCAGGATTTATAATTACATTATCATCGCATTCTTGAGAATCGTTCAAATGTTGACAACTTTTAATTGACCGTTTAGAATCATTTCTTTGTAAGCTCGTGCTACGTTTACGTGGTGAAAGATTACCATCCTGTATTTTTTCCGTAGAATTACTAAAACTGTCATTAGTGCTACCAGAAACTACCCCAGATGTATCAGAACTTGGAATATTACCATCTAGACAATGCAATAAACTGTCCGACAAACCATTTTCATCTAGCCCATTAAAATCTGATTCTGATTGTTCATAATCATCTGTTCGTGATGTAAAACTTAAATCCACCGGACTTGCTGTTAAAACACTGCGAGATAATAAGTACTCTCTGAAAGTACTCGTTATTGACATGCAACTTGGTTGTGTATTAATACAGTCATCATTTAGATCAGTAGCATTAAGTACTGGATTAGTTGGGCGCCGATGATCTGAATAGTTTTCTGAATTTACCTCACACGATATCTTTCTAACGTCAACGCTGTCTATTTTTGACATAGGCGACTCTTCATTTATTGAATCATCGCTACCGTCACCGTCGATATCAATATTGACAACTTTTAATTGATTAGCAGGTTCTGATTGGCCGTCGGCTTTGTTCACGCTCGATAGATTGCAGAGATTCGTCGCGGACAATATCATCACTGGTTTTCTTGATCTTGGGGTCATCATTGTCTCCTATAAATAATTAGAAAATTAATAGACCACATATGTTTTAGTAATAAATTCTTAAAAAAAGTTCGCTCTAGTTACAATTATCTATATTATTAAGAGAATAAGAAAAATTGTGTTTCCAGGATATTCTTATGATAACATCAGTTTATTTAGAAAAATTTAGTGTCATTGTAAACTTCTTGACTTTAATGTGTGCTTTTTAAAGGTTTTATTTCATTCTCACCGATAGTCAATTTATTATGATAATTATTTAGGCTGCATTCGAAAATGCCCTATCTCTAGATACATAATTAAGAAATTACTTTGTAACTTGTGAAATATTAACATTTTTAAAGATATAAGCTCATCCCGATGTTACACTCATCGAGACCTTTCATTTGAGTAGCCACATCAATTTTTCATATATTTTATATATTTATATATTTCACAAATACCATAAATATGAAATGTATCAAAATAGCCATGTGGGTACTTAAATGAGAGGTCTCGTTGAGTGTAACATTGGGATGAGCTTATATCTTTAAAAAGGTCAATAATTAAGAAATTACCTTGTATCTTCTGCACGATTGACATTTTTGAAGATATAAGCTCATCCCGATGTTACACTCATTGAGACCTTTAATTTGAGTACCCACATCAATTTTCATATATTTTATATATATTCTATATATGTATATGTGAAAAATATATCAAAATGCATGTGGGTACTCCAATGAAAGCTCTTGATGAGTGTATCATCGGGATGAGCTTACATCTATAAAAACGTCAATATTTAAGAAAGTACAATGCAATTCAACAAAAGTCATTGTTTAATAAAACAAAATTTTAATTTTTTTTTAATTCACAAATCACAGCAGTCACATAGTGACTGCAAGGTTGCTAGTTTTATCATTAAGAAATTTAGAATTAAATTATAAAAACAAAGAAAAAGATTTTTTTTTCCCGGAGGTGGAAATCACTTTTTATCTTAAGCTTTAATTATTTAAGAGAAAAAAAGATCTTCGAGTTTATTGAACTCATAACAATAAGAATAAATTGTTTTTTTTTTTTTTTTTTTAAATAAAATAACATTTTTGTAATCAAAAAATAAATCGAAAGCAGAAAAAGAGTAGCTAGAGTTAGTAAATTTTTAAGTTTTATTGATAATTTAAAAAATTTAATCATGCATACCTGCATAGCTTTAGTCATTTTAGTAGCGCTTTGAGTAATGGGACTCATGCTCTTATCATTTCTAGTAATAGGAGTTAATCCATAATCACTAGGTAAATTACGACGTAATAAATCCGATGGAGTTGACGTATAAGCAGCGCTATGAGCCAGCCAAAGTTTAGTTTTTAATTTTGGCGATGAACTGTTGCCTTTTGTACTACTTTTTTTACTACAACTACTGACGGGTTTCGAAATTTCCGAACAACCTGGAATTGTTAAAATTTCGTTGTCTGGCGAACTTCTAGGTGGTAAAAGTGAATCAGATTTATTGGATATTGACGCAGTAGGACTTTTATCAACCAATTCTTTCGAGGAATAGACATTTGGTGGCTCACTGTTGTGACGGCGGACATTATTTGTAATATCTAACAAAGTTTGTTCCTTTGATTTTATTTCACTAACTTCTCCAATAGATTTATCAAATGTTATACAAACATTTTCGGAAGACTTCATCACATCCAATAAACCTTCTTGATCAGCGACAGGCGAGTCTTTACATATACTATCATTTTCGGTATCTAGGTCTAGTACAACCAATTTCTTTTTGATTTTACGTCCGATACTAGGTGTACTCAAACAGTCAGTTCTATCACTTTTACACTTTGAATGATTGAGATTATCATTGTCTAGTGATATAAAACTGTCAGTACTAAGTTCATCTTCTGATTTACTTAATGATTTTTGCGACGATAGCATTGATTTTTTATTATATTTCTGTTAAGCCAGGAAAACAAGCAAATTAATTAATTAATCATGCTCGTGCTAATTATTTTTTTTTTATAAGTACTGCTAAACAACGATGAAGTGAGCTAACTATTATTGATTTTTTTTTAATTATTGTACCACTAAGATAGTAAAATATTTGATCTAAATGAAAATATATCATTGTAAAATAAGTTTTACAGAAGATTTTTATCTTGAACCGTTCTCACAAGTTATTTCACTTCATCGATTGGCAGAGCTTAAGTGTGATAAATTACAATAATAATACTTACGTCGAAGTGTAAATTTTCTTCACTACTGCATCTGCTAATATTACATCCAATATTAATGTCAATTAATTTTTTATTGCCCAATATTTTCTTTTGGAAAATATGCTTTTTTATGGAATCTCCAAGACTTTTAGTGCGTAGTTGATGTTTTATATGGCGAGGTGTACCCTGACCATTTTCTTTATTGAATTGTTTCACCAAGCGACGTTTTTTAGCTGATTCTGGCATTGCCTGTATATGAGCATACAATTGTGCTAATGCTGCTTGTGTATCTTCTGTTGAATTAGCTTTAGCAGTTAATTTATGATCTACAAAACTGAATACTGTATGCGCAGTGCTTGTCGTATCTGACATTGATTCATTCAACTAGAAAAAAAAATGTGCCATGTAATCGTTTAAGAAATACTATATATTCAAATGAAAGGTCTCGATAAATGCAACTCCAGGATGAGTTTATATTTATATCTTAAAAAACGTCGATGATTAAGAAATGAAGTTGTATTTTGTCTACTGATGATATTTTTAACGATATAAGCTCATCCTGATGGTACGCTCATCGAGACCTTTCATTTGAGTACAAACACGATTTTTTTTCATATATTTTATATATATGGTATTTCTTATATTTATGAAATATATAAAATATATCAAAAATTCGAGTGGGTACTCAAATGAAAGGTCTTGATAAGTGTAACTCTAGGATGAGTTTATATAGTTCAAAATATCATTAGTAGACAAAATACAACGTCATCTTTTAGTTATTGACATTTTTCAAGATATAAGCTCATCCTGAGGTTACTCTTATCGAGACCTTTCATTTGAGTACAAACACGATTTTTTTCATATATTTTATATATATGGTATTTCTTATATTTATGAAATATATAAAATATATCAAAAATTCGAGTGGGTATTCAAATGAAAGGTCTCGATAAGTGTAACTCCAGGATGAGTTTATATCTTGATAAATGTTAATAATTAAGAAATGAAGTAATGATAAATATAACTCTAGGATAACATGTTGGAAAAATAATAATAGTAAATTATAAAACTTACATCTTTGTTGTTAGGGCTCAATAGTTTTCTCTCTTGATCGACCCAGTATGCCCGTATATCAGTTGCCAATTTCACCGGTATCTCAAATAATTCTTCACCTTTTTTTATCATAAATGCTACTAAACAGGATAAATGCTGTGAGTTGATATGTAATGCTTCAGGTGTTAATTTTCTAGGACACATTAAGTGCGGAGTAAAAAGCGTCGCTAACGTATCACAATTCATTTTATTACTACTTTCATAAGTAGCGGTTTTATTAAGAAGACTAAGCAGATGTTTCAATAAAATTCGGTTATTTGATGGCAATAATAATAACAGCAATTGAATTGAAATCAAAAGTCTTGAGTCCATAGCCATTGAGTCTGAGTTACACAGTTCTGTAATTTATAAATAATGAGATTTAAATAAAGAATTTAATCAAATAAATTTGTATAATATTATTGTATATTATTGAAATTATTTACCGGCTATTTGACAATGGATGGGGTAATATAATTCTGTTAATAATGGCTCAGATAATTCTGCTAAGAAACTTTTTAATACGGAAGCACAATCATGAACATTATAGGTACCGTCTTCGAGATTCAGCGATTGACCTTGGTATAAAAGTAACTTCAAGTCTTGTTGACGTTTTAATTTTCCTGTTCTTCGAAATATTCCTTCTTGACTAATACCTAGAATTTTTTAATTATTTTATAAATAGTTAATATCTGAATATTTTTTTAGACAAAAATTATCATAATAAATTATACGTTGTAATAATGATATGGAAATTGAAAGACATCTGATAATTTTTATAAAATTTTTTTAACAAATAAATTATAGCAGAAAAAAAAAAAAATTACCTTAAAAGACTTAAAAAAAATTATAAATGCAATTTTTTGAAAACGATTTTTTAAACTTAGTTTATTTTTCAAAAAAAATCAAAAAATTGTCTTGAAAATTAATCGAGCAGATATTTAAGAGTTGTAAGAAATTTTTTAACGAATAAATTATGGCAAAAAAACATTAGAAAAAAAAATTGAGCTGCAGAAATTTCAAGAAATGAAAGATGCAATTTTTTAAAAATAATTTTTTGAAACAAATTTTTTTGTTAAAAAAATATAAAAAAATGATCAAAACTGCTAACTTTAATGTAATAAAATTGTCAAGTGTCTATTAATTTCAGTGCCATTTGTAATCATGAACCAATTAGAGTCAAATTTGAATATCTTACATATGTTGGCTTTAAAATTATTATCTATATTATTAAGAGAATAAGAAAAATTTTGTGTCCAGGACAGTCATATGATAAAATTGGATTTTTTTTTAGTGAAATTTAGTGTCATTACTAAGATCTTGACTTGAATAGTCAATTTATTATAAGTATTTATACTTACGTCGAGATCTTTCATTTGAGTACCCACATCAATTTTTCATATATTTATATATGGGGCATTCCATGCCAAATCGACCACTTTTGACACCGACCGTTTTCGATTTTTCTGAAATTTTGGTATCTTTCTCTACCCTATTGAAAACAATTTTCAGAATTTTTTCAAATTTTTTTACCCAACCAAAAAAAAGTTACGAGTTATTACAAAAAAACAGCTTTTTTTTGTTAAATAACCATAACTTTTTGAAAATTGGACTTTTTGAGATGTTTTTTTTTTTTGAAATTTTTGTCTTTAAATGTACTTAAAAAAAAAAAAAATAAAAATAATAATTCGAATTCATATTCAATGTTTTTTTTTTAACTTTTTGGAAAAAAAAAACGAAAATTTCGGGATGATTGACATTTTTGATTTTCAATTTTTCTTTTTTATAAAAAACTTCAGTATTTTTTGCAAATTCCCTGAAATTTTCAGAGTGGTAAAATTTTTCTTTCTATTTTTTTTTCAGAGTGGTATAACGAAAAACAAACATTTAAAAAAAAATTTTTTTCTTCATTAAAAAAAAAAATAGAAAGAAAAATTTAACCACTCTGAAAATTTCAGGGAATTTGAAAAAAATACTGAAGTTTTTTATAAAAAAGAAAAATCGAAAATCAAAAATATCAATCATCCCGAAATTTTCGTTTTTTCCCAAAAAGTTAAAAAAAAAAAACATTGAATATGAATCCGAATTATTATTTTTATTTTTTTTCTTTTAAAGTACATTTAAAGACAAAAACTTCAAAAAAAAAAACATCCCAAAAAGTCAATTTTCAAAAAAGTTATGGTTATTTAACAAAAAAAAAGCTGTTTTTTTGTAATAACTCGTAACTTTTTTTTTGGTTGGGTAAAAAAATTTGAAAAAATTCTGAAAATTGTTTTCAATAGGATAGAGAAAGATACCAAAATTTCAGAAAAATCGAAAACGGTCGGTGTCAAAAGTGGTCGATTTGGCATGGAATGCCCCATATATTATAAATATGTATATATGAAAAATATATCAAAAATGCTTCTGGGTACTCAAATGAAAGCTCTTGATGAGTGTAACATCGGGATGAGCTTATATTTATAAAAACGTCAATATTTAAGAAAGTACAGTGCAATTTAACTAAAATCATTATTTAATAAAGCAAAATTTAATTTATTTATAGTTCACAAGTCACGGCAGTCACATAGTGACTGCAAAGTTGCTAGTATCAAATTATACAATAAAAGTGTTTTCAAGTACAAGTTTAATAAATTATTAACATTTAAACAGTTAACAATTATTTTCTTTAATTTAATACTGAAATTTTTCATTAAAAATATTTTTTTTCAATTATTTTATACAAATATTTTTTAATTATTTCAACCTCACCCATTTATTAATTTATTCATAAGACAATTTACTCACATTGTTCTTTGGATAAATATGCAATTAATAGTTTGACTTGATTAATTCCTTCCGTCGTTAACGCTGAACCTTCCGGACTAACACCATGCTTTTGATTATGTAAGTTCATCATCATTGATTTTGGTTTTTTTGAAAAATTCAACAATCCCCATTTTTTTAATTTAGCTTTTTCTGTTACTGGATCATTGCTTTAAGAAATAAAAAAATTGTTGTACAATAAAAGTATCTCATTATCAAAGAATTAATTAATTAAAATAATAACTTACTCTTCTGTATTAATATCTAATTCAAATGACAAGTGCATTTTAACAAGAGTATAAAATTGTTCTGGATTAGCCTGTCGCATCCGAGATGCAAGTTTACCGTCGACAGCATCATTGAAATCTTCCATTTTAATTAAATAAATTAACTTTGACAATTTTTTACTGTAATACACTTAATACACATTCAATTGATAACTATCTTCAATAAAAATTTAAATTGAGAGTCGGGTCTGTTATAACGGCTATGTACATTCAAACACTATTTACATGTTTATAACTAAATATTTTTTAGAGTAACTTAACCTTATTATTATAGTATAAATAATATGCGTTTTCATTTATTTTACAAATACAACTGTTGTAAATTATTTGAAATGACTATAATTTTCAATCGTTTGGCAGAAACAATAAAATTTTGTTTATTTATGCATGGAGATTATTAGCACAGCTTAACACAACGCTCTTAAATTCTTCTAGCCGTTAAGGCGCTTGGCAACTGTAGACTGCAGCAGCAGTTTCACGAGGTGGCGCCACCTAGTGAGTATTTATAGATTTATATCTTAAATCTATTTGAAAATTTATGAAAATGAATTTAACAAATATTTAATAATTTTTCTAATCAATAAATTACTGCATAAAAAAAATGAGAAAAAAAATTGACTTTTAGAAAATTTAATAAATAAAAAATTCAATTTTTTAAAAGCAATTTTTTTTTGTTGAATAAAATTAAAAAATGGTCAAGTGACAGCTAACTTTAAGATCATTGGAAATTTCTCATGTTGCGGTTTTATAAAATTCATTTATAAAATGTGAAAATAAAATTAGCAGACGCATGACAATTTTTAGAATTTTTCTTATTGAAAAATTTATATAACAAAAAAATATAATACTAAAGTTCGCCGACGTTTTTAATTTCTTGATTTTTTTTTTTAATAATTAAATTAGAACAAAAAATATTTATGAAAATTAAGTTAGCCGACATTTCAAAATATTTAGAAGTTTTTTATTGAAAAAATTTCAATAAACAATTAAAAAAAAAATTTCACATGTAAAAAACTTTAAAAATTATGAGTGCAATTTTTTATAAATATCTTTTTATTTGTAATTTAATTAATAAAAAAAATTAAAAAATTTTTAGACGTCTGCTAACTTTAGTGTCATACCTAAATATTTTTTGAAAATTGTTTCAGTTTTTCAAGTTTTTAACAAATGAAAAAAATTTTTTTATAATAATAAAGTAAGTCGACATTTTTGATTTTTTTATTTTGCTTAATTTATTAAATTATAACTAAAAAATATTTTTAAAAAATTGCACTTGTAGTTTTTCAAGTTTTTAACAAATGAAAAAAATTTTTTTTTTAATAATTCTTTAATTAAAAAAATAATAAAAATTTTTAAATGTCGGCTAACTTAATTTTCATCAAAAAAAATTTTAAAAAATTCCACATGTAGAAAATTTAAAAAACAAGGCATGGAATATTTTTTACACGAAATTATTTTAGTTCTAATTTAATTAATGAAAAAAATATAGAAAAAATTGTTAAAAAGCTCTGTTAACTTTGCTATCATTTTTAAAATTGACTAATTAATAATTTTATATTTTAAAAAATTATAAAATAATTTTTAATGTTTTTCAAAAGTCGATTAATTTTATTTGCAAATTTAAGTAATTAACATCACGTGCGGTACGTATTTTTTAAACCGGCATTTTAGGTATAAGTGATGTAATTATTTTCATGCACATTGAGGAGATTGAGGGAAGTACTAACTATATAAAAAGTAAATATCCACCGGCTGCTTATCCATGCTCCATGCTTGTCGCTTGAGTTGATAAGTGTCAAAGCGATTTATTTTATTTTTATTGTTTACAAATTTATGTTTTTATAATTATAATTACTTTTAATTTATGACAGCGAATGAAAAACAAAGTAAATAAACAATCATGTATGTCGATGAAGGTAAATACAAATAATGAATATTTTTATGACATTTAACACGCAACTTTTTCACTGTTGACAGTCACTAATATATAGTATTAAATAAAAAAAATTTTTTCTGTTAATTTCTTATCAGATTAATTCATTAATTCAAATACTGATGATTGTTATCATTATTTAAAACTGATTATTGAGGAATTTTTCTATTGAAATGAATTAATTTATGTTTTTTCTCAATTATCTTATAACCTCAAACTTTCATTATTGAAAAATAAATAAATTTATGACAATAAGTTACTAATATTTTTTTTTTATTAATAAATAATAATTTAATTTGATCATCAATTCAAATTTAATTAATAGAAAAATACTTTTATGACAAGCATGAAAAAAAAATATTTAAAAATATGTTCTAAAAGATTTTTTATAAAAATTTATTTCTTTAATAGTTTCATGAGTATGTAAAATAATTTTTTATGTCAATAAATGAATTAATAAAATACTAATGTAAAATGTATAATTTAGATCAATACGAGTTTGAAGATGCGGAAGAAATTTCGTCAAAATTATGGCAAGAAGCTTGCTGGATTGCAATAAATGTCTACTTTGATGAGAAAGGTCTAGTCCGCCAACAACTGGATAATTTTGATGAATTTATCGAAATGTCCGTTAAAAAAATAGTCGAAGAATCACCATCTATTGCTTTGCAAGCTGAAGCTCGAGTTGATCAACGTACATCCTGCCGAATAGAGTCTCTAGTTATGCACACGCTTAAATTCGAAAAAAGATAAACAGGATCCAAATCTAGTAGAGACTCATCATAAAAAAAAACTGAATTTGCATCAACATTGCCTTACTTGGAACGTGTCAATTCGCCAAACAGTCGTGATAGTAAACTAGCTGAGCCACGTCAATTGCATAATACTCATGGAGGATGCTGTATCTTGCTGAAACGACGCTGGTCGTATCAGTAGACCTTTGTCGATTGTTGAGAATATGCAGCTGTTATTGAAAAAACGGCACATAAACATGTTGAAGGAACGCAATTACAATAACGACGGTTGGCAAGAACTGGTCGGAAGTGGTGTCGTAGAGTATATTGACACACTTGAAGAGGAAACTGTAATGATTGCAATGTCACCCGATGATCTAAGACAAGACAAAGAAGATTCTTACTGTGTGCGACCTATACCCACTGTGAAATCCATCCAGCTATGATACTGGGTGTTTGCGCATCAATTATACCATTTCCCGATCACAACCAGAGTCCTAGGAATACTTACCAAAGTGCTATGGGTAAACAAGCTATGGGTGTTTATATTACAAATTTCCATGTTAGAATGGACACACTTGCTCATGTGCTTTATTATCCGCACAAACCACTTGTCACTACACGTTCAATGGAGTACTTACGGTTCCGTGAATTGCCGGCAGAAATACACAGTATTGTTGCTATTTTATGTTACACTGGTTACAATCAAGAAGACAGTGTTATCTTGAACGCTAGTGCAGTTGAACGTGGTTTCTTCCGTTCAGTTTTCTATCGATCGTACAAAGATGCTGAGAGTAAGAGAATTGGAGACCAGGAAGAACAATTTGAGATACCAACGCGACGAACTTGTCAAGGAATGCGTCATACCATTTACGACAAGCTTGATGACGACGGTATTATTGCACCTGGAATTCGTGTTTCGGGTGATGACGTTGTTATTGGTAAAATTATTACATTACCTGAGACTGATGACGAATTAGAAGGAACGACAAAACGATTTACTAAAAGAGATGCATCAACTTTCTTGCGTAACAGTGAAACGGGAATTGTTGATCAAGTTATGTTGACTTTGAACAGCGAGGGATACAAGTTCTGTAAAATAAGAGTAAGGAGTGTACGTATACCGCAGATTGGCGATAAGTTTGCGTTGAGACACGGACAGAAAGGTACTTGTGGTATTCAGTATCGGCAAGAGGACATGCCGTTTTCATGTGAAGGTTTAACACCCGATATTATCAATCCTCACGCTATTCCATCTCGTATGACAATTGGTCACTTGATTGAGTGTATTCAAGGGAAGGTTTCTGCCAATAAGGGTGACATTGGTGATGCTACGCCGTTCAACGATGCTGTCAATGTACAAAAAATTTCTACTCTGCTCCAAGAATATGGCTATCATTTAAGAGGAAATGAAGTTATGTACAATGGACACACTGGAAGAAAAATAAATGCCCAGGTTTTCTTAGGCCCTACTTACTATCAGAGATTAAAACATATGATGGATGATAAGATTCACAGTCGTGCACGTGGTCCAGTCCAGATTTTAGTGAGACAGCCTATAGAAGGTCGTGCTAGGTAAGATAAATAAATCATCAATTAAATTTATCAGTAAATAATCATAATATTTTTTTAGACAAAAGTTAAATTTATTAATTTCATAAATAAGTATTGTTATTTAACATTTTTAATTTTTTTTCAGGGATGGAGGATTACGTTTTGGTGAAATGGAGCGAGATTGCCAGGTTTCCCATGGAGCTGCACAGTTTCTACGAGAACGTCTATTTGAAGTGAAAACTACTCTTGTTAAAAGTAACTTGAAAATAATTATTAATTTTAATTAATTTAAGTATTAAATAATAAATTTAATTGATTAAAATTTAATAAATTAAATTTTTAATAAACCAAAATTAAGAAATAATAAAGGTTGAATTATTAAAAATAAGTGAATATTAATTAGTAAATTTATACAATCTTTTATATTTGAGACAACTTTATCTAATCAGATCGAAAAATTTATATTTATACTAACATTGTTAATCATTTCTGAAAAATTACAGTAAAAAGATAATTAGTGGATAAGGATAAAAATTTATTTTATTAAGTTTTGTAATAAAAAAATATTTTTTCATATTAAAAATAAAAAAATTATTTACGTGCCTTTTGTATTGTAATAATTTAACTATCAATAAAAAATAAAGATAAGTTTAAAATATGTACTTTTTTTTATTGAAATATTTGTACGTTAAATTAATATGTATCTTAACTAAAATTACGTATTTAGTTAATTACTATACCTAATAAAAATAAGCTATGTTATTATTGCTATCAAAATTCTGATTTTTAATTAACAAAATTGGAAAATTATTGAAATAAGTTAATTTTAAAAAATCGATTTTGCGCGCGCGCGTATGTGGAAGTAATTTGAAGTAGAAGCGATAGTTAATAAAAGAAAATAAAGAAAGAAACAAGGGAAGAGAAATTGAAAAAAAATAATGAAAACTTTATTATCGAAAATCGTATTAAAATTAACACCTCAATTTTTCATTATAAGAAATTTAGAGTCTATAAGTGCATAAAACAATCTTTTTTTTTATCATAAGTTTTGCTACTTAAGTTACAACACTAAGTTAATTTTCATAAATACGATGCAATAATAATAAAAATAAAGTGATTAGAAAATTTGCGACTAATATTATTAATTTGAACTAGCAACCTCGCAGTCACTATGTGACTGCTGTGACTTGTGAACTATAAATAAATAAAATTTTCCTTTATTAAATAACAACTTTTGTTAAATTGCACTGTAATTTCTTAACTATTAACGTTTTTTAAGATATAAGCTCATCCTGATGTTACACTCATCAAGAGCTTTCATTTGAGTACCCACATGCATTTTGATATATTTTTCATATATACATATATGTAATATATATAAATATATGAAAAATTGATGTGGGTACTCAAATGAAAGGTCTCGATGAGTGTAATGCCGAGGTGAGCTTATATCTTCAAAAATGTCAATAGTTCACAAGATACAAGGACATTTCTTGATTATTGACATTTTTTTAGATATAAGCTCATCTTGATGTTACACTCATCAAGAGCTTTCATTTGAGTACACACATGCATTTTTGATATATTTTTCATATATACATATATATAAATATATAAAATATATGAAAAATTGATGTGGGTACTCAAATGAAAGGTCTCGATGAGTGTAATGCCGGGGTGAGCTTATATCTTTAAAAATGTCAATAGTTCACGAGATCTATGGTCATTTCTTAATTATGTATCTATAGATAGAGTATTTTCGAATACATCCTAAATACTTATCATAATAAATTGACTATCGGTGAGAATGACATGAAACCTTGAAAAGGCACAAATCAAAGTCAAGACCTTTGCAATGACACTAAATTTCGCTAAAGTAACCGATTTTATCATATGACTATCCTAGAAACAAAATTATTCTTATTCTCTTAATAATATATATTAAAAAGCCCTAATTCATATTTTTCATATAGTTATTGTACGATTATTGCTTACAAAGCTTCAGTAAACAGAATTTCTCGCTACAGAAGAGTTGAGTCAGATATTTTAAATTTGAACGAATGGCAATATTATGCACCCTTACAGAGCGTATCTACTATTGGTCATAGTTGCCATTATTAAAGGCAGTATATTTTTCTAATGCGACAATATTTTGATGATATCAATTCCTTGGAGGAAAGAAAAAAACGTATAGAGGTATTATGATTTACGATTATCTAATTTTTGTGATTCATAAGTAGTATCTTTTGAAGAAATTTGTTTCTTCGCTTAATCCTGATAGTCATATTGTAATCATAAAACAATCTAACTCGATTTTTGAATTGCTTTTGATCATAAAAAACAAACAAGATTCGATCATGTAAACCCATAGATAATACTTGATTTTAAATTGAGAGTTTAGTTTTCATAAATGAAGAATTTCTTCTTTGTATTTATACTGTTTATTGATGGAATAATTTTCAACCTTTTTTTAGAAAAATGACCTTGTATCTTGTAAACTATTAACATTTTCAAAGATATAAGCTCATTCCGACATTACACTCATCGAGACCTTTCATTTGAGTACCCACATCAATTTTTCATATATTTATATATATTATATATATGTATATATGAAAAATATATCAAAAATGCATGTGAGTACTCAAATGAAAGCTCTCGATGAACATAACATCGGGATGAGCTTATTTTTTCAAAAACATCAATAATTAAGAAACAACCTTGTATGTTGTAAACTATTGACATTTTTAAAGATATAAGCTCACCCCGACATATCACTCATCGAGACCTTTCATTTGAGTACCCACATCAATTTTTCATATATTTATATATATTACATATATGTATATATGAAAAATATATCAAAATGCATGTGGGTACTCAAATGAAAGCTCTTGATGAGTGTAACATCAGGATGAGCTTATATCTTAAAAAACGTTAATAGTTAAGAAATTACAGTGCAATTTAACAAAAGTTGTTATTTAATAAAGGAAAATTTTATTTATCTATAGATCACAAGTCATGGCAGTCACATAGTGACTGCAAGGTTGCTAGATACCACTTTTTCAATTTTACACAAATGTAAAAATCTTACAGTAAAAAAAAATTACCCTGATGACTATTTTAAGAATGACAGTTAGTATTTAAAAAATGTTCTGTGTACTTTTTATGAGGAACGTTCTTGTTACTAAATTTATATTTTTGGAATTCACTGGATTGATGTCAGAAGATATATTTTAAAATGAAATGTAATGAAATTTGATCTTAAGTTTATAAATAACTTATAATATTCTTAGGTATGTATCCCCTTGGTTTATTTATGACACTTATATTTAAATAGCACTAATTATTGTTTATACTCGATCTCTAATTAATCCATCAAATAACAAGCAAATCTCGATTATCATTATAATTATCATTATCATAATTATTAACACCATTGGAGCTATTAACTAAGCAAACTGCGCATATGTTGACTGTTGTTCAAACTTGATTTATTTCATGATATGAAGAGTAGTCATGATATGAGTTTAGTCGTAAACGTACTCAGTATGTAGGTCGAGAGACGACTGAATTAAACCAACACGATGTGAGTTAACGCGATAAAATTCAAATACATTGTTATATATCTAATATTTTGCGTTAAGCCTTATAATCATCATAATCATAATCGTTTTTTTATTTCGGCTCTTCCTTTTCAAAAAATTTTAATACTCTTTTTTTCTTTAAGTTTTGAATTTTTCTATTAGCAATCTATTATTTTTTATAATACTAAAGTTAGTCCACGTTTTTAATATTTTTTTTTAATTAAATTAGAACAAAAAAATATATTTAAAAAATTGCACAGTTTTTCAAGTTTTTTCATTAATTACATTTTTTTTTGTAATAATTTTTTCAATAAAAAAAAAATTATAAAAATTTTCAGATGTCGGTTTAATTTTCATTATTTTTTCTCTAAATTTCTTTGAGAAAATTTTTTATCAAATTTTTTTTTAAGAAGAGTAATCTGAAAAAAATAAAATAATTATAATAATATAAAAAAAATTGAAAAAATTTGTAACCATTGCGTTTGTAAAATAATGTATGACTGTGAACGCGTGGACAAATTCCAGTACCCCGGTTATTAATTTTTTCCATCCATCAAAACAGCCTTCGAGCTCTTATCATAGCGATTACACAACATCCATTTGTGTCGCATACGTAAGTCAGTGTAGAGTTGATTTGGTAATCGAGACAGGAAAACACGATGATCATCAAGAGTGTGTACAGCAGTAATTACAATACATAACAGATAAAATTATGAAAATTAAGTTAGCCGACGTCTAAAAATTTTTTTGACATTAAAGTTAGTAGTTACTTGATTATTTATGACATAGAAGTTGACAGCAATTAAATAATTATAAAAAAAAATTTATCTAAATAGTTCCACATGTGAAAATTAATAAAAATTACAAGTGAAAATTTTTAGAAGCATTTTTTTTCATAATTTATTTGTCAAAAAAATTTTTAAAACTATCAAATATCTGCTAAATTAATTTTCATCAAATTTTATGACATTTAAAATCGGCTAATTTTAGTACTATTTAATTTTCATTAATTTTCAATAATAATAAAAAATCAAAAAAAATTTCATTTGTAAAAAACTTAAAAAACTATGAGAGCAAATTTAAAAAAATATTTTTCTGTTATAATTTACTTATTAAAAAAAAATTAAAAACGTCGGCTAACTTTAGTATTATAATAAAATTAAAAAATTGTTAAGTGACTGCTAATTTTATAGATTTTGAAGTTTTTAAGTGAAAAAATTTTTTTGTAACAATTCTTTAATATAAAAAATCACAATCAGTTGTCAATTTTAAAAATTTTAATAACAAATCAATTACAATAAAAAAATGCTTCTAAATATTTTCACTTGTAATTTTTTTCAATTTGCACATGTGGAATTTTTTAATTGAATTTTTTATATAATATATTAATTATTATAAAATTCTAAAATAATTTTTAATGTCTGTCAACTTCAGTCATAAAATTTTTTATATATCGGCTAACTTTATTTTCATTAATTTTCATGACTAACTTAAGTATAATAATAATAAAAAAAAAACTAAAAATTGATTGACATTGTTAGAATATTATCAGCAATAGTGATATCACAGTGATGAAGTTTAGCACGTGGTCTCTTGAGTAAGTTGAGTAAATTTAAAGGCAGTAGTGTCTATGAGTTAAAGTGTTGTGCCTTCTAGAGTAAAGTTGTAGGTAGTAGGCGTCGTCGTGGCCACGGCGTTGGTAGATGTCCGCGGTTAGCTGGATGTTATCATCATCAGAGCGCGTGCGTATTTAAAAACGTATGCAAGGTAGATAGCGACGGCGCAGCAGAGAATATCACTACCATCAACAACGTTAACGGCGGCGGGGACGACGAAGCTAGGCTATAGCGAAGGCCGAAGATCGCCGAGCGCACGGTGCTACGTGGAGTCTCAGGCTGGTCTGGCTAACACAGTGTTCTAAAAGTCTTTAGCTTTACCCCACACGAATCAGAACACATTAACTACGACGGGAAACCGTCGTAAGCCGCGTTATCGGAGCACCGGGGGCTCCATAGTAACCAACCTGATACAGAACTACCTAGAGTTTTTGTGTAAACAATTATTCCTCGGGGAAGGGGCCTATCTCCAATAAGTCGACGTGCTATCTATCAATTACCACTAAAAAATTATTTTTACCTGAATTTTTACTTCTATCAAAACCATTCTTTCATTTTATATCAGGAGTAACGTCGACAGTGCTCCAAGTTATCACCATGTACAGGGTAGTTTAGAGAAGATAGGGTTGCTTCGTTGGTGGTAGTGGTAGTGCTGGTGTTGGTGCTCCTCCTGTAATAGTTTTGTGTTTTATTTATCAAAATTATGCCAAGTTAATCTCTAAAAAACTTGAGTTTTAAATAAAATAAAATTAATGTTTTTTTGATGGTTCTATTACATAAAATGTGGTGCGCACGAGGTTGAGCTGCATCAGTGTTCTTTATTGGTAATAGTTGTGCAAGTGCTTCGACAGAGTAGTAAGTGTCGTAGATATAGAAGTAGATTCATCGCCAGGTTTTTTTATTCCGTCTAAGATATTCATTAGAACCTGGAAAATATTGTAATTTAATTTTTATTAATTATTAAATAGTTGGAAAAAAAAATTACCTGGCAAATATTGTAATTTTTATTAATTAAATAGCTGAAAAAAAAAATTAAAAAAAAAAAATCTGGCAAATATATTAATTATTAAATAGCTGAAAAAAATTTTTAAAAATAAATACAATTTAATAATGTATTTATAATTTTATTGCCGCTCAAAAATTATCAATCATTTATTACATAACGAGGTGAGCGCACAATAATAAATAATTATAAAAAAAAATAACACCATGCATCGGAGTGTTAAAGCTTACTGCTTCGATTTTTTTCGAAGCACACTTGGTCTGGTGTAACAGCTATTTATTAAAAAAATTGGTACCAAGAAAAAGTGGAAAAATTTCCTAAAAAAAAAGAATAAGTTTATAAGACCAGGATTTTTCCGGGTTAACGTGGGTCTTGATGAGCGTACGATCGATCGGTGCTCGTAGTTGAGGACACTGACGACGCCCGGGTTTTGTTCTTCAAGAAAAGCTTAACTAGTTTAACCAAAATTTGAAAAATTAAAAACATTAAATAAGGTTGAATATAAAGACTTAAAGTGCAAGTCAAAGTTTATGGGGGACTTTGGAGGCGCAAGCCTTTTTTCAAACACTCCGACGACAGGGTGCAGACAAACGAGCACGTCGTCAACAGTAACGCTGCTAAGCAACCAAGTAGGAGCTATGCAAGACGATCTTTTGATAGAAAAGCAGAGTAGCGCTAAAGCAGCGCCTCTTTCACCAGGGCTGGATCCACCCGGTGATAAATCCAAGGATGTTTCTGAGGCTGAAAGCATCGCCATCGCTCCGTCTACGACCTCTTCTATGGACAAGGAGATTTCTGGGAATTCTTCGAGCTTGCAAGGATTCACAGAGCCAGTTAGAGTTCCTAGCTTGTGGGCGAACACATCTGATGATTCGGGGCTTCATTCGCTCCCGGTCAATGGTTCAATAGCGACTTTTCAAAACTTCCCGGCTGGTGGACCAGGATTGTTTGCTGGGTCGGGATCTAGGCGAGCTATCACAGCGAGTCATAATTTTCCTCAGCATGGGAATGCAAGCGCTCCGGGAAGACATGGCCTCCAAGTTGGTAATCAGCAACAACAACAGCAACAGCAACAGCAACAGCAGCAGCAGCAGCAGCAGCAGCAGCAGCAACAACAGCAGCAGCAGGCTCAGCAGACGGGCCAACAACCGCCTTCTTCTCATCCTGGGGTCTATCTTCATGGGAAAGGATACGCTGCTTGGTCAGGTGGTCCTCAGGGGCCTCAACAATGGGGTGGAGGACCACAAGCTACCGCCAGCTCGGCATTGTCACCCTGGAGTCGCGGTAGATCCGTGCCAAATCTCCCACCACTGCATTCATCCTTGCATGCCGCAGCGGCGGTCGCTGCGGCTGCTGGCTTGCAAGGCAGAAAACCTAGTCCGACATTTCCGGGGCATTCGGGCCCAAATCAATCTCATCCTTCGAATATCAGCCCGGTTAAGTTTCGCAGGAGCACTTCGTATCCTGGAAAGGGGAACCTTTATCCGCCTCAGCAGGCACCCACTTTTGAAGTTACTACCGCTGAAGAAAGAGATTTGCTGCAGTTACCTTATCAGCAGGTTAGTTGATTAATTTATTTTGAGAATTTGGATGATTAGAATTAAGGAACACTGTTATTGGCTCTGCTGTTGGGTTTAGTGTTTGTTATAAATAAATACAAATGGGGTCAATGATTTTAATTTTAATTTTTTTTTTAACGAAATTTCTATTTGATTTTTTTGAAAAATACGAAAATTAATTTAGCAGATATTTTATAATTTTTTTAATAAATAAATTAAGTCAAAGAAAATAAGAAAAAAAAATTGACATTTAGAAAAAATTAAAAAAATAAATCAAATTTTTTACAAATAATTTTTCGGAGCAAATTTATTTATTAAAAAAAATTAACAAATGGTCAAGTGACTGCTAACTTTAATGTCATATAAAAAATGGACAATTTAAAAAAATAGTTGGTTACAAATTTTCTAAAAAATGCATAAATTTTTTAGAAAATTGTGATATTTAGTTTTTTTTTAATTGGTTGTTTCTTTATGTACTATTTAAAAAAAAAATATATCAAAAAAAGATAAAATAGAAATTTTATCCAAAAACATGAAAGCCAAAATTTTTTCCAACTTTTGAAGGCAAAAAAAGCTATCGAAATCTATTTTTTTTCTTTTACATTTATTTATCATAAATGCGCAGTAAAAATTTTTTCAGTAAATATTTACAAGTGGGATAAACACTTTAATTTTCATTTTTTTTGAATTTTAACAAATTTTATAAATTAAAAAAAAATGAATAAATTAAAAAAAAATTGTGATATTCAATGTTTTTTTTAATTGTTCGTTTTTTTGGAAATTTTGATAAATTTTTATAAATTGAATAAAAAAATGTATTAATTTTTTGTGAAATTATGATATTCAATTTCTTTTTAATTGTTCGTTTTTTTTATGAACTTTAAAAAAAAATGAAAATTAAATTAGCCGACATCTAAGAATTTTTAGAATTTTTTTTTTATTGAAAAATAATTTTTAAAAAATTAAAACAAAAATTTTCACATGTAGAAAATTTTAAAGATTATCCGTGGAATTTTTTAAAAATAGATTTTTAGTTCCAATTTCTAATTTTAAAAAAATCAAAAATTTTCAAGTGTCGGCTAACTTAATTTTCATATCAAAAAAAAGATAAAATAGAAATTTTATCCAAAAACACGAGAGCCAAAATTTTTTTTCAACTTTTGAAGGCAAAAAAGCTATCGAAATTTATATTTTTGTCTTCCACGACATTTTTTATCATAAATTCTCCGTAAGAACAAGCAGAATAAAAAAAATGTTAATTTTTCACCTAGTTATAGCTTAAAATGGGGTTGACCCATCATGTAAATAATTACATTTATTTTTATTTTTAATTTTCAACTTGATTTTAGATTTACAGTACCTAAAGTTTCGTTGTGTTTTTAATCTATTACGAAATATCACACTATAAGTTCATACGTGGTGTGTTATGCAACGACACTTATAAGTACACATTTAATTTTAGAGTTGTCGTTAGTCGAGTTTTTTCAACTGCTTCATGATATTTTTGTTGTTTCATTTTTTTATACTATTTGTAAGAGTATTTTTAGACTTATAAACTTTTTTTTAAGCAAAAAGTTTGAAAATTTTTTTAACAATTTTTAGAAAAATTTAAAGAACTTCTTTTAAATTATTGACTAGATTATTCACTAGGCAGTAAATAATTTTGATAAAACAAAATACAGAGTTTATTTTACAAAAAACATTATTGTACGTTGATTCGTCGTCGAATTGTGACCTAATTTCTTCAACTAGCTTCTCTCTACTCGGTCGATGTGTCTAGCATAAGTAAGCTTAGCTATTTTAACCGCAGAACAAAAATAAGTGGTGCATACCATTCGAACGAAATGGCGAGAGTTTCGTTTTAATCATCATTTTCTTTATTTTTATTATTTTATTTATTTTTTGCCTTGGCATTTTCTTCGGGAATTTTTATCTTACCGCAGAGACCTTTTTAACCGTCTTTTATTAGCTGAACCGAGCTAGGTGTAAATATTGATTATATCCTGAAGCATTGTCAATCCATGAAAAAAAAAATAAAAATATATTAAGTGTGCTCAGTCGCAGCATACATTGTTAGCGTCAAACAATCAACCCAATTTATAAAAATTCTTTTTTTTTCATCCACTTACTTTTATAATTTTTTAATTAACTGCAGTATAAGTTATTTTTTTTTTAGTTTTGATCAGTGAATATATAAACGGGTTAAAAAAAAATTTATAAATCGATACCAGACAAGTACTCAAAAAACTTGTAAGTGCTTTTTTTTTTAATTGTATTATATGCGCTGACTATTGAATCGATTAAAGCTTGAAAATATATGAAAAGTAAATAAGTAAAAACATAATAATTAAAAAATTAGTCATTTTTTTGTTTAGAAATAAAAAATACATTATTTTTGACTTAAAAAAATTCTCAATAAATTTTTTTTGAATATTCATTTATTTTTTTTTTATTAATTAAAGTTAATTATAAATAAAATAATTTGGAATAAATTTTTTTTAATCTCAATTTTTTGATAAAAAAATTAAAAAAAATTTTTTTTTTATTATTTATTGTAAAATGTGGAATGAAAAAAAATTTATTTAAATTTTTTGGTGAAAATTTTATTTACAATTTTTGGTAAAAATTTTATTTAAAGTTACACATGTTTATTTTCTTTTATATAAGTTCATTTTAATTAAAATTTAAAAAAATTTTTATAATTTTATTTGAGTAAATTTTATTTAAAATTTTTAGTAAAAATTTTACTTAGTTACACATTTATTTTCTTTTATATATGTTGATTTTAATTAAAATTTTTATAATTTTATTTATGAAAATGAAGTTAGCCGACATTTCAAAATTTCTAGAGATTTTTTATTGAAAAAATTTCAATTAAAAAATTAAAAAAAAAATTTGTCACATGTAAAAAACTTGAAAAGCTATAAGTGCAATTTTTTAAAAATATCTTTTTAGTTGTAATTTAATTAACAAAAAAAAATCAAAAATTTTTAGGCGTCTACTAACTTCAGTCTCATTTTTATTTGAGTAAATTTTATTAAAAATTTTCATTAAAAATTTTACTTAAAGTTACACATTTATTTTCTTTTATATAAGTTGATTTTAATTAAAATTTGAAATAATCTTTATAATTTTATTTGAGTAAATTTTATTCAAAATTTTTGGTTAAAATTAAATTTTTTTTTAAAACTGGAAATTAAAAAATTAATTTTAAATTAAAAAAAAAATATCCTGAACTTCCAAAAATTTATCATAAAATAATCAATTAGAAGTAATTAAAACTACAAATCATACAGGAGAAAAATCGATCATTTATCTGGATTATAATTGGTATAATAATTTACCAAAAAATATTAAAAATAAAAAAAAATTCATATATTTAAGAAAAATTAGAAAGAGTACGTATTTAAAAATTTATCCATATGAAATAAAATAGTAAAAAAAGAGATAATTTTATTTTTCAATGAAATATTAATTATATATTGTAAATTGTAAAAAAATAGCATACTGCTAATTCTGGATAAAATATATTATTATAAACCACTAAATTATAACATTTGTATAAATACTTAGTTTTACAAAATTAAACTGGATAATATTAATTTTATTTTAAATAAATTATAATACTATATAATTAAAGAAGAAATTAAAATAGAATTACTAAATCCATTTAATTAATTTTTAATAACTAAAAGTGGAACAATAACATAAAAGTTGAAAGAGTAAATCGAAGTCACATGCATATATATTCGTTATTCACCTTGAGTGTGTATATCAGAACACATATATTGCTGTACAGTTGGCAATCATCGTAACATAGTCGTGGCGCGATATGAGTATTTGTTGTTTACTATGATAAATGTTATTTTATTTTTCAGTTGGAATTGAGATTATTACATTCCTTTAATATTTGTAAATATCTTTACAATAATTGTTAATATATGCAATAGTAAGAGTGTAACTCGAAAAATGTAGGATTATTCTATGCGAAAAAGCAAAGTATTGATCTTTGAAGCTGGTCCAAAAATAGTTTAGAACGAAAATAGGCCGACGCTGCAGTCTAATGCATTCTGCAGTGCGGCTAATGTCGTTTGAGCTTCAATAAAATCATGTATTGTTCTTCAATGTAATTTAAAGATTCGAACAAAGGAAATTTTTTTCTGCAAAATCTATTGTAGCAAAAAATTTATTCTAAATAAATCAATCAAATATTAGCTGGTTGAATTGTAATTTTGAATTGTATGTAACTCTATAAATATAAAAGTCCATTTTATAGTCAACTTAGTATGGCATAGTAAAGTCCGTAAAGTAATAGAGCTTCTTGCGACAGTATAGTAAGATCATATTATCATATGTACAGTAAAAAAGTTGGCTTACAAGATCATGCATCGTTAGATCTAACTATGTATACAAGATTTTCTTTATAAGCTTATAACAGCGTAAAATTACAACTGATAAACTGAAAATCTTTAATTTTGAATAAGTTACTGCATTTATAATTATTTATAGTCTGTTTTATTAAAAAATATTTTTGCAATTGCTTCCTTCATGACCCTTCAATCCAGAACTGTCAAGTTGAATGGTCTAATTTTATCAAAATATTTATTTTTACTTTAAAAATGTCAATAACTGAATTTTGATTCGATTTTAATCGAGCTGCATATTTTAGAAAAATTACATAAATAGTTTTCATAAAAAAAACTCACAAATTATTTATTATATTTGTCTAAATTATAAAAAATTTTATTTTTACGAAGTAAATTTAAAATCTTGGACTTTCAATATTTGATTTATAATTTTTTTGACATGAATTTTGCTTTTAAATGTTCTGTTAACCATTCAAAATTTTTTTCAACTTCAAGATGTTTTTTTTTATAGGATAAAATTTAAAGATTATTACTAAGCAAGTAAAAATCAGTTAATTTATTTCAGGCGTGAAATATTTCTCTAAATTTTCTATCAGCACTAGTGGATTTTTTGAATATTTGAAGCTATTAGCATAACAAAGC